GGGCGGGAGATATGGGGAGATATGGGGAGATATGGTCAGCCTACGTGCTGAGGACGCCGACCTCGGGGCGGGAGATATGGGGAGATATGGGGAGATATGGGCAGCCTACGTGCTGAGTACGCCGACCTCGGGGCGGGAGATATGGGGAGATATGGGGAGATATGGGCAGCCTACGTGCTGAGTACGCCGACCTCAGGGCGGGAGATATGGGGAGATATGGGCAGCCTACGTGCTGAGTACGCCGACCTCAGGGCGGGAGATATGGGGAGATATGGGGAGATATGGGCAGCCTACGTGCTGAGGACGCCGACCTCAGGGCGGGAGATATGGGGAGATATGGGGAGATATGGGCAGCCTACGTGCTGAGGACGCCGACCTCGGGGCGGGAGATATGGGGAGATATGGGGAGATATGGGCAGCCTACGTGCTGAGGACGCCGACGTCAGGGCGGGAGATATGGGGAGATATGGGGAGATATGGGCAGCCTACGTGCTGAGTACGCCGACCTCGGGGCGGGAGATATGGGGAGATATGGGGAGATATGGGCAGCCTACGTGCTGAGGACGCCGACCTCGGGGCGGGAGATATGGGGAGATATGGGGAGATATGGGCAGCCTACGTGCTGAGTACGCCGACCTCAGGGCGGGAGATATGGGGAGATATGGGGAGATATGGGCAGCCTACGTGCTGAGTACGCCGACCTCAGGGCGGGAGATATGGGGAGATATGGGGAGATATGGGCAGCCTACGTGCTGAGTACGCCGACCTCGGGGCGGGAGGACGGTCTCGTGTGCAGCGTCTTCAGAGCACCGCGTGAAGACGAGGGGGAGTACAAGTGAATACGGCGGAAGTACGTGCCTCTCGGGCGCTGTTGGGGGCACATGAACACGCCTTCCGCTTCTAGACAGCGAGCCGAGCGTGGGCGGTGCGCAGCCCTCCTCGACCGAGCAGAGGTCGCCCTCCTCCTCGTCGCGCACGCGCGCGCACAGCGCCTCCTTGGCGACGAAGGTGCCTGGGAGGAGAGGGCGGAGGCGGAGGGGTGGAGGCGGAGGGGTGGAGGGGTGGAGGGGTGGAGGGGTGGAGGGGTGGAGGCGGAGGGGTGGAGGGGTGCAGGGGGTAGAGGCGGCGGCGGAGGGTGGGGGCGGGGAAGGCGGCGGTGGAGACGGCGGAGGCGGCGCCGGAGGCGGCGGAGACGGATGGGGTGGGGATGGAGGAGATCTCACCGCCGCCGTCTTCGGAGTAGTAAGCGGTGAGCCAGGTGCCGTCGGGGTAGAGGGGGTCGTCGAGGCAGAGAGAGAGCGATCCCGCGAGGTACCTGCAAACACGGGAGATGCGGGGAGATGCGGGGAGAGGCGGGGAGGTGTGGGGAGATGTGGGGAGGTGTGGGGAGGTGTGGGGAGGTGTGGGGAGATGCGGGGAGGTGCGGGGAGGTGTGGGGAGGTGTGGGGAGGTGTGGGGAGGTGTGGGGAGGTGTGGGGAGGTGTGGGGAGGGTGGGGGAGGTGTGGGGAGGTACCCGCAAGCGAATGGGACCGAGGGGAGAAGGAATGGGGCCGAGGGGAGAAGGAATGGGAGCGAGGGAAAGCGGAATGCGACGGGCGGCGGGCGTGTGAGGGCCTGTGTGTGTTGGAGTGCTGCCGAGAGAGATGGGGAGGTGCTCCTTCCGTGGGGGAGAGGGAGGGGGGGAGAGGGGCGGGTCGGCGGCGGCGCGCACCACACGCATCCATAAAAGTGGCAGATGTAGACCCACACCAGCAGCGTCACCGCGACGCGCGTGAATGGGGAGCGCATGACGGCGCCCAGCAGCGGCAGCTTCTTCAGCTGGTGGGTGAGGCGGCGGAAGCGGAGGATGCGCAGCACGCGCACCATGCCGATCGCCTGCAGCGCCGGCGACGTGCCCATCAGCCCGTACGGCAGCGACGCGAGCAGGTCGGGGACAAAGTAGGTGCGGAGGTAGCGGCGGGCGATGCGGCGGAGGCGGAGCTCGGGGTAGCCGCGGTGCATCGAGCCGTGCACGAACTGCAGCGCCACGTCGATCAGGAATACCGTGGACATGAGCACGTCCACGATGCGGAGCGGCGGCGTCGCTGCGATGGAGAAGCCGACCTCGAGAGGGAGAGAGACGGCGGTGACGGAGACGCAGACGAAGACGAGGAGGTCGAAGAGGGCCATGCGGCGCGAGTGCGGGTGCACCACCAGCCAGTCCCACCCGTGCGCCTCGTCGTGCACCAGCGCGCCGTCCTGCGCCTGCCTCCGCTCACGCGCGAGCCGCTCGGCGCGCCGCGCCCGCAGCTCAGCGACGAAGCGCTCGGCGACGCCGGAGGTGGGCGCGTCGTACGAGGCGTGTCGCCGCGCGGCGGGAGATCCGCGTCGCCGCATGATCCCCAACGAGCGCCGGATCCCCAACGAGCGCCGGATGGACCAGCGGCCCGGCGGCAGCTCCTCCAGCGCAGACATGACGGCCGTGCTGCCCGCCGACGTGCCCGTCGAGGTCAGCGTGCTGCCCGAGTCGTCCGTGGGAGAGGACGGGCGGTCGGGGCTGCCCATTCGCGGCAGACGTGCGCGGCTCAGAGATGGTGGTACCAAAGTCCTTGTATCGGAGGGAGGCTCGACCGGCGGTTGGTAGTACTTGTGATTTTTCTAGCACAGATTTTTCTTTTTTCAACAAAAAGCAAGGCGACATGGCATATTTTTGTGAGTCCTGGCGCTGCCCGTGTGTTCGAAGCATGTAAGAGGATGCGTGGAGAGCAAAAAGCGTGCACACGGGCTATTCTGGCCGACCCCAAATAAATCTCCCCTCCCGACCTCCGTCTATGTTCCACTTCCACGCCGCCCCGGCCTCATCCTCCTCCGCCCCGCTCTCCGTCGCCGAGGCCCTGACCGCAACGCGATGGCACAATGCGCCGATGCGCTCGGTTCTCCATTCTCTGTGCCTCACCGCGTCGCTGCGGAGGCTGCGAGCGCCTCGTGTGTCAGCGGCCCCCGCGGCCGCCGCCACCACGTAGTCCTCGTTTTCCATTTGCGGCGGGCGCCCGGCAGATACTCGAGTAGCAGCCAGCGGCAGCGAACGCAGTACCACGGCAATCGACTGTCCCGCCAACTCGTACTCGCATAATGTGGGTAAACGAAAGTACCGTATTCGGTACTATCAAGAAAGACACCGAAAAAAGTCGCCGCGGCAGTCCACGACGAGCCAGCCTGCTGCCGGCTCGCACGGCAGCCTCTTCCTATGGACCAGCCTCGACTTCCATACAGTCAACATTTTGTCGCTGCGTGCTCGTGGCGAGCTGTGGCGGCGGTCGAAGTTGGCCCAGATTCGACGACGAGCGCCGGACGATAGTACCGCCTCTGTTCGCCCTGTGCATGTCAGGCCAGGCTGCAGCAGGGCACTACCAACGTGCTGCCCTGTTGCAGCCTGACTTTGCCCACTGTGCACAGTCGCCAGAGCACCACCACCGCCCGGCATCGTGTCACGGCGAGCTCCTTCTGCGCCCGCTCGCGAGGCTCTCGCGCTGGCACACTTTGGCCATCTGCTGCTCGCGTTCGGCGAGCTCTTCTCCGCACTCCTGCCACGGTGCCGTCACCACACACCTTCTGGCTGGCCTGAGCCGCGCGGGGTCGCCAGCGGGGGCAACGCGTCGACCTCTCTCTCTGGTGCACCACGGGCCGCAACGGCCTGCTAGCAGCGTGCGCGAGGAGGCAGTGTGCCGGCACAGTCGAGCCGGAGCATCGGGTTCTTGATGCTTCTGGGGTCAAGTTTGACCTTATGTGGCATAATATGCAACAATAATGCGATGCTATCTCCCGGCTTTTTGAGATATGATCCCTCAAAGTCGAATTTTCGTTTACTGGTGACCATAGTACCGTCTGTCCGGTTTGCGTTTCTTCAAACGAAACACTTTAAGTCTCGACCATCACTAAGCTGCTTATGTGGCACCGCAGAGGATCCCTTGGGGATGCCTGAGGCCACCCCAACCACTCACTAAGCCGTACGTAGACGAATTGGGCGCTACTTTTTTCGTTTACCCACATTATGCGAGTACCCCCCCCCCCCCCATTCTTCGACATTCTTTCCTTTCCTCGTGCGTTCCCTCTGAAGGCATCGGCGGATCCTCTCATTCCACATGGTTCGAACGACCGTACGTGTGTACGTACATCACAAGGGCATGAGAGAGCCCACATCCGGATAATTCGCACGATGTGCTCTATGGGTGACAAGAGGCGCGAGCTCCGGAGCGCGGAGGCTAGAGTCCCGTGACGACTGTCACTTCAGGGTACTCTGAGCCGCTCGCGCCCCTTCCGGCTATGCCGGTAGGGATCCAAGTTCCTGGGCGCCACTGCGCACTTGGAGCACTTGGAGTGCAGTCAGCAGCCTCACATCCAGGGCCGGGGAGCTGCCCGTTTGTTTCTTCCACGCGCCTTTCAGGCGACGTGGCACATTCATGTCAAGCTGCGTTCGCTGCTCCCGCCGGCTGCCACCCAACCCGGGCCCCCAGCAGCTCTGCACGCGCTGCACCAAGCGCGCGGCGGAGCAGGCTTCCGCTGCGGCTCCGCCTCCCGCTGCGGCCCCGGCTCCGGCTCCCACTCGCGCTCCTGAACCACCAGCTCCAGCCGCGGCTCCCGCCAAGGCTCCGGCCAGCGGCTCCTGTTCGCGCTGCTCTCGCCGGATGCCACCCGACGCCACCGCGCCGGGCCTCTGCAAGCGCTGCACGCGCGCTTCTGACGGCGCCGCCAAGGGCGCCGCTTCTCGCACCGCCGCGCCGGCGCCGGCCGCGACTGCCCAGCCCACCCAGCCCACCGCTGCCGCAGCCGCAGCGGCGCCGCCAGCGGCGCCACCAGCAGCAGCGCCCTCGGCTCCGGCACCGGCTCGACCGTCGACCGTGGCCGCCAACGGCTCCGTCTCCTCCGCCTCCGGCGCAGCAGCAGCGGGCGAAGACGGCACGCCGTCGCGCCGGCAGAAGCGGACGCCGCAAGCCCGCAGGAAGGCGATGCAGTCCCGCGCCACCGGCGCAAACGCTGCCGCGCCGACGCCCGTGCCGGCTGTGCCGGCCGTGGCGGCGGCGGCGGCGGCGGCGGCGGCGGCGGCGGCGGTGACGGGCGCGGCGGCGGCGACGACGACGACGGGTGCGGCGGCGGCACCCGTCGCCTCTGCGCCTCTGCCGCTGACGACTGCGGCGCCACGCGGTGGCGGTGGCGGTGGTGGTGCGGTGCCGAAGGCGGTCAGCAGCAACAAGCGGCGGCGCAGCGCGCCTGCGGCGCCGACGGGCGCCGCGCAGGGCGAGCACGGCTGCCCGGACTGCGCACTGCGCTTCCCGTCCCTCTCCCGCAAGCTCGACCACCTGCTTGCCTCCCTAGAAGCGGAACACCTCCCCATGCCTCCCCGTATCTCCCCATATCTCCCGTCCCTCTCCCGCAAGCTCGACCACCTGCTTGCCTCCCTAGAAGCGGAACACCTCCCCATACCTCCCCGTATCTCAAGCCCTAGAAGCGGAATACGTACTCTTGTAGCGCGCGAGAGGACACGCACTCCGCCGTACTCGGCCGCATCCCGCCGTAGTCACTGCATTCGCACCCCTCGTCTTCACGCGGTGCTCTGAATGCGCTGCACACGACCGTCCTCCCGCCCTCTGACGTTGGCGCATTCGCCGTGCAGGCTTGCCTCATGCCCACCCGTCGCCACCCCGCTGGTGGTGGGCGGCGGCGGCGGCGGCGGCGGCGGCGGCGGCGGCGGCGCCGCCGCCGCGCAGACTGGCGCCGCCGCGGGGCTTGCGCCAACTCTTGTCCCAGCACCTTCAAACCCGGCAGCAGCTGCAGCTCTGACAGCCACGCCCGAGGAGGGGGGCCACTCAGGCGGACAGGTTCGAGTCCCTGTTTAGGACGTCGCGGCGCTCGAGGCGGAGGAGGAGGCCGCGGTGGCGGTCAAGGACTACGCGCGCGCCGCCGCGGCGCGGGAGCGGATCGACGCGCTCCTCGTCGAGCGGGCACGCGCCGAGGAGGCGGCGAAGGCGGCGGCGGAGGCGGCGGCGGCGGAGGCGGCGGAGGTTGCGAAGGCGGCGGCCGCCGCCGCCGCGGCGGGTTGTGGCGACGGCGGGTTCGCGCCGAAGCACGGCGTGCGGCTGCTCACTCGCGCGCTCGACTTGCAGATGGTGCTTCCCTTGCTGCTGGCGAACCCGGTCTGCGCGCTCGACCTCGAGGGCAACCTCGACCCGGGCGGGGGCGGCGACGGCGGTGGGTTTGGCGTCGATCTGATCCAGGTGTGCGCCTTGCCCCCTCCGACTAGATCTATTGCAGGTCAGGTCAGGTCAGGTCAGGTCAGGTCAGGTCAGGTCAGTGCTGCACACGTCTTCTCGCGGACACACACGGGGCATGAACACACGAGGGCGGTGTCCTCAGGGACACGCACGCCCACAATCAGACCGTGACCTGACCTGACCTGAACCAGGTGTACGCCCCATCGGTCGACCAATGAATGAATTCGTTTGAAAATTCATTATGGCTCAGGTGTACGTCCCGTCGGTCGATTTGGTGCTGCTGATTCACACCGGCGCCCTCGCCGCCGCCGCCGTGCAGCGCGCTCTCGGCCCGTGGCTCTCCTCGCGAGAGCACCTCAAGGTCCTCTGCGACTGCCGCGCCGACGCGGAGGCGCCGCACCACCCACGGGACTGAACCCTCACATTGGGTTCGATCCTCTGGGGTTATGGGACTAGGCCCTGCACGCGGCGTACGGCATCACGCTCGCCGGCGTCGTCGACGTGCAGATCAGCCATGCCGCGATCTCGGGCGATCTCCCGCCCGAGGTGTCCCTGACCCTGACCTTGACCCTGACCCTGACCCTGACCCTGACCCTGACCCTGATCCTGACCCTGACCCTGACCCTGACCCTGACCCTGACCCTGACCCTGACCGTGACCAGGTGTTTGCGACCGCCGCCGCGGGCGGCGTGGCGCAGCAGCTGCCCTTCTTCTTCCCGACCGGGCTGCCGCGGCTGGCGAGCAAGTGGTGCGGGATCGCCGACACGGCGCTCGCCGAGCTCAAGGCTCAGTTCGGCGCCGTATTCAACGCGGGTGAGCGCCCGTTCGCGGCGCTGCCCCTCTCGGCCGCCGCCGCCGCCTACGCCGCCTCGGATGCGTGGCACATCTGGGCGGTTCACGCGGCGCTGTGGCCGGCGGTGACGCAGCGGGCGCTCGAAGGCGCGGTGCGCCGGCTGTCGGATGTGCGCGCGGCAGAGTTCCGCGAGTTCCCCGGCGGGGGCGGCCGCGAGGCGTGGGAGGAGAAGTACAAGGCCGCGCGCGCCGAGAGGGCTGCCGCCGAAGCGGCGCGCGGCAAGAGCGGCGGACGCGGCGCAGACAAGAGGGCGGCGCAGTCGCGGACGGAGGAGGGGAAGCGGCCGCTCCCCCCGGGCGGCGCGGCGGCGGGCGCGGCGGCAAGCGCGGCGGGCGCGGCGGCGGGCGTGGAGCCGCCGCCGAAGCGGCCGGCGCGCGAGCAGAAGCCGAGCGGCGCGCGGTGCGAGTGCTGCGGGCTCGGCTTCTCGGTGCGTTACCCGCCCGTCCCTCCGCCTCCCCGCTATCGGCCGCCCCCTCCGCTTCCTCCGCTGCCGCCCGCCCCCTCCGCCCCCTCCGCTACCGCCCGCCCGCTCCGCCGCCCGCTCCACTTCCCACACCCCCGCCCACGCTCTCACCGCCTCCGGTTCTCGCCCCCCCCCTAACCCCCCTAACCTCCCCCTCCCCCCAACCCCCCCCTAACCCCTTACCCCCCCTAACTCCTTACCCCCCCTTACCCCCCCCGCCCCCCTTTCTACAAAGGGCCCGAAGCAGTTGGCGGAGCACGAGGGTGGCAAGCGGCACGCGGCGGCGGCGGCGCTCGCCGCGCTGCCGGTCGCGCCGCCGCTGCTCGTCGAGTGCCGCCAGGTGGCAATGCAATACAATAATCAGAATGCAATATCATGTTCATATGATATTGCTGGTCGAGTGCCGCCAGGCGGAGAGGCGACTACAATACAACAGATTCAAATCATATTCGTATGATGTGATCTTGCTGGTCCGAGTGCCGCCAGGCGGAGATGAGCGAGCCGAGCCTGCGCGCGGCCTTTGGCCCCTTTGGCGAGGTCTGTCCTCCCTCCTCGCTCACGCATCTCGCTCGCTCGCTCGCTCGCACACACACAGACACAGACAAGACACAAACTCAAACACAAACACACAAACACTCACACACACCGCTCGCCCACGCGCACCGGCCTTGCACTCTGAATGCCGCGGGGCTCCTGTCTTACTTAGACGTGGAGTCGCGAGGGATAGCCATGCCCCACCACCTCCTCCGTGTGGAGAAGTTTACCTGACCTCCCTTCTTCTACCTTCTTCCACCTTCTTTCACCTTAGGTGCGGCAGGTGACCCTGCTCGGGCCGCCCGGCGGCGACGGCGCACCCGGAGGCAAGGAGAGGCCGTGGCGCGCGATGGTGCAGTTCAGCCAGAGCAGCGCCGCCGCGCGCGCGCTCGGGCCGACGGCGCGCCTCGCTCTGCCAGGGCCGAGACGGGAAGCTCTGGCCCCTCTTCTCACCGCCACTCACCGTGCTCTGTGTAGGCGCTCTACGTGACGGGCGACGCGGACGGCGTCAAGCGGCGGGTGTACGTGTCGGCGGATTGAGGCGTGGTTTGTTGGTGCCAGTCACTTCGCCGGCGCCGCCGTTCGGTAAGTGAGTCGATTCGATCGCATCGAGTCAGGTCTCACGTGTGGAGCACGCCGGAAATCGTCGCTGAGACAGAAATTTCCTCCGGGCCCTCCGCCAGTGCTGGCCATTTACTGGTATAGCCCCCCAGACACTCCCCCCCAGAACAATCAAACACTCTACGGCCAAAACAATCAAATGGTAAGGGCCAGTTCCATTTCACTGTGGCTCAGCTCGCGTTACAAAACCTCGCCTCCACCGAGCTTGGTACAGCAGGGGGACGCACGCGGGCGAGATTTGCTTCGAAGTTCGCGAGCTCGCGCGCGCTCCCTGGCCGCCCGCGCTGCTCCTGGTGGGGCGGAGGAGTCGCCGATGCCTCCTGGGCGGCCGCCCGCAGCCACTCGGCGGTCGGGTGGACCTCAACCGCCCTCCGCGCGCGCCGCTTCTGCCGCCGCCGCTCGGGCGCTGCACGCTCGAGTGCCATGCTGCACAGTCGCGATGCCGGTGTGGCCGTTCTCCAGTCGTAGTCGCGCCTCAGTAGGCTCTCGGCGGCTCCCGCCGCCACTGCTGCCGCCATGACCTGCGCCCTCCACAGCCAGTCGCGTGTGCTCGCTCGAACGTCGTGGCGAGCGCAGCTGCTCTGCTGCTGGTACGGCTACTTTCGCCGTACCGGTGCTAACTCTCGGTTCGACCGCACGTCCTACCGCTGGACTAGCTGCAACTCGCGGCGGCTCGCGGCGGCATGCGCTGTTGATCGACGGCGGCTACCCTCGCTCGCCTCGCTACCCTCGCTCGCGCCGCGGTCACGAACCAACTTGCCGCCGCCGCACTCCCGCCGCTCATTGCCGCCGCCCACACCGCCACCCTCACCGCCGCCGCCCTCCCACCCGACACTTTTGCGCTGACCGCGCATCCGCTTCGCCGCCACCCTCTCATCTTCCTCCAGTCCAGCCCGCACCGCCGTCTGAGTACTGAGATGCGGTTCAAGTGCTTGTCCGCCGAGCTGACAGTGCAAAATAAGTCGTCAAAGGTGCACCTGAGCTCCCCCTCTTCCCCATCTCTCCAGCCCCCTCCCCGACCGGCCGCGCGGACAAGAGCAACGACGGCGGCGAGGTCAGAGTCAGCAGCAGATGAGGCAGCAGCAGATGAGGTGGAGGGACCGGACGAAGTGCTGCTCGCGGTGGGTGCCGGTCGCGGGGGGCGCCGGGGGGGAGAGGGGAGGGGAGGGGAGGGGGGAGGAGTCTGGGTGGTGCACTTGCCTAAGGTTCTTGCCCTCGAATGCAGAATGCAACGAAATGCAATCACGCACAAAATGCATCGAATGCAGAATGCAACGAAATGCAATCACGCGCAAAATGCATCGAATGCATATGCAACGAAATGCAATCACGCGCAAAATGCATCGAATGTTGCAATGCAGTTGTAATGCAGGAGATGCATGCGAATGCAGAAAATGCACTGCATGGGCAAAAACCACACGCATTTTTGGGCAAGAACCACACTTTTCCCGGATGGTCTTCTACTACGGGTGCCTGTTTCATTGGTTCTCCAAGATGCAGCGCTCCGTCACGCTTTCGAGCGCCGAGGCCGAGTTCTTTGCCGCCAAGGAAGTTATCTTCATCCGCCGAGCTACTGATCGACCTCGGCATCCCTGTCGACGCCCCCAGCGTCATCAAGTGCGACTCTCCAAGTCCGCCGTCGGCATGGCCTTCGACCCCGTCGCATTCAAGAAGACCAAGCACATCCTGCGCGCCGCCGAGTTCCTCCGTGACCCTGTCGCACGCGAGGTCGTCTCTGTCGAGCACCTCCCCGGCGCGGTGATGCTCGCCGACATCCTCACCAAGGCTGCCTCTCGCGCCGTCTTTGTCGAGCTGATCAAGCAGCTCGACACCTTTGCATGATCACGTCAGTTGCGCTCTAGGGGCTGTCCCCCTTTTCACTGTGTTGTGTCCCTCGCACCCCCGTGCTCTGGCCAGGAGGGGCTGTTCCCGGGGCATAACTCCCCCACAGCGCAGACGTTCACACTTCCACACCCACAGCGCCTCGTCCAAGACCTGTCTTGTGTGTCCTGGACCTGTCTTGTGTTTCTGCTCGTTTTATATATGTCGCTTCACGCTCTCATTCTCCTCGATGCTGTCGTTCGCCGCGCTCCATTGCCTCGCGCGCGCGTCCTCTCTGCCACTGGCATCGTTCAGTCCTCACTGTGACGAGCTCCACCACCAAGTCATCCATCTCCTCCCGTGTCACGGCCACCACTGCCGCCACCGCCGCCGTCGCCGTCGCCTGCCTTCTCGCCGCGCCGCGGCCCGACCCCTCGGTCGCGCTCGGCTTTGACTCGCTCTTCGTGCCGTCGACTTCTCCGTTGCCGTCCGAGCGCTCGCAGACACCGCAGCGTGATCCCGACGTGCTGACGCTCGTTAGGCCTGCATGCATACTGCGGATTAAAAACTGTAGGTACCCTTAGACTAGTTGCAAAAAGTCTGTGCAAAAACGGTCAAAAACTACCAAAAACGCTGTCACGGCCAGCTCGGCACTATCTACTCAAAAAAAGTGACGTAGAGCACCCACTTTTTAAGCGTTCCGTGCACACACAAGGTCCGCCTGCGTGCACCGCCAGCTTCTCAGGGCCATCGCGCAAAAAACGAAGGAGGAGATGCATCCTAGCTGTCGCCACCGAAGGCGACTCGACGCCGCTGAGATCTGAGATCAAGCTCTGACAGGTCACACGTCGCTCCTTTGACGCCGACGTGACTCACCCGTACAGAGCGCATCAGGACACAGTCTCGACGCGCTCGGTACGACGCCTGCGACCCGTCTCGGGTCAGGTGGCACGACGCTCATCGCGCCTGCCAGCGCTGCCGTGCAGGCTGCCACGACAAGGTCGAGCACGCTTCTATACGCTCGCCCAGCCTTCCTTTCCATCCCATTAGGCAGCCTGGGAACGGTGGCGGTCAGAGGCAAAGCCTGCGAGGGGTGGTGGAACCACATGTCACGGCCACCGCCGGCTCGACCCCACGATAGCCTCCGAAGGCTGACTTTGCGGCACCATCATCGGACGATGTCGACGAGTTGGGTCGCTCTCGCGGTAGCCAGATGACCTCTCTTTCTAGGAGCATCGGCCATGGCCTCAGGGAGCGCGGGCGAGGGCGCTGGGAGCAACACGGAATAAAAAACATCAAAAGTGGTCCTGTTGACACCACCCCCGTATTTGCAACTAGTCTTTACGGATACTCTTCACGCACGCTGCCGGACAAAGAGGTAGAGCGCAAGCTCAGTTTCGCCCACCTTTACAGAACAGTACAATGTGGAGTGTTTCTCGACGGAGGAGTGGACGAGGCAGAAACAACGTCAACGAGAACAAGCCTCTCGCCGTTGTGTACACGTATCTCCACGAGCCGGAGCGACCGTACTCAAACAACGTGCTCCATCGACCGTACTCAAGCGACTGCACATACGTACTCCAGTCGCTGCTCTCTCGCGCGGGCACGCGACGCCTGCCTCTCCGTGCCGCTCACCAGCTTCCCACGAAGGCCGCGTCGAGCACCGCGTCGGCCGCGGCCTCGGCTGAGAGGCGCACCGTCGCCCAGCTCGGCCCGAGCTCGCGCGCGGTCTCTGCCATCGTCTGATTGGTCAGCACGAACGTCATCGCTTCCTTTAGGCCCGCCTCGTCCACGCGCACGACAAAGCCGCGCCCGCTGCTGCGCGGCTCGAGGATGGACGGCGCGAGCACCGCGTGCCGGCTGTCGATAATCTCCTCCGCCGCGCCGCCCGCGGGAGCGACGACTTGCAGGCCCGCCGCGGTCGCCTCGGCGAGCGGCAGCTGGAACGCCTCCGCCATCGAGGCGCTCACGTACGCGTCCGCGCTCTGGTACATTGCGGCCATGTCCGCCGCGCTCAGCTGCGCGCCGATGATCTCGACGTCGGCGTCGGGCCCGTCGACCGAGAGCGGCGGGCTGATCGCTTGCAGCGCCTCCTTTGCCTTGGCGCTCGAGCCGTACAGCGCCTCGAGGCCTTTTAGCACGAGCAGCGGCCGGCTCTGCTGCTTGCCGGTTGGCCGCAGCGTGCCGTTGCCGCCCCACCAGCCGCCGTCGCGATCGCCGCCGTCGCGCCCCACCGAGTGTGCGACCGACGCAAACGCCTGGAGTAGCATCTTCAGGTTCTTGTTCGGCGTGCCCGCGCCGACGTGCAGGAAGACGAAGCGCCCCTCCCAGCCGCGCTTCTTGCGTCGCCGCGCCCTCTGCTCCGCGTCGAGCGGCGCGTAGGCGGCGGGGGACACGCCGTGCGGCGCGAGGGCGATTCGCTCCCGCGGCACTCCGCACGAGGCGAGGCCTTCGAGTGAGTAGAGAGACGGCGTGAGCAGGCGCGTCGGCACGGCCATGCCGTGCGCGAGCGTGCCCCACGAAGGAGAGCCTTCGGCGATCCTGCCTGGGCAGCCGAGGTGCTCCGCCGTCGCAAAGACGAGGAGCCGCGCGGCGCCGGCGGGCGCGGTCAGATTGTACGGCCACGCGATGCGCACGACGACCGCGCCGGGTGGGACCTCCCCGGGTGGCAGCACGCGCACGTTTGGCGGCAGCGGCGTCGTCACTCTCGAGCGATGGCGGTCGTTGCCAAACGGAGAGGTCGCGTCGGACCACGAGAGGCGCACCCCGCACCGGCTGGCGAGCTCGGAGACGAGGGACGCGGCGACGAGCGCGTACGAGTGCGCCAAGCCTCGCCAGCCGTCGATGTGGAGCAGAAGCGGCGCGCGACGCGAGGCGGCGATCTCGTCCTCCTTGAAGTTCTCGGGCTCGTCCTCTCGGCAGCCGCCACGGACGACGAGGGCCTCGCGGGTGTTGGCGTAGGCGGCGCCGATCTCCTTGAAGTTTCGCAGCTCGAGCTCCTTGAGGTTGGTGCGCGCGACGTCGCCGATGACGCTCGCGTTCGTCGCGATCTGGAACTGCGCATACGCGGATCGGCCGGGCAGCATGCGCGCGCGCCGCCAGCAGCCGGCCGCGCCCTCCCAGTTCATCACCTCGCCATAGTACGCGGCGCTGCCTCGATTGACGAGCAGCGCAACGTCGCAGCCCTTGGCAGGGTGGTCGCTGTCCGTGTCGCCCTTGATGGGTACAACGGTCGGCTCGCACGCGCAGTGAGCCGTGACCGGCTCCCGCGAGCGCCACGCGGGAGCGACCGACTGCAAAAACAAGTCGCGAGGGACGATCGGCACCGCCGTCGCCGCGTCCATTTGGATGGGCGGGTCGGTCGGCAGCAGCGGCCGCCCGAGGAGGCGCGAGAGCGCGACTTGGTGGCGGTCGGCGCCGTTGCCGACGATGCGTTTCGTGCCGTGGCGCATGCCTCGCAGGAAGCCAGTCGCGAGCTCACCGGAGACGACGCCGTCCAAGTCAGTCCACGCGACCATACCGAGGAGCCCGTGGCCGCGTCCGACGGCCCAGTGGCGAGCGAGCACTGCAAACGTGCTCGACGCCGCTCCCACGAGCCCCGCGCATCGCGAGAGCGCAAACAGGTCGAGCAGCGCGTCGCGGCGCACCCTCTCCTGCGCGGCAGAGACCTCCGCCGCGCCTCCAATCTCACGCACAGCGCTCGCGGCCTGGTTATACGGCAGCGGCAGCCCGTGCTCATCGCTCATGCCGGTCGCGGCGAATGCGGTCGTGTGCGAGCCCATTGCGTGGCGGAACGCGCCTCCCGCGAAGCGCACGCTCGCGTTGGCCGCGCCGGCAAGAGCGTCGGCGATGCCGGCCGCGTCCTCGTCGTCGGTCGCGAGATAGACGAGCGGCGGAAGGCCCGTCGCATTGCGGTCGGCAGCCGTCGGCAGCATCGGAAGCAGCCGCGCGGCCGCCTCGACGAGGTGCTCCGCCCTCGGCATCTCGCGGTTGGAGTACTGCCTGTCCGTGCCGCCGCTGACGTCGACCACGGTCACGATGTCGCCCGATCGGAAGTGCGCGCCGAGGATGGGCGACGTCGAGAAGGCCGACGCGGCCGAGAAGCGCGGGCTCTGCGCGTCGCCGCCGCCGCCGCTCGAGCTCTCTGCAAGCCGAGCCTCGAGATAAGAGCGGACGCTCTTGCGGAGGCGCAGCACGCGACGGGCGACCGCGCCCGCCCAGCACTCGGCCGTGCGCACTGCGCTGTCGCCCACGCTGCTCGGCAGCAGCGCATGCAGCGGCGGCGGCGGCACGTACAGCGCCGCGCCGCGCAGCGGGGTTGACATGGTCACCCGAGACACGTCGGAGTAGGGCTCGGGGATGAATCGCAGCGCCTCGCTGCGGAAGACGTGCGCGTGCCACTCGCACGAGCCCAGCCGCTCAAAGTAGCACGAGAAGCCGAACGTGTCGCTCGCTGCCTCTGCGCTGCAGTTGGCGCCGCGGAAGATGGGCGGGTGCGTCTCTCGAGGGCCCCACAGCAGCGTGCGATGCGAGTGCACCGCCTGCGCCTGGGCGTACACCGCTGCCATGAGCGTCGAGCCGACGCCTTCAAAGTCCTTTGGGTCGCCGCCGGCGATGAGGAGACGCGCCGTCGAGCAGTCGGGAGGCGTCTGCGACGCCTCGAGGTACGCTGCGGCCGCGGAGCGGAAGGCGGCGCCGCACTCGGGCTCGGGGCCACCATCGTCGCCCTTGTCGCCGCCGGCCTCCGCCACCGCCGCCTCTACCGCCGCGTCGAGCCGATCGGCCCACGGCGCTGATGGTGGCTGGGTCGACGAGCGCGAGGGCAAGCGGTTTAGGCGGCCGGCGAGGGCTTGCATTTGGCTCGATGAGGCGGTGGAGGCGGCCGGGGGGGAGGAGGGCGACGATGGGGGCGACGAGGCCGGGTGCGGGGCCGAGTGCGGCGCCGCGTTCGGAGCGGCGTTCGCGGCGTCGCCGGCGCCGCCGCCATTCTCGCCACCGCCGCCGCCATTCTCGCCGCCGCCGCCGCCGCCATTCTCGCCGCCGGCCGCCGCGGCCGCCGCCTCCTCGAGACGAAGAAAACCGCCGCCGCCGGCCCGCACCGCGTGCGGCGGCGTCGCCCACCTCGTCCGCAGCTCATGCACTCGGCTCGCGTTGAGCAGCGGCAGCGGCGGGAAGAAGTGCGCCGCCTCCACGGGCGGCTCGCCGCAGCTCGATAGGAAGTTGCTCGCGACGTACTTGGCGGCCGAATGCGGCGGCGCGCCCGCGTGCACAAAGCCGAGACCCGCTGGGAAGAGCAGCAGCCTGCCGCGCGCCGGCCGCACCTCAACCGGCTGCGGGCGCATGAATACGGTCTCTCCGCCGCTGGGCACGTCGTTGAGGTAGAGCAGCGCCGCGATCGCGCGGCAGCCGGTGCCGCTGCTGCCGCTGTCGACGTGCCAAGCGTGGTGCTGCGGCGGCTCGGGCGGCTCCGATGGCAGGTACCGCTTCAGCCGGAAGCCTTCGTCTCGCATCTGCTGCGGCGCATCGACGCCGGGGTTGAGCTCGCTGTAGTCGGCGAGCGCGCGGAGCACGCCCTGCAGCAGCAGCAGGTCGACGCCCTGCCACACGGCCGACGGGGAGCGCGAGACGTCAATCTCGGTGGTGAGCTTACCCTCGGTGTCGACGACGAAGCCGTCTCCGCGGCTGACGCTGCCAGCGTAGTGCTCGGCGCGGCCCTCGGCGGACTCGAACGCGGCGATGATCTCGTCGCACAGGTCGTCGCTGAGCACCCCGTCATACACCGCGACGGCCGGATCGAGGCTCGGCAGCGACGCCTCCGTCGCCCGCCGCCTTGCCGCGTCGTGCGCCCTCGCCGCCTCGAGCGTCTCTGCCCGCGGGTAGAGCGGCGCGCTCGAGACCCGCGGCGGGATGAGCACGCGCCGCCGTGTGCGCCGCTCGAGCAGATCCTCCAGCATCGCGAGATTGAGCGCGATGCTCGCGCGCGTGCTGTCGGCCCCGTCCGGCCGCTTGAGCGCCGCGAGCCAGCACGCCTCCGCTCCGAAGAGATCGCCGCGACGAAAGCGCCCCATGCCGAGCTCCGCGATGGCCGACGCCGCGAGCGCCTCGTCGTCGGCCGCGTCGCACCGGCGCGACGGCTCGCGCCCGCCGACGCCGCCAGAGTGCATGAGCATGCCGACGCCCACGGTGTGGTTGGCGCGCGCCGCGAGCGCCGCTGTCTGCGCGGCCGCGAGCGCCGCCGCCGCCGCGCCCGACATGTCGTCGCAAGCGCCGCCACCGCCGCCGAGCACGCGTGCGTACGCTTCGGCAGCATATGCCGTCGCCCACCGCGCCGCGGCGGGCGAGGGCACGCGCGCCGCGTACCCCGGCGCGGTCGCGCGGCCGTCCTTGGCGTCGAGCCCGCCGGCACGAAGCAGCGCGGACGTCTCCGCGGCGGACGCGCGCAGGCTTAGGTGAGGGAGCACCCGCGAAGGCACCGCGTCGGGCAGATCGGAGTGATCGATCACCAGGGAGAGCGGAGCGCCGAGGGAGACGCCGCGGCCGAGCGAGCCGCCCTCACGGCTCTCGCCGCCGCTCGCGCGGTCCTCGTCGAGCTGGCGGCCCATCGCGGCGTACAGCGCGTGCACGTGCGCCGCGCAGTACTGCTCGGCGCTCAGCTCGAGAGGGTCCGCCGCGCCGGCGACCGCGAGGAGACCGGGCAGCTGGTGCTCGGGAAGGCGCGCGCGCCAGCGCAGGCACGGCGCGTCGTGGAGCTCGAGGCGGGAGGCGGGCGCGAGGAGGCTCGCGAGCGACGCGGCCGGCTCGCGCACGAGGTACACGAACGGCGTGCTCGGGAAGGCCGCGCGCAAGAGCCGCAGCGACGAGGGCCACGCGGTGCCGGCTGTAGAGAGTTTGACCACGAGCGAGGTGCGCCCGGCGTAGGCGCGGTCGTTGGTCGCGCCGAGGCGGAGCGAGGCGGACGCGCGGAAGAAGAGGTGCGCCACCGCGCGCAGCGCGCGCGCGCGGAAGGCATGCGTCAGTGAGCGCAGCGGCGAGTCGGCCTCGTCGGCCGACGGCGCGGCCGAGAGGAGGAGGTCGGTAAACGCCTCGGGCTCCTTGAGCGCCACCACGTCGGGCAGCGAGCCGAGCATATTGGCAAGCGCGGTCGATCCGACGCGGCCACCGTGGACCACAAAGCCGCGCGGGGACGACCAATAGTCCTCGGGTGTCTCTTGCTCCAGCAGACGCATGAGCTCGGAGAGCGGCACCGGCGGCAACGCTCGGCTTGCACAATCACCCATCTCCATGAGATTTGAGAAGAATGGTACGGGTACGGTCAGGTTTAGCGTGCAGAGGTGCACGCCGTGTGCGTCCACGCGCATGGGCGACGCCCATGGCGAGATTTGCATTATACCCACCGCCTCCACCCCGCCGCCAGCGGGTCGTGGGGGGGTCTGAAAAGGGGAGCTCCCTCTCTCCCCACCCCGAGAACCTCTGCCCAAGCTGATGGTGCCCAGTCCAGAGGGCCTCAGGGGCTGTAGAGTCACACCTAGGAGAGGGGGTAGCTCACACCTTGTGGGCCGCACTGACCCTTCTCCCACGTGCCCTTGCCCGCCCCTCTGACCGCCGCCCGAGAGGCCCGACTTTAAGGGGCTGGTGAGAGCCCCCACCGTTGCGCCCTCACCTCACGCTGATATATCCTTTGGGAATGCCCATGGGACCTGGGGGCAGCTTTGCCCGCGGGTGCCATGCTAGGCTATGGTAGCCATTCTCCCAGATTCTCCGGAGAGGCCGCAAAAGCGGCCAAGGCGGCCTCCACTCAAGGATCGTTGGGATTTTCTGGTGACCCCGGCTACGTGCTGTTCGCCCCCGGCTACGCCTGGCACAATTTATTAGAAGTCGGGGCTTCATCTTCCGCCCGAGAGAAAAATCCCTCTTGTCTCTCAGCCCACTTGCCCATAGCCGCCGAGACGGCGCGCTCTGCTGACTCTCATCTAGCACCCTCTTGGGGCCTCTCCTGCCTGACCGCTGTGGGCCTCTCCAGACCTCCTCTTGCCTATGGGAGTACCCCTCCCAGTCTACTTCCTAGGACACAGGCACAGGTTTGCATAATGCAAGCTCTTTCTCAAGGGCTACAGTGCAGAGAAGAAATGCGCATTAACTCGCACCGGGGTATAAAGGCTCCGCATGGGTACAAAGGAGATATTTTTAAGGGGACACAGACATGTTCACGGTGAGCCGTGGGTCGCGACGCGTTGTCCAAAGCCACCGTCCAGATCATGACGCTGTGGCGTCGACTGCGTCACCGGCAAGCCGTGCCGCCGCAACGCCCGCGCGCGTGGAGCCGAGCCCTCATCTGCGGGTGTGAGGGTGTGATGGTACCGAAAAGAAAGTAGACGGACATCCCAAGCTAGGGCCTAGGGGCTGGGGAGAGGAGAGGGAGGAGCGGAAGACACATATGGCGCGGAGAGTGCTGGGCACAGGGCCGCACAGGGCACAGGGGGGCTCTCTCGGATATGATACGCACTCGGCGGCTCGAGGTCGTGGCAAGGCTATAGTTATTCCTGTGTGTATGTAGGGCCGAGCGTTTTTGATCTCTCGGTAAGTGGGCGCCCGCCCGCCGCCTCTGAGGGGGTCGGGCCCCCTAGACTGAAAACAAAAACAAAATGTAGAAACCGTCGAAAACAGCCTGCGAGCGCGGCGCTGCGCGCCGCCTACCTCGTGCGGGTGTGAGTGACCCCAAAACCTTGGGTTCGAGGACGACGACATCGAGGATGTCATGTTGCGCGATGGCGTCATCCATTTCGTCAAGCCACCTTCGCCACCGTCTCGCCTACGTCGCCGCCTCGGCTCCCCCCCCCCCCTCCGCTGAACGGTACTGCACATGCTGCGCGTTCTCGCCTTGTCCCAGGAGCCAGGAAGGTGCGTGTGTGTAATCGTAGTGGGGGCCCTGGCCCCCGTCTGTTTTCTGTTTTCTGTTTTTCAACGCGCCCGCCCGCCCGCCACCCCGAGGCGGCTCGGCCCCCCACTTACCGAGAGATCAAAAACGCTCGGCCTAGGAAGGTGCGAAGAACAGCCAGGCTCGGACTGGCTGTTCTTCAGCCTCTGTTCTTTCCTTTTTCGCTAACAGTTTTTCTTCTTTGCCATCACCTCGGCTACAACGGCACAGGTCTCCTCTCCTTCTTCCTCTTGGCCGTGCGGGCCCGACTCGGAGCTGCTGCCGTTTGAGCTCACTGAATACGCGCGGCTCTATAAGCTCCAGGACGAGATGCACGTGGCGGCACAGGAGGAGGAGGAGGACACGGAGGAGGAGGAGGAGGAGGACGAGAGGGCGCTTAGGGAGGAGCGGACACGCGCACTCCTAGGAGAGGCACCGACGATGACGGTGCAGGAGTATTCGGACCTCGTTAACCGGGTCTGTGCGCGCGCCTCGGCGCGCGCGGCTCAGTCGACGGCTCAGCCGGCGATTTCGAGGTATGAGGAGCTGGGAGACGAGATACGGGTCGAGGGGGCTCGCTTGGGGGCGCTCGAGTTCAAGGCGAAGGAGGCTTTTCTGGCGCGGAGCGGACTTAGCGGCCAGGCGTTGGAGGCCGAGGAGATGCGGTTGATGCGGCTGAGGGAGGGGGCGAGCCTGCTCCGCAGGACGCCTGCCACGGCCACGCCCCTCGGGGCGAAGAAGGCGGGCAAGCGTGCAGCGGAGGCGGCGCGCAGGGAGATTGCGCTTGAGAGGGAGGTGTGGGTTGACGGAGAGTGCCGGGGTGGGCGTCGTAAGGAGAGAGAGAGAGAGAGAGCTCTCTCTCTCTCTCTCTCTCTCTCTCGCGCGCGTCGTAAGGGTGAGGGCGATTGCCGCCCTCCCCCCTTCGCCCACCTCGACGCCTTCGCGTAGGCGCCCCCGCGACTGTGCCTCTTTTGGTACTGTGGCGTACCTGTGTCGAACCTGTGTGCTGTGAGAGAGAGTTCTCGTCGTTGAATTCTTCTTTGCCTTTGCTCTCTGACGCTGCCGCCGGGCAGGACGCCACAGAGATCCGCGATGTCCAAGGCCAAGAAGGCGCTCCTTCAAGAGCTGGGCCAAACGCACCTTTTCGACGGCTGGGGCTCCAAGCCATCGGCGGCCGACGAGTCGCGCTTCTACAAGCAGATCGAGGACCTCGACGCCTCGTACCCGGGCGGCCTCAAGGCGTACGTCGATAACGGCCGCAAGCTGCTCGCCGACTCCAAGGCTGGAGTCAACCCGCTCGAGGGCTGGACGCCGAGCGTGCCGGTGGGCGAGACCGTCGCGTACGGCACGCCCGAGTTTGACGAGGTTGAGGCGGCCGGCATGGCGGCTGTCAGCGGCGGCGGGTGCGGCTTTGTGCTGGTCGCGGGCGGGCTGGGCGAGCGGCTGGGCTACTCGGGGATCAAGGTGCAGCTCCCGACGCAGCTGACCACCGGCACCACCTACCTCGAGCTCTACATCCGCCACATCCTCGCGCTGCAAGGGAGCGGCGCGCCGCTGCCGCTCGCAATCATGACCTCGGTGAGGGGCGCCTGCCGCGCTGCGCGGCGCCGCGCCGCCCACTCTCGCCGCCGGGCGCCGCCTCCCGTCCGCGCCCTCGCACCCACGCGCCGCCGCCCGCCGGCACTGCAGGGGGACACCGACGCGCAGACCCGCGCGCTGCTGGACGCAAACGCAAACTTCGGCATGAGGGCGGGGCAGGTCACCATAGTCCGGCAGGAGAAGGTCGCCTGCCTCGCGGACAACGACGCGCGCCTCGCGGCGGACCCGAAGGACCCCTACAAGCTCCTCACTAAGCCGCACGGGTGACAGACCTCCCCAGACCTCCCCATGTCTCTCCAGATCTCTCCGGATCTCCCCATATCCCCCCATATCTCCCCATATCTCCCCATATCTCCCCGAATCTCCGCAGCCACGGGGACGTGCACTACCTCCTCCACTCGAGCGGCACTCTCGACGCCTGGCTCAAGTCCGTAGAAGCGGAAGACGCACTCTCGCACCCCAACCAGCCCTCGAGGGCGGACGCGTGCTCCAGCTGTATTCGACCGTACTCCGCTGCATCCCGCCGCACTCGTCCCCCCTCGTCTCCACGCAGTGCTCGGAGTCCACCGCACAAGACCGCGCCTCCCCGCCCTGAGACATGGCGTCTGCTCACCGCAGGCCGCCCATCTCTCCCCATCTCTCCCCACCTCTCCCCACATCTCCCCGCCCCGAGACATGGCGTCTTTCTCACCGCAGGCTCGAGTCGGGCGTGCAGTGGGTGTACTTTATGCAAGACACAAACGCGCCGTCGCTCAAGGTGCTGCCCGCCGCAATCGGCATCTCGCGGCGGAACCAGCTCGACGTGAACTCGGTCTGCGTGCCCCGCATGCCGGGCGAGGCGATCGGCGGGCTGATGAAGCTGACGCACGCCGACGGGCGCACCCAGACCGCAAACGTCGAGTACAACCAGATCGACGCGCTGCTCAAGGCGAGATACGAGGAGATCTGGGGAGATATGGGGAGATATGGGGAGGTACAACCAGATCGACGCGCTGCTCAAGGCGGCGGTGGAGCGGAGATGCGGCGGAGATGCGGCGGAGATGCGGCGGAGATGCGGCGGAGATGCGGCGGAGATGCGGCGGAGATGCGGCGGAGAGATGCGGCGGGGAGATGCGGCGGAGATGCGGCGGAGATGCGGCGGAGATGCGGCGGAGATGCGGCGGAGATGCGGCGGAGATGCGGCGGGGAGATGCGGCGGAGATGCGGCGGAGAGATGCGGCGGAGATGCGGCGGGGAGATGCGGCGGAGTTGCGGCGGAGATGCGGCGGAGACGTGACTGCTCGGCGCAGTGGCTGCAGCGGCGTCGGTGCACTCCCCACAGCGAGTCCCAGCCTGCTCCATGCCCCCTCGCGCCGGCCCCGTCCCGCGTAGGCGACGGTGGAGCCGAGGGGAGACGTCGCCGATCCTGCGACCGGCCGGTCCCCCTACCCAGGCTCCATCAACCAGCTCCTGTTCGCGCTTGGGCCGTACGCCGCGCAGCTGCACAAGACCGGCGGCACCATGCCCGAGTTCGTCAACCCGAAGTACGCCGACGCGAGCAAGACCAAGTTCAAGTCGCCCACGCGGCTCGAGTGCATGATGCAGGAGACGCCTCTCCCCATATCTCCCCAGATCTCCCCAGATCTCCCCGTATCTCCCCGAACCTCCCCATATCTCCCCATATCTCCCCACATCTCCCCGTATCTCCCCACATCTCCCCACATCTCCCCACATCTCCCCACATCTCCCCACATCTCCATATCTCCTCACCCCGAGTGCACGATGCAGGAGCCGATCTCGGCCAATCTCGGCCAATCTCGGCTGCTCACCTCGGCTGTACCTCGGCTCTACCTCGGCTCTACCTCGGCTGTACCTCGGCTGTACCTCGGGTGCGTCATGCAGGACTACCCCAAGTCGCTGCCCCCCTCGGCGCGGGTCGGCTTCTCCGTCATCTCAAACACGACCGCCTTCTCGCCCGTCAAGACCAACCTGGCCGACGCGCGGGCAAAGTCGGCAAAGGGCGAGCCGACCTACTCCGCCGCCTCGGGCGAGGCAGATGTCTACGCCTCCGCCTGCGAGGTGCCTCGCCGCGCCGGGCGCCACACCTCCCCACATCTCCCCACATCTCCCCACATCTCCCCACATCTCCCCACATCTCCCCACATCTCCCCACATCTCCCCACATCTCCCCACATCTCCCCACATCTCCCCACATCTCCCCATGTCTCAGGTGCTCGCCGCGTCGGGCGTCCGGCTGCCGCCGCCGGTGCACGCCCCGCCCGCCTCTGCCACCTCTCACCACCACTCCCTCGCCCATCACCGTGCCGCCTCCACCCCGTCGTCTCTGCCCCTCGCCCCTCGCCCACAGCACGCCCCCTCCCCTCCCCCGCCGCTGTCTCAAGCCCCCCCCTTTCCCCTCCTCCAGGTGCACGCCATCCGCGACGGCGTCGGCGTCGTCGACACGCCGCGCGTCGTCATCGACCCTTCCTTTGGCCCCACCCTCGCCGCGGTGCGCGACAAGCTGCCCACGCCGCACGCCGTCTCGCTCGCGCAAGGGTCGACACTGGTCCTCGAGGGCGACCTCACGCGGGTGCGGCTCGAGGCGCTCTCGCTCGACGGTGCGCTCGTCGTGCGCGTCGTGCCCGGCGCCGACGTGACGATCCGCAACCTGCGCGTGAGCAACAAGGGGTGGGAGTTCGGCGGGCTGACGGGCGGCGAGCCGGAGGAGCTCGCCAGATCTCGCCAGATCTCCCACCCTCTCCGACGTAGGCGAGCTGACGGGCGGCGAGCCGGAGGAGCTCGCCATCCGAGGGTACAAGCTGCGCAAGCTGCAGACGCGCGAGCTCATCTTTGACCAGCCGGGCGTGTACGTCGTCGACGACGGCCCGCTCGGCTTGCCCGCCCTCGTCAACTCCTTCTCGCTGCTCGGCGTCGCCGTCGCGCTCGCCGCCGCGCTCGCCGGCATGGTGCTGCTGCGCCGTTCGCCGTGATGGGGGGGATGGGTGGCAGGGAGAGCGGGCTCTCACTGCTGAATTAGTCTATATTTACTTCCCGGGCGTGCGGACCGCCGAGCATGAGGTGTCTCTACCCTCTTGATTGCAAGTTGCGCGCGGGCGAGGGCCGCTCAGTCGGCGACGAGTGCAGCTATCGAGACGTCGATGGCTGTCGTGTGATGTGTATGCGTTGGAGATGCGATGCCGCGTGGTTTGCGTTTGGCGCTCGATGTTCATTGACAATATTCAACGAAAGTGACGCGTCCAGTTACTCTAAGCCAACAGTAGAGCCCTCCTACACCCCGACGCCCGCCAATGTCCTCACCGAACAGACCCCGAGATGACGACCGGCACGCGGAAGAAGGAAATAGCCGCGGCGAGACAAAAGAGAGAAGCCCTGCTCTCTCTCTCTCTCTCTCGCTCGCTCGCTCGCTTGCTGCACTGCACACGCACCACGCACCCACGCGCCCGCGACGCTCCGCGAGCCCGATTCGAACTCGGGTCCAGCCACCCAAAACCGAGCTCTGAACCGCCGCGCCACGCGGCTCTCCTGCAAGCCTCACTCCTAGCATCTCATATACTTCCCACCCTGAATGTGCCAGGACATGAACCTTCGACGTCCCCGACGCGCCCCTCAAGGAGAAGATGCTGGTGATGAAGGCCGGCAACGGCATCAAAGCCGAGCACGTCGCCACGATCGTCTCCGCGATGTTCATCGAGGCGGGCCACGACGAGTTCGAGCACAAACTCACTCTGCAGCATGGCAGGAACTCTACTTTCTACCTTCTCGGCGAGCTTCAGGACGGATTTACGTTCGAGTCCATGGCCTCTTCCATCGCCACCATCGGGGTCACGACGACGATCAACTCCTACTTCGTCGAGAAGTTCCTGGGAGGCGGATAGCCAAACCACTTGGCCCTCGGTTTCTTTTCTTCTCTCCTCACCCCCCCTCCCTCCCTCCCCCCTCCTTCCCCCCCTCACCACAGGGGACCCCAACGACATCCCGGACGGCGGCACGATCGTCTTCTCGGTCGCCGACGTCGACGACGCCGTGGAAGACTCGGTCCCAGTCAAGATCGACCGCAACAAGCCCGACCCCTCTGACATCCACTTGCGCCTGTCCGCCCCGCCCCAGCCGGGCGCCCTTCTCGGGACCATCGACGAGGGCGAGGTCCACAACACGCTCGTGCGCGAGTTCAAGGTGCCGCGCGGCTGCTCGCTCGGGATCACCAACCTGCGCAAGAGCGTGATCAAGGCGTTCGGGGGCGAGGCCCTGCAGCTCTCCTCCCAGACGTACTACTGTGAGATCCACGTCGTCCGCGGAGGCATCAAACAGGAACGCCCATGCTCCTTACCTATTAAGACTCTCAATCCGCCACACCCACAAACTGCCGAATCACACCATACCCACAAGTGGCCGAACCCATCCCCTACTCACAAAGTACCGAACCCACGCGCAGGACCCCATCGCCATCGCAAAGCCCCCCAAGATGATCACGACGGGCTACGGCGCCAAGCTCATGGTCGAGATCCTCCCGCAGATCCGGGGAGCGTACGCCCCCGCCGTCCGGTGGGCCATGGACCAGTCCAAATCCTCGGAGGAGGGGACGCTGATGTACTTCGACCGCGTTTCCGCCCCAGGCCGAGGCGAGACCTACCAGTCCGTGAGCGAGTCCCTGAATAAAGGGCTGTACGTCCTCTGCGAGAACTACGGCATCGCGATGGCCTACCGCAACGGCGTCCAGCTCGACAAGACGAAGACCTACTTCGGCTTTCACAGCGAGGTATTTCTTTTTCTTTTTCTGCGCCTTACCCTCTCCAACCCACCGCACTCCCAACACCCATCGGCGCATGCAGGTCCAGAAGAACGCCTTCGTGGACGCCTTCAACATCAACCCCAAAGGCATCCCACAGATCAAGCTGAACCACCTCGGGACGATCTTCGTTGACAAGAACGGGTACGACTGGAAGGTCGGCTTCACCAACAAGAACATGACCATCTTTTGCGACAAGTGCCTCAAGCTGACCCCTCGGACCTCGTACTGCAAGCCCGTCCAGGACCGCATCATCCACCTCCAGCAGGCAGCTCCAACCCAAAAAGAAAAACACCCTCCCTCAAATAAAGAAAAACACTCCGACCCCTCCCCCCCTGCGTGCACAGATGGGACTCATCGGCAACGAGACGCAGCTCATGTGCACCTGCATCGGCGTGTACCGCGGCGGCAAGAAGAACATGGCGTCGAGGGACGAGGTGGAGAGCAAGAGGGACGAGATCCGCCGCCGCAAGCGAGCCCGCCAGGGGGGGGCCTCCTCCTCCTCCAACGCCGACATGCAGAACACAGCCTGACAACTAGTTACGGTGCTGAATAAGCACCAACTCCCACCCCGAGATCCAGATCTCACACTAGTACCCATCCAGAGAGGCACCCCCCTCGGCAACCCTCTCGGCATGAGAGGAGAGGCAGAGAGAGGACTCGTAATCGACGGGTTTGCTGAGATTCTAGAAGACGGGAGACCTCCGCTGGAGGTGGCGAGAGACTACACCCCTCCCCTCCGTATCCATCACGGGACAGCGCGAGTCACGAGAGAACAGCGCAAAGAGATGCTGGGAAGAGTCCTCTCCCTGATGCTGCAGGGCAGACGCGTGGGGCTGGTGTGCGCATGCGCCCCCTTAGCATGCCACGGGGACGTTATTGCTGCCAAACTAGTGCGCATGTACTGCGACATCGCTAGCCCGTAGAAATTGTTAACAAAGAACACCCTTAAAAACCCAAACGAAAGATGGCGTAGTGTGTGTAGCACCGCTGCCAATGTCTGCCGGGGCGTCACACTGACAGCGAGAAGGAACTCACCAGTCCGATAAGGATCAACTGGAAAGCTGAACCCTGGGCTTAGACAGAACGGGCGTGGCAGGCTCCAGGGGAGACCACGCTCTACCCGGGGCGCTAAGGAGGGAAATCGAAGCTGTTGGGCGTCCAGCGAGAAAACTCGCGAGGACACACCGACAATCCCCCCTCCCCGAGGACCGAACCTTGGCACGTAGAGCACGGGTCATCTCGGAGAGAGAAAGGGGAGGGAAGAGGGGGGGGATAAGGGAGCCAGATACGCGGGAGTACCCTGGGAGTGAGAGCTCTCATTCATGGTCGCGAGACCAGGGGAAGCCATCATGGGGAACGAGCACACCAAGGCACTAACTTCATCACTCATTCGCCCCGCATTAGGTAGCGACCCCAGGTTCAGAGCTAGGCTTCCCGACAGGGCAGGGAACCCCCAGCGCGCAGGCGGGGCCCACGGTAGCCTCGTGCAGTACGCGATACCGAGAGCTGGGGGAGAGGCGCGCCACGCCAAGGGGGAGAGAATGGAGGGGGGAGAATATGCGTGTCGTTTTTCTTCTAAAGCAATTTTTTTTCTAAGTTAAACATCACAGAGTGTGGAATCACCTAACACGCGTCAGCGCTGCCGTCATGCCACTGTGTGCTGTCGCGTGTGTCCCGGGAGAGCTGTCGGCGGCAGTACCGCAGTACTACTGGCACCGGCAGCGTGTCACGTGTCAGGCTGCGTCACGTTAGGGTCTGACTTGTGGCTCGTTGTGCGAGTATATGGGACACGATGTCTCAAATATGAGGGGTTTTGACTCCTACCGGCTCCTGACGCTATTCCTGGCAGCTCTTATGACCAGGATCAGTAGTGCTATGATACAGGGTGCCCATGCTAGCGCAGGAGCTGCCACACTCGCCCGGACCGTCCCCTTCTGGGGCCGGTTCCGCAGCCCGCGAGAGCCGACAGCGGGGCCGTGCCGCGGGTGCCTACTGCCGAGTGCCACAAACACTGCGCCGTCCCGCCATCACCTACAGGCTGTCTTGTGTGATGGTTGGGATGTCCAAACGCCACCATCTTGGTCCTTGCGACCTCAAACCCGCGAGCTGTATGGGTGGTCCTGACGTCGACAGACGCCCAATGACCACGGTGAAGCTGAGCCGGAACGCGTCGACAAGTCTCGCCTGAGCCCGTGGCGGTCGCCGGCTGGGTCGCTGTGGTGCGGACTTGCTGAGTCATGTGTGCTCCTTTTTTTTTGCTTGCTAAGACTGGAACAATTTTTTACTGAGTGGGGGCAGAGGGGGGGGGCGATCAACACCACTGGCACCGCACACACACGGCCCACACATTCGGGCCCCCCCACAGTGGCACACAGACATCCAGGAATCGCGTGCGTCATCCCCCGCACCGCCCACCCCCGCGCGCCGCCGCCGCGCCTGAGTAGTGAGTTGTACATACACTCAATACGCAAACGAGGCGGCCACGCTGTCGCCGCTCCCACTCCCGCCGCCGCCGCGGCCGCCCCCTCCACGCCGAGGTACTAGCTACCGTACTGGCACCGGCAGCGTGTCACGTGTCAGGCTGCGTCACGCTAGGGTCTGACAGCACCGGATCCCCTCCGATGTCAGACCCTGCTGTCAGGCTGTCAGATCCGTGCTGTCAGGCTGTCGAAGAAAGTGCTGTCAGAGCGTCGGGCTGTCGGGCACTGTCAGGCGCTGTCCGGGTTAGGGGTTTGCTGTCAGGCTGTCAGACCAGGCCTCAGGTCACCCTCAGACGCAGCCGGTCTCCCGCTGGCTAGCCCGCTGGTTGTTGGCGCATTTCAGCAGCTGCACCCGCGTGCGCGCCGCGATGCCTGACGTCCCGAGTCCGTTGTGCCGGACGCCAGGATACGGAAACGGGTGCATCGACTGCCAGAGCCACTGGAAGAAGGACTTCTTGCCCTGTTCGGCATCGGTGAGCGGCGCGTCGAAATCAAGCGACCGGCAAGTGCCCAAAGACCACCCATCGCGTTCCGCCGCGCCAGTCGCAGATTCCGAGGGCACAAATCGTGCGCAAACTTGCAGCTCATCGGGCTGAAGTGCGGCGGCGAGTGCGCTGTCCGCGAGGAAGAGCTGCTGGCTTACCTGGTACAGCAGCATGTTGCGCCAGAAGGCCGGAATGCAGGGCGCCAGCTTAGTGGCCATCTCCTCCATCATCTCGAAGCTCCACTTCAGGAGGCGGCAGTCGGTAACGGCTGTGGCCGCGAAGTGCGTCTGCGACAAGAGCCCGACCCGTATGCCAAACACGTTGGCAACGGCGAGATCGAAAAGCGTGCCGCTGAAAATCCGCCGTTTCGTCGGCTCCTGGTTGCTCTCATGCGAGACTTCCAGCTCGGCCACACCGTCGATGAGCAAGAAGAAGCTTTGAAGGTGCTCGTGGAGGCCGATGATGCTCTCCCCGGCCTTGATGGTGACGAACTCGCCGCGTCGCACCACCTGCTCGAACTCCAGCCGCTTCATGCCAGAGCGCCGGTAGAAGAAGCGCCACGTCCGCTCCTCCTCCTTGGTCTTGAAGTGGACCGGGCGCTCGTCGCGCAGCAATAGCACCACGACGATTCCGTTCATGACGAAGCCCAGAACCCCCCAGCACAGCATGTCGAGGATCAGCACCCGCGTCTCCGACGATGAAGCCCATCCATCTCCCCACTGTGGGTTGCCCGTCGCCGCCACGATCACCATCCACATGAAGCCCGCAGCCAGGCAGCTTTTGATGAGCAGCACGTCTGAGAAGAGGGCGGCGAGGAAGAAGAAGATATTGAAGAGCCAGTTGTATGCGTGCGGCACGCCGGTAGTCACATAGGAGGTGAAAACCATTGTGCTTGGTTGGATCTGCGAGGGCGCAGGTGACGGCGGGCGAGCGTCAGCAGCATAAAGTGGGCTGAGCATGCGGGAAATTGCCAGATTCGCGTCGCTTGCGTCTACTTGCTCGGGCGGCAGTGGCGGCGTTTTCGCAGCACGGCGTGCAGTATGCACGGGCTCGCTGCAGTGTTGGTTGGTGGGCGAGGCGGCCGGACAGGCGCGCGGGCACTCAACGCGCTGCGTCGCGCCGGGCGAGGGCGAGGCGAGGGCAGCTTTTGCGCCTCTCTTCGTTCCCCCCTTGACCTCTGCGTTTCGTTTTTTCTCAGACCACGTGCCTCTGCACCTCCGTTCACGTGCACGGAGCTTCTTGAGCCACCCACCCACCCACCGACCTCATGGCCCGGCTGAGGCTTAGAACCACCCACCCACCCCACCCCACCCACCTCACGGTCCGGCTGAGGCTTGGAACCACCCAACCCACCCCCAGCACCACCCACCTCACGGCCCGGCTGATGAGGCGAGGAACCCACCCACACAGACCGACCCACCCCCACCACCCAACCAAGCGTCCCGGCCACGGGAGACACAAGCAAGGTAGCAAAGCACCCAGCCTCGCGCGCCTTATACAGCACAGCCTGACCCACAGCCGAGCGAGGGTTACTCGAGTAGGGTTAGGGTTAGCGTTAGGGTTAGGGTTAGGGTTAGGGTCAGAGAGTTCAAGCCGTTGTGCAGCTCCTAAGAACGGGCCGCTTCGGGTCGGAATGGAGGAACTAGCGGTCCGTTGACGCGAGCTCTCGGTGAATGCTCCGAGTTCTTCGGGTTAGGGTACGGGTTAGGGTACGGGTTAGGGTACGGGTTAGGGTTAGGGTTAGGGTTAGGGGTAGCTTGTTGTCGTCGTGCCGATAAGACAGAGACACGGGCAGCAGACGCGACCCAATCGACGCACCAGAGCATGGTTGGGCGTGTGAGCCGCGCCATCTTGGACTGTGAGGCGAGCATTTGCCACCGGGAGCTCGCCGCCGCCCCTACTTTTTGGTACACCGCCGCCGCCGCCCTCCCGAGGCCAGATAATAGCCCAAGTCAAGAGAAGTCGAAGAGTGCGCGCCGCCCTCGGTATCTGGGTGGCAGGCAGGACTAGAGAGGCACGCCAGAGCACGGCCGGGGGCGCGAGCCGCCATCTTGGACTGTGAGGCGAGTATTTGCCACCGGGAGCTCGCCGCCGCCCCTCTACGCCGCTGCCCCCCGCCGCCCTCCCGAGGCCAGATAATAGCCCAAGTCGAAGAGTGCGCGCCGCCCTCGGTATCTGGGTGGCACAGGCGGGACTAGAGAGGCATGCTGGTGCACGGCCGGGGGCGCGAGCCGCCATCTTGGGGGCTCTCTTGCCCGTAACCCGACACCGATCATCCGGCCCGCTGGGTGCGCTTCTGAGCTCCCCGGCCCTGGATGTGAGGTTAATGACTGCACTCCAAGTGCTCCAAGTGCGGACCGGGACGCCGGCGGTCGAGTCGGGACAGCTGTGGTTCAGACGGAACACGAGTCCACCGCTGGCACCTTCCAGCATTGAGTTTGTTGTGGACTCCGACGTCGTCGTGCTGAGGAAGGAGCGCCACTGGATCGGCATTCCGATATAGTAGCTTAGGGGCGGGGGCGTGCGGGGCAGAGGCCCAGCGTCGGGCGTCTTGTCGGGGCCGAAGAATTCGAGGGGGGAACGAGGAGGGGGGAATGGGCGGTCGGCGTTGGGGTAGAAGCAACAGGGCGTACGGGGTAGCCGTCACTTTCTTGCCTCAAAAGGCGGGGCTGTCCCGGAAAGTGAGAAACGCCGGGCAGCGTGGCGCACAACTGAAACCTCCCATACGTGTTCGTGGCTTCCTCCTTTGCTGTCCCATCTCCTCATATCTTCTTTCCCGCCTGGGCGGGGCAGTGGGCGGGCGCGCGGTGCGGTGTGGAGTGTGCATGTGTGCGACTGCGACGAAGGGATGGAGCGAGAGCCGAGAGTGGCCTAGAAAAGAAATGAGTTGAGATGATATGAGGTGACGCAGTGGCGGGAAAGTAGTAAAAAGGGGGGCAGAAGATTTTACAACAAAACTCCCTCGCAGCGAAAAGAATTTTACAACAAAACTCCCTCGCACAACACTGGGCACGGGACTGGCGCGCACTGGCACTAACACAGGTACACCACGGGAGCCGCCTAAGCGACTCCTGCGAGGGTGGCGAGGCACTTATTGCAATAGCTCCGTGCACCCGCCCACCCCCGCCACAGGCAAGCTCATTCACGACCTGCTCTGCGATGGCCGTGTGAAGAACGACTGAGATGCGCTGCTTCTGCAGCCCCAGCCAGCTCTTGGTGGTCCAAGTCACCTCATTATTCTGCAGCCCCAGCGAAAAGAAACCAAATCGCCATTATTCACGCGGCAAAATGCACGCGCCCCCAGGCACTCGCGTGCGAGTCGTAGGTCTCTACGCCCCCTATTCCGGAGCTAACGGGCAGAACGGCACAGTCGTCTCTTGGGGCAACGGCGGAGGCACAGTGCGGATCGAGACCGGCTCGCAGGCTGGCACCGTGGTGGAAGTGCATGACGGGAACGTGCAAAGCCCTGACACTGGTGCCGATATGATGCAATCGCTGGCTGGTGGCTTCCCGGGTGGCGCCAGGGGCGGCATCATGCCCAGTGGTTACTCGGGCGGCTACATGGGTAGCCAGATGCCAGGCGGTGCCGGCGCGGTCGGTGGCAGGGCATTCGCCGGTATGCCGCCACAGTGCCAGCACGGCCCGAGCTGTAGCAGCAGTGGCGCCGGCGGCGCCGGTCTCTGCGGTGGCATGTATCCCAGCATGCCAGCCCCTGTGCACCAGCATGGGCTAACACCCGCCTACGCCCGGCAAGCGCCGCACCACGCGCCGAGGGGCGGCGCGGCATTCGGCGGGCAAGGCAGCAGCGGTGCGCGAGACGCAAAGGCGAGCAACTCGCTCGCCGAGATTGGCTTCGCGCTGCGGCCGATCGTCTCGAGCGAGCAGCCAGACCTCTTCCGCGCGCTCGCGGGGCTGCTCGTGACGCAGGACCCGTCCCAGCTCGGCAAGGGCAAGGACGTGCAACAACGGTACGGTCCGTTCGACAACCTCAAGCTCCGCTGCGCCTGGAGGATCGACCACCCTGCACGGCAGGCGCAGTACCAGGCGGCAGTGAGCGGCGTCGGGGCGGAGATGGAGAAGCTTCGTAGGACAGGCGTCCAGAACCCGCCGGGCTTGCCTGCGCCGGCGCGCGGCTTCCAGTTCGCGCAGGGCGCAAACGAGAGGCTGCTGCTGCATGGCACGAGCCCAGAGAGGCTGCTCGACCTCCTCGCCAACGGCCTCAACGAGCGGTTCAGCGGTGTCAACGCGGGCTCCGCCTTTGGCGACGGCATCTACCTCGCCGAAGACGTCGGCAAGACCGACCAGTACGTGTCTGCCGACCCTCGCTACGACGCATCGATGGAGCTGCACAGGCGGCTGTACGGCGGCAACACCGTGCGGCACCCCGGCGACGTCTTCTACGTGCTCGCCTGCCGCGTCGCCCTCGGGCATTCTGTTCGCACCCAGCATACGGGAGAAGATGCGTGCGCAATGGACGGCGGCCACCCAATCTTCCCGGTGACGTTCCGCGAGCTTGCGCCCATCCCGGGCATCACGCCCACGATGCACTACCACTCGCTCATCGCAGAGCTCGGCGGCGCCATCCAGCGCTACCGCGAGTTTGTCGTCTTCAAGGGCACGTACGTCTACCCCGAGTACCTCCTCGCCTACCAGCGCTACGACGGCAGCGCGCTGTTGCGCACGTGGTAGTCGCGCTCGCGGCGTCACCAGCGTGCGGCGTCGCTGCCGCATGGACTATACGCGTGCCGTCACACTCACTGCTATAGGTTAGTACTGCATGCTGACTGTAAGGCATATGCGCCACCCACGTACACACTCACTCTCTATAAAAAACGCATGGCATGCTCGGGCGGGAGGGAGTGGGAGAGCGGAGAGGTGGGCGGGCCACGCGCCAGAGATAAACGTGGCGAGTAGAGTACGCTCGGCTCTAGTCCCTGGCGCGGCGAGCGCGGCGCGCGCTAATCGACTGCCCGCCAATCGCCCGCTCGGTACTCCCAGCGCCGCTCCCCCTCCGCCGCCAGCAGCACCGGCTTTCCGGCTGCGTAGCTGCCGCTCTCGAGCATTCCCTTCACGCCAAAGTCGCAAATGATATTGCCATCCTTGTCCATGGGGTCGGCGAACTCAAAATACGGCTTCGTGCAGGTCACGACTTCGCCCGATACAACAGTCAAGTGGACCGACTTCTTGCTCACGACGGCCTCTTTGCCGACGTCGAAGGCGCACTCGAAGTCCTCCTTGCTCACGACAGCCTCCTGGCTCTCGGCAAGCTTGCGGAAGAAGCCACGGACGAAAAGGTACGCCGCCTCGTCTGGCACGACCGTCTCCCAGCAGACGACCGCCGGCACGCCCTTGTGGATGCACGCCTTCGCGAGCTCGAGAGACTCGCAGCCGTTGAGGACGACCAGCCGAACTTGGCTCCGGGCCAGAAGCTCTGCCACCTGGTCGTTGTCCACCTCCGTCGACGTGATCTGGCCCTCCGAGTTAGTGAAACCGAGCCGCTTCTCGCGGAAAGGGCCGGTCACATCGGCGTGGCCCGAGAAGAGAAAGTAGCACGGCTTCCTCGCCGACAGCTCCTCTTTGAGCCTCGCAAACGAGCAATCGCGGTCCGCGGACTGCGCCTCCTGCAACGTCCGCTTCCCTCCCACCTTCGAGTACTGCGTGCCGCCAAAGATGTGAGCGGGGATGGCTTGCGAGGCGGCCAGCGCATCGTTGAGCGCCTGCGGCAGCGAGGATACGTCCGGATCGTTGTCGGGGTTGCAGACAAAGCAGAGGAGCTTCGGGTCGGCCGCCGCCGACCTCAGATTTGAGTACGCGAGCTGCTCCGCCAGCAGATCCTCACGCATTCGCTCCTGCTCGGCGAGCAGCGTTCGGCTGCGCACGTCCCGGAGCCTGGCCTCCGTGTCGATCGCGTCGCGCAGCGCCCTGCTCTTCACCTCGTCGGGGTCGAGAGACGCCCACCAACCGGGAGGTGCGCGGTCCTCCAAGTTGTGCTTGCCCACGAGGTAGCCCCAGGCCATGGCGTTGTTGCGACCGAATAGCTGGCGCGCGTGCAACATCTTCTCGTCAGTGATCACGTTGGCCCCGCTGTTCAGGTTGAGCGTGTCCATGGAGATACGGTGCGGAAACAGGATCTGATCAATCTTATCGCGCGCGGCGGGGTCGGGTTCCGCACTGCTGTCGAAGGGGACGCCGCTCTCAATGAGGTAGCGCATGATGTCGTCAAAACCGCGCTCGCGAGCCGCCTGAAGAGCCCGGTACTCGGCGGATGGCCTCCACCCTCGGTTGATCACGTAGAAGATGTTCCCCTCGACGCCTTGCTGCGTAGCCCGCGCCCTGTAGGCGGAGACGAGGGTCCGCACCATCTCGAACCGCGTGTCGAGAGGGAGGCCGTCCTCGCTGCAGGCGATGTAGAGCGGCTCGCAGTCGTACGTGCCCGCCTCCCGCAGAATGCTCGGGTCGAGTTCATCGTCCAGCAGCGCCGGTGCGGAGGCGAGCAGCTGCTGCACGACGCCGAGGCGGCCGGCTTTGATGGCCGACCAGAGGAGGGAGATCGCGCTGCCGCATAGAACGTGCGGCGTGCGGACACGCGCAAGCACGAGGGCGAGGTCGAGGGGCACTCGGAGGCACACGACAGGGCGCGAGCCAAGCAGATCAGACCGAATGGTGCGGCCTTCGCCGTCGTCGCTCCACAAAATGCATGAACCGGGCAAACGCTGAGGCACAACCCGGCCCTCTGCCGAAGCAGCCCAGCCGCCAATGCAGGAGAGCTCCTCCGGCGTGAAAGCTCTCTGAAAGAGGGGCAACTGCTGCAAGTCCGCCGCACTGACCCTCAGCTGGCCCTGCGCGAGCATGTCGTCGAGCATGGAATCGAGCTGCGGGATCGCCGTGTCCTCGACGACGCCAACGCAAGCAACGATGGCAGAGAGGCCTGCAGCATCGGACGCCGCCTCCACTTGCATCGCCTCAAGGCCGCCGCGGCTACCACTCCCGCCGCCGCTGCCGCTGCTGCCGTCCCCGCCGCCGCCGCCGCCTCCGCCGCTGCCCCCTCTGCCGCCGCCTCCTCCCCCGCCGCCTCCTCCCACGCCACCGCCGCCGCCGCCGCCGCCGTTGCGCCGCGCCGACTGCTGCTCGGCGTGCCACCTGTTGAGCAACTCGACCTTGTCCGGGCGCGGCGGCGCGTGGCGCGCGTCGTCGTCGTCGTCGCCGCCGCTGCCGCCGCCGCCGCCTCCGCCTCCGCCGCCGCCGCCGCCGCCGCCTCCGCCGCCGCCGCAGTCCGCACCGCCGCCGCCGCCGCCGCCGCCGCTCCGTCGGAAGGGCAGTTCCTCCTCGTCCGCGACCAGCCCATCGGGGAAGAGCATGCGCAGCTCGACACGGACGCGGGCCAGGCGCGCAGCCCACGCCTGCCTGATTGCCAAAAGCGTTGGTCCGCCGCTGCCGCTGCGGTAGCCGAGGCTGCCCATGTGCTCTGCCAGACGCTTCCGATTCTCCGGCAGGAGCAGCGTCTCGCAGCCAGTTTTGACTGATGCGAGGGTGTGCGTCAAGTCAGGCGGCGCGGAGAGGAACGGCAGCACGTTGCTACCGAAAGCCCCGAAGTCGCAAACGAGAGACGGCTCGGCGTTCTTCAAGAGCCAATCGACGATCTCCTGGTCTGGCTGCGTCAGGATGTCGGACAGAGGGCCGAACTGCCCGAGCTCCCGCACCAGATCGTTCGCTTCAGGCGAGGCCGAGCTCAGGGGCTGCGGGGTCTCCTCGGCGGAGGGCGGCCGTGGCCTCTCTTTATAGTTGGGATAGTTGGGGTCATCACGGAAGCGGCTGCGCCACTTTTGCAGCCTGTCCTCCTGTGCATTTTTGTTGCCCGTCTCTGGCGGGGCAACCTCCGACTCGCTCCATGATCCGGTCTGGAACTTGCTGGTCTGGAACTTGTTGCGGAACCAGCTCTCTGCTTGCCTGCCTGCCCTCAGGACGGCAAAGGCTCGCAGGCCGAGCCCGTCATCAACGCATGCGAATGCGCACACCGGACCCCGGTTCAAGATGAGGCCCTCAGCGCGGAGGAGGAGGTGAGCTCGGACTTCGTCTCGACGGTCGCCGCCGGAGTCGACAGCGGGGTTCCACGTGAACTCCAGCGCCCAGTGTTTGTTGACCATGGCAGGGACGCGTCTTCGCGTAGAAAAGAATTTAAAATGCAGCGCGGCACTGGGCGCCGAAAGGCGAAAGAAGCCGCGAGAACAAGGGACCGGCAGGCGGCGGCGTCACAGGACGAGGCAGAAGGGAACGACGCGACAGAGGAGGAAATGACAAGGGAGAGAACGACGAGAGTGGGACGACCGCGAGGTGGCATGAAGGTTGCAGCGAGAATCGGAGAGAGACTGCGAAGAGAGATAGGAAGAGGCAGACTCCCTAGGGTGGGCGACGGCTAGCGCACCACACACCTCTCCTTAAAATCCCTGTGTGGTGGCGGCGTTCCGTCCTCCCATCCCTCCCTTGGGTTGTCTGTTTTCTTTCTTTCTTTCTGGGCACGGGAAAGAGAGAAAATCAACCGGCCTGCGCTCCCTTGCATTTTCATTCTTTCGAAGTTGAATTCTGCGCACGTCTCAACGAGCGCGCTCACTCCGCGCTTACACACACTCCGCATCTCGGCCGCTGCGGATGAGGAACATTGGAGTTGTTCTCGCAACCATCCACGGAAGGGCACTCACAAAGCACCCTCCCCATCTCCCTCTTGGCCTTGCTCCATCCAGAGCACTGTACCACCTGCTGCGCCAAGCGGACACTCTGTACTCGCCGAGCGCGGGTGCGACCGGCGATATGCCAGGAGCGGCCCCGCCGCTGCCAATGGATTTCGTCGAGGGCCTCGACTGATCGTGGCGCCAGGCCGGCACGGAGGAGGCGGTGGCGGTGCGGCGGCTGGGCCCAGGGGCGGCCGGTGCTGGCGTGGAAGACGGCGCGATCTAGTGTGCGTGTCGGTGTCTGCAGCCAGCTCTCTCCTGGAGCCTAGCAGTAACTAAGGCGACCGGCGGTGGGGCGAGGGAGGGGAGTGGGGGGGTATGGTCCTGTCTCTAGAGGCCTGGCCCGTTAGCAGGTGGGGGGGTTTGGTCTTGATAGAAGATAGGAAGGCGAAACACAGTCCGACCAACGACTGGGACACCGGCGCGGTATGGGTGGACGCAAGACGGGCGGTGACGGCCACACAGGAGCTCGACACACCAGACTGATTGATTGATTGATGGGAAGGCGACACCAGTCAACCACACCACACCCGCAAAAAGTCCGAACCCCGCCGCCGCTGGGTCTGTTCTCTCTCGGGCTTCGACGGCCCCCTCGATAGCTTCCTTCCCCACCCCGACCGGCACCTGGCCTCCTCCCACTGTTTCCACCTCTGTGGATTATGCGCCTCCGCGACTGGGTCTGCGCGGCATGCGGCGCGATCAACCTCGGCCAGCGCCAGTCCTGCTTCTCGTGCGGTGCTGTCAAGTGTGCCAACGCACGTGCCGCCACTCGTCAAGTCACAGAAATCGACGAAGCCGGGCCTCCGCCGCGGATGACTGACACATCGGCTGCCGGGCTTCATCTCGCGTCGACCGACGCCGCCTGCAATGTCGAAGGCACCAGGCCGGCAGCCTACTACGCAGAGGCCGCAGCGCGGAGAGGCGGCTTCAAGCCCGAGAGCTTCCGCGTCCGCGCGAGTGAGGCGGTGGCAGCCGGCGGCCGCGGCCGCGGCGGTCACGGCGCCAGACCCGGGCAGCGGCCACGTGGAGACGCGTCTGTCAGCCACCAGGACGCCATCGCAGCGCTCAAGGCGGAGCAGCAGGCGGCCCGCCAGCAGTGCCGCCGCACCCAAGAGAGCCACCTCTCTACCCACTGAACGTGCACTGAATGTCCACTTTGGCGCAGGCGCGGCGAGCGGCAGCCGAGGCGCAGCGGGCGGAGGAGCGGCGCGAGCGGCAGAGGCGGCGCGAGGCTACCGGCGACGCGCGGAGTCGGGGCGTCAAGACTAGCGGAGCGGAGAGTGACCAGCCGCTCGGCGAGCTGCTCGACTCGCGGGACGAAGTGGACACCCTCTCCGCCTCGCTGTGCGCCGTGATGAGCGGCGTCGTACAGGCGAGCGCCAGACCGCCGGAACAAGGTTGGAGAGGACACGCCGATTAGCGACAGTCAGAGCGCGAGCCAGTATCTAGATACGTAACCTGCACACGCTTGCACCTTGCACCATATTTTGGCTTGAGCTAGTATTAAGAGCGCTAATAACTATCAACACGGCTGCAGTGTCTAAACACCTCGTAAAATTCTAGCCGACACGCGACACACCTCTTCCTGTCTTCCAGCTGCCACTGGGTCGTCAAACGAATACAAAAAACTCGCTGATATGACAAGGTAAGGTAAGGTAAGGTAAACTTCTCCACACATATGATATGACACCGACGAGGACGACCGAGCTCCGCGCCTGGGCGCTGGGGGGCATGCACCCGCGGCAAGTAAAAGCGCCTTGCGGCGCAAGATCTCTTAAACACCTCTCTCTGCAACTCCGCGAGGCGAGACTTGGACTTCTAACTTCATGCAGTTGGCCCTGGAGCTGTCCCGTAAAGCCGTAGGGGCTAGGGCGGTAGGGGGCGTGCACGTACCACGTTGGCCTCATTGTACCGCCTTGGCCGCGCGCCGCGCGTGTGAGCGCCATCGGGGAGAGCACGAGGCCAGTCGTGCACGGAGCGCCGCGCTTGGAGACCTGGGCGGTGATCGGAGCACCGGAGATCTGGGCGGCTCTATCTCCTGATCCTGCGGCCCCTCCGGCAGCCCCGGCGACTCCAGCGACACCGGCGACACCGGCGACGCCGGCGACGCCGGCGACTCCGGCGGCTTCGGCGGCTGCGGCGACTGCGGCGGCTGCGGCTGCTCCGGCTGCTCCGGCTGCTCTGGGTCCGGCTGCTGGGGCAGCGGCGGCAGCGGGTGCGCTTGTTGTTTCGACGGCTGATGTTTCGCCGGCTGCCGCTGCTGCGGCTGCGGCTGCGGCTGCGAGGGCTGCTGCAAATGCGCCACTTCCTTCGGCTCTCCTCCCTGCGACCCCCATCTCCTGCGCTTCGTCACGTTGTTCTCCGGCTTTGGCGCTGGAGGCACGTCCCCTGCGCTCCGGCTCCGGCGGTGCATGACCAGTGGCTCTGCAAAGATCTCACCTCGCTGCTGCTTCAGCGCCCAGATCACGCGCCCCTCATTCTTCCCCGTCAGTTTGTACGTCATGTCCTCAGACTGCCACCCGAACGCCCCCTTGAGGCTCCGATCAAAGTAGCACGCGCCTCCCGGGTGAGCGCCTGCTTGCACCAACTTTGAGAAGCGAAAGGGGTCGGCGCCCCCCCACCCGGTCTCGTCAACCTTGCCCATCAGCCGTGCCCAGTGCATGGAGGAGGGCGAGAAGCGGTCGCCGGAGTGCACCTTGTGCGGCTCGCGCGTGAACATGCAGCGGATCAGCTTCAGGCCGAGAGCGCTCTTGAGGCTCTCCTTGGCGAAGCCCGCCTCGTCGGCGGCGTCGATCTCCGTCGAGCACGTGACCTGCAGGCCATTCCCGCCCGCCGGGACGCCCGACGGCGAGGGCGGGTCGGATACGCTTGACGCGCTGCCCTCTGCCAGCCGGGGCGCGCTCACTGCCGTGTCCCGGACCTTGTTGCGGCAGCCGATGAGGAAGCGCGGACAACTTCTTTGTCGTCTTCCCGGAGGGCTCCTCGACGGCGCTCAAGGCGGCTCTGTTGGGCTCAACCGCCCTGCTGGACTTCACCGTGTTTGAGGAGAAGCAGGGCGGCTGTCTCATCGTGTCATGGTGAGGTCGATCAAGGCGGCCCTGCCTGGCTCAACCACGCCCTGCGCAGGACTTCACACCGTGATTTGAGGAGTCAGAAGCAGGGCGGGCTGACCGAAGATCGTATCATGTTCAGCACGACAGCAGCCACACAAGCTCTCTCGCGTCGTCCCCCCGTGGGGGCGTGTGTTTTTAGATTTTGTGTTTGCACGTGGCCCGGGCGGGTGGCGTCTGGCGATTCTTGGATCTACTCTACGGTATAGGGTATACGTCAGTAGACAGTAGTAGATGTATAGAGATGCACTAGATTGCTAATGTGTATCCTGTGCGTAGGGCGGGCAGACACCCCGCAGTGCACGCACGCAACTTAAACCTGAACGTCGACTCTGCATGTGCAAATGCGTGTCTGTATACAGTACGTACACGAGTAGCTAGTACTGCACAACCACAAAGGCCCAACACTCATGTATGAGAGCCGAGCCGAATAGGCGGCACAAAGAACAAGAATCGCGACGGGTCGCTACCCACTGGGACCGCTGCCGCCGACGAACCACTGCCTCGCTGTCCTCACCGCTCCGAGCGGCTGGATCCCTCTGGTGCGGCCTCCAGTCTGCACCGCGGTGAGCGGCTGCGCACCCGCCTTCGCCTCGCTGTCCGGGGTGTCTGGGGTCGCCTATTCCAAGCGGACTCCGTCAACGGCGGCTCACCCTCACAGCGACAGGGTCGAGTCGGCCGCGATCGCCTGCAGCTGCGGCTGCGCCGGCAGCGACCAAGGCTTGCGGCTGCTTGCGCCGCTGCTGCGGTACACGCTGACGCCGGGGATGAAGTGGCGCGCGTACGGCCGCGGAGTGCCGTCGGGATTGTAGCCCGCGTGCGCTGGGTCGAAGCGCCACTCGCAGTCCTCCGGCGGCGGGAAGCCCCGCCTTGCGCGGTCGAGAAGGAGGAGGAAGCCGTCCGCGTCGACCACCTCCTTCATCCACCGCACCCCGGGCGGGGCGACCGGCTGGCTGGTGGGCGGGAAGAAGAGGTAGCCGGGCACCTGAGGTCAAGTCAGGTTAGGTTAGGTCAGGTCAGGTCAGGTCAGGTCAGGTCAGGCGAGGTGAGGTGAGCATCTCCACACACACACACGAGGTGGTGGGGCAAGGGCCAGGCGACCCTCGCGACTCCACGTCTAGAAGGCACCGCACGGCATTCAAAGTGCAAGGCCCGGTGCGCGCGGGTGAGCGGTGTGTGTGTGTGTGTGGCCGAGGGGGGGAGGGAGGGGGGGGGGGGTGGGGGGGAGGGCGCCTCGGGCGCGCAGAGGCACGGGAAGAGAAAGCAGCCGCGCCAGACCACAAATCCCGCGAGGAAGGTCGCCGTCGTCAGGATCTGCGTGCAGTGGACTGCCGGGCCGGTGTGGGGCGGGCAGGCCGCGGCGCCGGCGAAGCAGTACTCGAAGCTCTGCAGGAAGATGCAGTAGAGGAGCGCGAGGGCGGGCACCGTCCACAGCCACAGCAGCGAGAAGTAGGCGCGCATCGCCACCTGCGAGGGGAGATGAGGCGAGATGTGGCGAGATGTGGGGAGATGTGGCGAGATGTGGGGAGATGTGGGGAGATGCGGGGAGGTGTGGGGAGATGTGGAACAGAGTAGGCGCGCATCGCCACCAACGGAGGAGGAGCAGGGCAGGAGGAGCGGAGGAGGAGCGGGGGGGGTGCATCTCGGATGATCGGACGACCTCGGATGACCTCGGATGATCTCGGATGATCTCGGATGATCTCGGATGATCTCGGGTGCGTCTCGGATGATCTCGGATGATCTCGGATGATCTCGGATGATCTCGGATGATCTCGGGTGCGTCTCGGGTGGGCCGGGCCCCCCACCGTCATCGTGATAGTGACGAACCAGAAGGACCACATGTAGAGGTAGAAGGCGGAGCGCCATTCCTGCTGGGCGCGGAGGCCCGCCACCATGCGCGTGGTGCGGACGATCTGCGCCTCGGTGAGGCAGAAGAGCCACTCGACGAACGAGAGGGAAAAGTACTGGAAGTTGATGATGACGTCCATGATCACATAGTACTTAGCGAGCTGCACAAAGTTGGACTTGTAGTGCGTCACAAAGACGAGCGGCCCGATGAAGGGCAGGTAGGCGGGCAGGACGACCGTCACGACCTCGCTCCAGATCGCCATCCAGACGAGGGTGCAGTACGCGCTCGCGTTGGCCTCTGGCCGCGCGGCGAGGGAGCGGAGGAGGATGCGCTGCTGGTAGAGGGCGAAGAAGTAGGCGTTGGTGCTGTTGAGCGTGAGGAAGCCGAGGATGAAGAAGGGGAAGATGAGGCCGATCGCCGCGGCCGTCTGCTGCGAGATGAGCGGCGCCGAGCCGTCGCCGATGGTCGCGAAGGTGTTGTCGAGATGTCCGTTGCCGTCGGGGATGGTGGCGAGGAACTAGCGGCGATCGGGGGAGATCGGGCCGAGATCGGGCCGAGATCGGGCCGAGATCTAGCCGAGGTCCAGCCGAGATCGAGCCGAGATCGGGCCGAGATCGGGCCGAGATCTAGCCGAGGTCCAGCCGAGGTCCAGCCGAGATCTAGCCGAGATCTAGCCGAGATCTAGCCGAGATCTAGCCGAGATCGTCCAGTGCTCGCCTCGACGCAGAGGAGGCCTTCGAGCAGCGCGAGCTCGAAGAGCAGCACCACCGGCATCCAGATGACAGACGCGGCCTGGTGCGCGTTGCAGGAGAGGCAGAGCTTGTAGCACAGCTGCGTCACCGGCCACGAGCAGCGGCAGCCGAGCCAGTCTGTGGACTGTCCGGAGCGAGGGTGGCCGACCCACGGCACGGGGAGGGACTGCGGCGCGTTCTTGCCCACCTCTGCCAGCGCGGTCACCGGTGTCCCCTTGGGGAAGTTTCCGTGCAGTTTCCCCCGCAGCACGAGCACGCCCGCCGCGTGCTTGTACTCGAACACGTCGTGGAACTCGTGCGTCAGCGACGTTGCCTCTCCGACCCGGACCCTGTCCCCTCGCCGGAAGCCCTCGTCGGCGCCAGGTTGCGGAGGAGCCGTCGCCGTGGGATGTGTCACCCGCAGCTCGAGGTCACCCTCCTTTGCCTCCGTCGTCAGCGTCGCCGTGGCTTTGGAGAACTCCCCCTGCGTCCTCTCCCACGTCGCCTCAAACGGCAGCTGGACGGCCTCAAGCAGCGCCATGTCGGCATGTTTCCGGCTCGTCGCCATGTAGATTGCCCACATCGGAAAGTACTTTGCCTGCCACGACGTGAACAGATTCATGCCCTGGCCGTCGGTGTTCTCGCCGACGAACCTCCGAGCGGCGTCCGAGAGAAGATACTCGGGAAGGATCTCGTACTGCGTCGGCGGCGCATAGCCGGCGGTGCCCGGGAGCGTCTCTTCGGCCGCGGCCCACCAGTTGGCGTCTGCCGGGTCCTCCCACTCGGTCGGCTCCCACTGCTGCGGTGAGACAGGCACCGGCTGCGCGGCTTGCAGCTGCGCCACTCGGCTCCTGAGCTGCTGCAGCCGCGTCCTCTCGGCCGCCAGCCGCTCCCTGTGGGCGACACACTCGGCCCGCGCGAGCGAGGCGGAGTGAGCCTCGGCGCGGATGAGCGCTCGCCGCTCCTCGACGAGATCACAGCCGCAGCCGTCGTCCATGCAGCTAGGGCCGCGCTGCCCACTTTGACAGCTGGCAGCGCGGTGGAGATGGATTGGTGCGGGCGTGCGGCTCGAGGAGCTGGCCGTCGACGAATTCTTTTGTTGGTCCCCTGAGCCTGTGAGTGTGAGCATGCTGCTCTAGCCTCACATGTCACTTCCTGTGGTCTGTTGTTTGTTGTGCTCTTGTTTGTTTCTCTTGGCACCTTGGAGTGCTGGGGGGGGCGACAGGGAGGATATGGCCTTGAGTTATGTGTACGCCAACTCAGGGTATGTGGCAGCCAGCTGGCTGTGTGTCTTGTGAGCCTTTTGTGTCTGTGTGTCGCTCGTGCGTGTCGTCATCATCTGTCTAGCGTCCACCCATACCGCGTTGGTGTCCAGTCCGAGCCTGGCTGTTCTTCACCTTTCTACCTACCTACCTAGTGTGAGTGTGTGTGCTCCTGAGCCTACCCCTACCTGAGCCTGCGACTCCGGCGTCCTGCGAAACCAAGGCCTTGCAGCTTCGCGCACAGGTGCGCAGGTCCGAGCTGCTGTGGAGGTGGCAACTCGTCGGAGCTTCCGGGGTGACATCTAGGGAGCCCTGAACGTTTCCGCAGGCGAAAGGACAAGACGTGCTTTTTAAAGAATTTTACAACAAAGCTCCCTCGCACAACACTGGGCACGGGAGTCGGGACTGGCGCGCACTGGCACTAACACAGGATAAAGAATTTAAACAAAAGAACTCTCTCTCACAGCAGACACGAGACAGGCTCGACACAGGTGCGGATAAAGAATTTTACAACCAAGCTCCCTCGCACAAAACTGGGCACGGGACTGGCGCGCACTGGCACTAACACAGGTACACCAGAATAAAGAAAGGCATTTTCGTCGTCACGGTGGACTCCCTGCTGTATATGGTCAGAACAGACTCTCGACGACTGCACACTACACCTCTCGCCTGATCACACCGTACACCTCAACCGTACGCTCGTGCACGTATGACCCCATCAGTCGCTGTATCTGTAGGCAAACCCATCGAGACGTCAAACAAACAGGTTGGCGACGGAGAGGGGCAAGAGCAGGCCGAGCGCTTTGCTGCCGATCACGCTCGCAGTCGTAGCCGTCGATGCGCCGCCTGCTGCCGCACCGGTCGCCGCGGCCGCCGGCACGGCTGCCGCACCACTCGCCGCCGTACTGCGCAGGAATGCAGTCAGGACGGGCAGCATGGCCATCCGCCGAGCCGAGAGCACGCGGCCAGCCTCGAGAGAATGGGCAGCGCGCCCAATCGCTGCGGCGGCGGCGGGGCTGCTGGCGGCACTCACGGCTTTGGCGAGGGAGGCTGCTGCGGCGGGGGCGGCGACGGCGACCGGCGCGGCGCTGTCAAGTCCGCCCGCAACGAGGCCGATGGGTCTGGCGGCGGAGAGGAGCGCTTGGCGCGCGGCGAAGACGCCAACTTGCGGCGACGTGGCGAGTGCGAGCAAAGAGGCGACTCCGACCGCGTGCAGCGCAGCGCGGGGCGGGAGCTGCTTCGCGAGCTCCGCCACGCGCGCCTTTAGCAACCCTTTCGTCGCCGACCTGTTTGTCCTGCCCGCCTGTCTCTCCGCCGCCGGCATGTCGAACGCCCTCGCAACCGCCCGCGCCGGAGCCTTGACTTTGAGGGCGATTCCGTGGCGCCAGGTTGGGGTGGCGTGCGTGCGGCGGGGCTGTGGCGATATCCCCGCCGCCGTCGGTTTCAGCAGCGCCCCTGCCGCAGCCGCCACGCTGATCATGATTATCCATTGCCGTCGCCTGTCGCCGCCGTTATGCTTGATGGCCCGAGCAGGTGGTGCACCGCTGCACGGACTGGGCTCTAGGCTCCGAGCCGGCTTCCTGCGAACGGCAGTGCGCGGAGTTCGGGGCGGCGGAGTGCGGGGCGGAGGAGATTTTGCCCTCATCATGTCGTACACAGGTGTGTCCAGGTGGCGTTTATTTTTGAGAGCGCCTTCGTTGTTAATAGTTTATTTTGCTTTGCCGGGCCTCAAGCTGAAATTCTGCAAAAACCTGACCGGCCCCTGCCCTGCCCCTACCTACCTACCTACCTACCTACCTTACTTATGGGAAACTAAAAAAGAAATCACGGGATGGGTGAAGGTGGGGTACTATACCAACTAAAGTGATGGCTGGTGGTACTATCCTGCAACCACAGTCCTTCCTGTGACATGGCAGGCCACTCTCAAGCCCTACAAGCACCAGATCAACGACTTGGGGAGGGTTGGCATCTCGGTTTCCGCGGAAAATTTCTTTTTCTGCTGTGAAAATTCCGGCGTGAGAGAGGGAAAAACCCGACGGGAGGGCCCAGACCCTACCCTACCTACCCCGGCATGAGGCCCGCCCAAGCAAAAATAAACGCCACCTGGTGTGTCGGAGAAATGCCGATCTTTTTCCCAAATACGCTTCTTCACCTTTCTACCTACCTACCTACCTACGCCTCGCCGAGAGCGGGAGAAGCCGCGAGAGCAAGGGATCGGCAGGCGGCGTCGTCGTCGCAGAACGAGGCAGAGGAGAGCGACGAGACAGAGGATGAAGCGACAGGAGAGAGAACGACGAGAGTGGGTGGGACGACCGCGAGGTGGCATGAAGGGGCGACGGCTAGCAACACTCCTCTCCCTTAAAATCCCTATGTGGTGGCGGCGTGCCGCCGTCCTCTCATCCCTCCCTTGGCTTGGCCGTCTGTTTTCTTTCTTTCTTTGCTATTGTATATTGTAAAATGCTTTTTGGCTCAAGTGCTTTGCGGGCCGGAGCTGTCTATCTAAGAATCCGGAGCTTCTCTTGAGACTAGTTGCAAAAAGGGTAGAGAGAGATTTTTAAAGACCAACAAGAAATCACGACTCTCACAGTGATTTGGGCTCGGCAGCTTGTTAGCCCTCAGCCGAAGCTGGGGCCGGTCCCGTAGCCGAGAGAGCCCGCGCCGATGAGTTCGACGCGGTCGGGGGGGCCTGCGAAGAGGCCAGCGAGATGGCGATCGCTGTACTTCATGGTGCCCTCGGTGGGGCGGCTGACAAGCCAGAGGTCGATACTCTGGACGACCCATAGGATGCCACGAATGCCTGAAGGAGAGGGAGGCGAAATCGAGTCATCACATCCTTGTAGTACAGCGGACCGACAGGCTCGCCGGCAGCATCCGCAGGGAGGCAGCATATGAGGCACCAGTCTTCTGCGAAGAGCTCAACAGCTGCGGCCGCGATGGCAGAGTCGGCCGCGGTTCGAGTCCTGGGGAGGTACCGAATTGTCGCCGCCGAAGGCGACTCGACGCCGCTGAGATCGGAGATCAAGCTCTGACAGGTCGCACGTCGCTCCTTTGACGCCGACGTGACTCACCCGTGCAGATCACATCAGGACACGGTCTCGACACGCTCGGTACGACGCCTGCGACCCGTCTTGGGTCAGGTGGCACGACGCTCATCGCGCCTGCCAGCGCTGCCGTGCAGGCTGCCACGACAAGGTCGAGCACGCTTCTATACGCTCGCCCAGCCTTCCTTTCCATCCCGTTAGGTAGCCTGGGAACGGCGGCGGTCAGAGGCAAAGCCTGCGAGGGGTGGTGGAACCACATGTCACGGCTACCGCCGGCTCGACCCCACGATAGCCTCCGGAGGCTGACTTTGAGGCACAATCATCGGACAACGTCGGCGAGTTGGGTCGCTCTCGCGGTAGCCAGATGACCTCCCATACTAGTGCCATCGGCCATGGCCGCAGGAAGCGCGGGAGAGAGCGCTGAGAGCAACACAGAGCTCCGTTGGCCACATGTCACGGCTACCGCCGGCTCGACCCCACGATAGCCTCCGGAGGCTGACTTTGAGGCACAACCATCGGACGATGTCGGCGAGTTGGGTCGCGCTCGCGGTAGCCAGATGACCCCTCATACTAGGAGCATCGGCCATGGCCGCAGGGAGCGCGGGGGAGGGCGCTGGGAGCAACACGGAGCTCCGTTGGACGCGTTTTCAAGATTAGCGGGTCATCTTGAAATGGAACTAGCCAGAAGGCTCGGCTCGAGACTGACGGCGTGACGCTCCCGTTTTGCTCCGCCTCTCATTTTAGACAGCAACGTGTGCGAACTCTATCCGCTATGCCACCCTCAGGGTCGCTGTCTTACTAGCTCTCCTGGTTCCCAGCCACCATCGTTTACGTTGCCGTTGGTCCGGAGTCCCGCCCCGGGGCTTGCAGGCGAAAGCGAGGGGCGGGAGAGGGGAGGGGCGACCGTGACTGCAACCCAATGCGCGGCGCGCTCCACGCTCGTGTCACTTGAGTACCCTGAAGGTGCCCTGCCGGTTGATGCCGGCGAGGTTCCACGGCTGCTCCTTGTGCGCCTCGTAGAGCGCGGACAGGGCGTCGACGTACTCCGTGTGCATCGCGTCCACCATCCGCGCGTCGTCGTTGGAAGGGGCGTCGTCGGGGCCCCACTTTGGGCGGAAGGCAGCCCGGCGCGCGTCGTCGAGCGGTGGCGGCGCGAGCGGCCCGCCGACCACAATGGCGATGGGCTTGCGGTTGGGCATGAGGCCGAACTCGGTGATGAACATGGACCGGCCTCGGAAGAGCGGCAGGGCGACGCCAAAGTGCCGCCGCACCACCCTCTGCAGCCGCGCGATCGGGTGCGTGTCGTCGGTGTGGAAGACGGCGTACAGGTCGTTCTCGCCAAAGGCGAGCACGGGGACGAGCGAGGCGCCCGCCATGATCGCCTCGCGCACGAAGCCCTTGCGCCGCTCAAGGACGAGGTCGATCTGGCCGGGCGTCACCATCGTCGACTCCTCGGCGCCGCCGACGACGACGACGACCGCCGAGCCGCTGCCTCGGCCGAGCACGGAGCGGAAGGTCGCCTTGTCCGACGTGCACGCCCCCATCGAAAGGATGTACTCCCTCCCGAACGGCACGGTAAAGTTGATTGGCAGCGTCACCAGCCGCCGCTCGATGCCGGGGAAGAGGCTGCTGAAGCCGCGCCCCTCGCGGGGCTGCGCACCGCTGGCGACGAGGGAGAGGGTCCGCGCGCCGTCGGTGGCAAAGGCGCCGAACGCGCCGACCGAGATGATGCCGTGCGGGTGGTAGCCGAGCACGTACTTGCCGTCGGGCGGCAGCTGCAGAGGAGGGGGAGGAGGGGGAGGAGGAGGGGGTGTGGAGGAGGAGGAGGAGGAGGAGGAGGAGGAGGAGGAGTGGAGGAGGAGGAGGAGGCGAGGCGAGGCGGTGGGCGGGGAGAGGGAGGGAGAGGGCGAGAGGCGATGGGTGTGCTGTGAGTGGAGCGGAGCTTGAGCCGCAGGCGTCGCGGCAGCGGCGGCGACAGGGTAGCGGGGCCTACTGCGACGATTGCCGGAGAGAGAGGACGCAGCGGCGGCGGCGGCGGCAGAAGGGTGGGCGACCGTTTGCCGGGGAGAGAGCACCTCTGCCGTCTTCACGAGCAGCATGGGAAAGTAGTCGCAGTAGGCGTGCCACCAGGTAGTGAGCTGGCGCAGGAAGGGCGCGCGAGATCCCGCCGTGGGCGCCTTGTCCGCGACGAATACGAAGTAGAGGTAGCCGAGTATGAACGGCAACGTGAGTGGATTGATGAGGCAGAGCAGCACGACAAACCACGAGATTGCGATGAGTGGCAGCAACCCGTAGAGGGAGAAGCTGAAGACAGCCAGCGTCTGCAGCCGCTTCTGCGCGCTCGTCCCGCCAGAGATGCGCCCGAGCCACGGGACGTGCACACTGAAGCCGCGCGTCAGCCGTGGCATGTCGGAGCTTGGAGGCTTGGCGCTGCGGTAGACGGGCGCGGCAGCCTCCTCCTCGGCACGCTCCTCCGCGCCTGCCCAGGGCCCGAACCGCGCCGATGCTCGTCCGAAGTTCGCGCCGGTGGCCTCGAGGCAGCGGTTCAGGGAGGTCTCCATGTGACCTCTGCCTCTGTGCGATTTCGGGCCTGGGGTTGTGCGTTTATGTGAAGAGCAGGTCGGTTCGCGCGAAGCCACAGCGGCGTCGGTGGCTGGATGAAGGGTAAGGGTCCCCGCTGGATGCGCTTCTCAGCTCACCGGCCCTGGATGTGAGGTTACCGACTGCACTCCAAGTGCTCCAAGTCCCCGCAACACGAGATGTTCTTTTCTCTTTTTTGGAGATACCCTTCGTTGTTAATAATACCAACAGTAACGCCCTTGCGAGGCAGGAAGGTGACGACTAGCCCGAGGAGTGCCGCCGATGCAAGAATGGGCGGTCGCAGCAGCTCGTAACGCTTGTCAGGGCTGCCGCACACCCGGGCACAGTCACAGGCCGCGACAGGGACCCTGGGACGGGCTGAGTGCACGCTGCGGGCTCGCACAGTGTCGGCGGCGAAGCAAATTTTCTCTAAGTGAACCAGGGATAATGGCAAACCTGCCGCTAAGCTGAGATCTCGCTCCCTACAACAAAACCTATAAAAGAGTGCAGAGTGGATCGCGGTGATGCACACTGCCAGTTGTTCCGCTGACCTGATCTCTCGCCCAGCGCGCAGCCGCGCACAAGCGCGTCGCCGGCTGAGGTAGAATACACGAGAGCCGGTCGGGGGAGGGTCTGCAAAGGGCGGCCCACCGACCTACCCCTTGCCCCCCCGCCCCCCCCTCTTCCCTGCTCAGATGCTCTTCGTACGGAGCTGCGCCTCGAAGCCGCGGACTGCCTCGGCGACGGCGGCCTTGAGCTCGGCGAGCGCGTCCGTGACGCGCGGCGCGACCAGCTCGGACGGGCGCTTCTTGTACGTCGTGCTCACGTCGGCCGACTCCGCCGCCGTCACGTCAGAGTACTTGAGCCTGCCGCTGTACACCGTGTCGGCCGCGTCGGCCGCACCCTCCTCCGCGCCGCCCTCGGCGCCGCCGGGAAGCGGCTTGACCTGCACGCAACGGCGTGGCGGTGTCAAGGCCTCCTGTGCGAGGTGCGGAGGAGGCGGAGGGCGGCGGGCGTCGCCACAAACCCAAGTGACCTGTCGTTAGGTGGTGGCATGCGGTCCGGCGCAAGGAGGTGCGACCAGCAGCGTCACAGCAAAAGCATAGGGACGTACCTCCCACTCCGCCTCGAAGGAGTAGTCGAAGGCGTGGCGCAGCACGCCTAGGGTTGGGGCTAGGGTTGGGGCTAGGGTCAGGGTCGGGGGCTAGGGTCAGGGTCAGGGTAAGGGTCGGGGCTAGGGTTAGAGTGGTCGACGGCGGGGCGCAAACACGCCTCGGGTTGGGGCTAGGGTCAGGGTCAGGGTCAGGGTCAGGGTTAGGGTCAGGGTCAGGGTCAGGGTCAGGGTCGGGGCTAGGGTTAGAGTGGTCGACGGCGGGGCGCAAACACGCCTCGCGAGGACGTGACGGTGGCCGTCCCTTCGCACGACTCCACCTTGCACGAGAGTACCCGAGATTACCCGAGAGTACCCGAGAGTCCCCGACCCCTCGCACGACTCCACCTTGCACACCCGCGCCTCGAGGCCGCAGCCGAGCAACGCGCGCGGCAGCCGCTCGTCTGCGGCCAGCGAGGCAGCCGCGCCGCCCACCCTCTGCTGCAGCTCGGCGCTCGCCCACTTGGAGACGTCCTAACGGGCGAGATTCGCCGAGATTCGCCGAGATTCGCCGAGATTCGCCGAGATTCGCCCACGGCGAGACGTCCTTGTCCTCCCACGTCACGCCGGTGCGGTTCCACGCCGACCCGGCACCGCCGCCGCCGCCGCCCGCCGCGGCGTCGGCCGGCGGCGCGTCGATCCTCTTTGGTGCCTTGAGGCGGTCCAGCATGGCCCTCGTGGAGGCGTCCACCTAAGGTCAGGCAAGGTCAGGCAAGCTTCTCCACACACACGGTGGCGGTGGTGGGGCAAGGGCCGGGCTAGCCCCTCGCGACTCCACGTCTAGACGACAGGAGCCGCACGGCATTTACAGTGTAAGGCCCGGTGCGCGTGGGTGAGCGGTGTGTGTGTGTGTGTGTGTGTGTGTGTGTGTGTGTGTGTGTGTGTGTGTGTGTGTGTGTGTGTGTGTGTGTGTGTGTGTGTGTGTGTGTGTGTGTGTGTGTGTGTGTGTGTGTGTGTGTGTGTGTGTGCGTGCGTGCGTGCGTGCGTGCGTGCGTGTGTGTGTGTGTGTGTGTGTGTGTGTGTGTGTGAGCGTGAGCGCGCGAGAGTCGCAGACACCTCGCGGTCAAAGTACGACGTCGTCGAGCCTAATCTCGCGTCATCTCGCGTCATCTCGAGCGATCTCGAGCTCCGTCAGAGTGAGGCGTTGTCGAGCCAGCGTGCTGAATACACCGACCTCAGGGCGGGGAGACGGTATTGTCCAGCGTATTCAGAGCACCGCGTGAGGACGAGGGGTATGAATACAGTGAATACGGCTGAATGCGGCTGAAGACAGCGGCGTACGTGTCCTCTCGAGCGCTGGTTGGGATACAAGAACCACGTGCTCCGCTTCTAGGGCCCGAGATATGGGGAGATATGGGGAGATATTCCGCTTCTAGGGTCGTCGAGCCGTCGGCGCGCTTCTTGTAGCCGCGCACCTAGTACCATACCTCCGGAGGATCGAATCCAGCGTGGGTTCGGTCCTGTGGCGGTAGGGGACGAACGGACCAGCCCCTCGAGCTCCTCCTCGCCATCGACCACCTCGCTCGCCTGGTTCTGCAGCATCCTGGCGTGCCGCGCCGCCGCCCGCGCCTCCTCCTCCGCCCTCTCGCGAGCCTCCTTCTCCGCCTTGCTCTTCTCCTCACGCGCCTTCTTGAAGTCCTCAAACGCCACCGGCGGCGCCTCCTCCTCCGCCGCCTCCTCCTCCGCCGCCCCCTCCGCCGCCGCCCCCCCCTCCGCCCCCCCCTCCGCCGCCCCCTCCCCCTCCGCCTCCGCCGCCCCCTCCGCCGCCCCCTCCGCCGCCCCCTCCGCCGCCCCCTCCGCCGCCGCGCCGCCCTCCACCTGCATGCCCCCCGCGGCGGGTGCGCCGCCGCCGTCCACGCCGGCGCGTCTCTCCGCCGCCGCCGCCGCCGCCTCGCGCCGGCCCCGCCGCTCGCTCCTCGCCTCCTCCCTCAGCCTCTCGCACTCTCGCCTCCAGTCGGCCCGCAGCGCCTATGAAGTGTCCCGCCCTGAGCACTGCAAGACATGCAGCACGCCTTGCCTTGAGTCTCAACAACGGGCATCGCGACCACCCGTGGACGCACGGCGGTGCGTCGCCCAAAAGGCTGCGTTGAAGGGGGGGATGTGTACTGCGCATCTTCGGCCCGTGGCGGCGCGTGGCGGCGCACCTCCTCCTCGGCCGCCTCCCTGGCGACTCGCTCGCGGTCGCGCTTGGCCTGCTCCGCAGCCTTGCGCCGCACCTCCCTCTCCTCGGGCGCGTACAGGCTCTTTCCCGCGAAGAGGCGCGAGAGCTTCTCCTTCTCCGCCTCCTTCGCAGCCGCCAGCCGCTCCTGCACGGCCGCCAGCTCCGAGCGGGCGTCGCGGTTCCGCGCGTCGGCCTTGCAAACCGCCGTCAGGTCGGCCTTGGCGTCGGAAAGCTCTCCCATCCGCGCGCGCGCGACGCCGCGCCGGAAGAGCGCCTTGACCGACGCGGGGTCGAGGGCGAGGGCCGCCGTCGCGGCCGCCGCCGCGTCCTCCCACAGCTCGAGCCGCAGCTGCGCCGCGGCGAGGTTGGTCTGCACCGACAGGAGCACCTCCTTGGCGGCGGGCACTTCGGAGTGGCGGCGGAGATACTGCGCGGCGAGCTGGTACGCCTGGCAAGCCTCCGCGTTCTCGCCGCCCTTGAAGCTGCCGTTGCCGCGCTCCTTTGCCTCGACGGCCTTTAGCACGCACTCGTCGACGCTGAGGCCGTCAGAGACGTCGGCCGCGGCCACGGGAGCCTCGTCCAGCCCAGAGGAGGAGTCGGAGTCGACGCTGCCGGGGTCTGGCAGGACGTCGTGCCCGGGCGCAGTTGTGTCCGTCATGCTCGGGTCACCACTATCGGGTCACCACTACGACGAGACTCCGCGTCGCGACTGCACGGGAAAAAAGAAAACATGGCCGCAGAAGCGGGAAACCACACCTGCCTTCTCCTCGCACCCCGTAGGCATCGCTGCCCTCTCACTGAAGGGCAGCAACAGCAGTACTTGCGGCGGTAACGGCGAGCTCGACCCGAGCTACAGCGCTTCGAATGTCGACGAAACGCCGGGCTCGCCGCCGTTAGCGCGGACGGGCGCGAGCGCGGGCGTCAGCATTCGAGGCATTGTGCCGGAGGTGGCCCCCCTCGTCCTCAGCCGCGCGCGCTTTGCTTTCCGGTGTGGCGCCCCGACCGGGGGCGACGTTCTGGGACGGTGGGTCGCGGGTGTATATATGATAGTGACTATCACTTTCATACCGCCGCCTCGGCGTCTTTCCGCGCCGCTCGAGTACCGGAGTGATTATCATTGACGAGCCAGCAGCCACATTCTGAAAGGAAAAACTTGTGTCCGTCATGCTCACCACTAGGAAAAAAGAATTTATAAAAACTTCACAACACTGGGCACCGGACTGGCGCGCACTCGCACTAACACAGGTACACCACTGGAGCCGCCTAAGCGACTCCCGCGAGGACGGCGAGGCACTTAGCTCCGTGCACTCGACCGTGAGGTTGGTGAGCACTCCAAGTGCTAAAAAGAACTTCTCGAGCACCCTCAGCCGCGTTAAAAGAATTCAAACACCTGAGGCCGCCCCCTCTCCTCACTGCCCCCACCTCTCCCGCCCTGCCATCTGGACCGCCAGCAGGTTTGCATCGATCGGTATGGAGTCCCCGGCGGGTAACGGGGCCAACAGCACCCCCCGGTTGGCCCGCTCCAACGCCTCATCCACCGGGTCTGGCCTTCGGTCCGTGAAGGGGCCGGCAGTGTTCTCGGCAAGCACCACGCCGCCTGGGCTGCTGTGGCGCTGCAGGAGGGCGTAATTCGGGAAGTGGTCCTTGCAGGAGGGGCACGTGAGCCCCGCGCTGCGCGACTGGCCGCCGTACAGCTTCTTCAGGCAGGTCGTGCACATGATGTGCATGCACGGGAGCTGGGAGGGGTTGCGCTTGAACTCGATCGCCTCGAGGCACACCGTGCACTCGACGTTGGGGTCGAGCGACGAGCGCAGCAGCCGCGCCATGTAGCCCGGCTCGCAGCCGTGCTTCCACACGGGCGGCGCGATGCACGAGCCTCCGACCGCGTTGAAGACAAGCCACGGCGCCGTCGAGTACCCTCCTCCCTCGGTGAACACCTCTGCGTCGCCGTATTGCAGCTCGCGGTGCGTGAGGAAGAAAGCCTCGTTGCGTCCTGTGCGCTGCACATAGAAGGCGCGCCTCGGGCCGCCGTCGCGCTGCAGCGCGTCGGCCATCACCGTATTCATCAGCTGCTGGTAGAGGTCGCCCTGGTCGATGGCCGGGTCCTCCGACAACGGCGTCCAATCGAGCAGCTCGCGGGCCAGTGGGCCGTCGCGCGCGAGGTCGGCGCGCAGCGCGCCGAGGACGGACGCGTGTGGCGCGCCGACCCGCGAGGGGTACTCGCTCACCGCGCTGTCCACAGGCTCGAGGTTGTGCGGGCTCACGCGGAGGGCGCGTGCGCCGCCGCCGCCGCCCGCGGGGAGCTCCACGCAGAAGCGGCGGCCGCCGTTGTCGTTGAACGAGACGATAACCCCGATCTGGCCATTTAGCGCCGGCTCCTTTTGGAGCCCGACCAGCCGCGCCCGACCGCCGTACACCGGCGGCGACCCAAGGGGCAGCAGGCCCCCCGCCTCGGCCTCCGCCTCCTTCCTCAACGCCTCCGCCACGGCCGCCGGCTCGCCGCGCAGCACCGCCTCCGCAAAGCCCTCATAGAGCTGCCTGCCGCGCGCCGCGCGCATCGACTGCCGGAACTGCTCCTCCTCGACCCGCCACTCCCAGTAGCTGAGCAGGTCATCCTCGGTCGTGTCCCCCCTCGCGAGCGCGTCCGTTCCCTCGTCCACCTCCGCCTGGGTGAGCACCCCCGCGGCGAGGCCCTTCTCCATGAGCTTGTCCAGTGGGCTGGGCTGGAGCAGCTCCGCGATGCGTGCGTACCTGGCCAGCCTGGCGTCGTCATGCCGGCGCTGCCGCAGGTGCAGCTCCGCGAGGGCGAGGGGGCCAGTCTCGTGGATGCCTTTCGCCGCGCAAGTCCACTCGCTGCCGGAAGGGTCGACGCCTGACTCGCGGGCGGCGGCGGTGAAAAGGTGGCCCCACAGCAGAGAGGGCGGACATGGTGCGGCGGCAATGGCGGTGGAGGTAGAGACGGGGCGGTAGATAGGGCAGCGGTGAAAGGGGAGGAGTTAGACGAGCCTGCGTCGAGCAGCACGCGCACGACGTCTGGCATCGCGTTCTGGACCGCGGCGATGAGGCAATCGTACCCTTCCCCCTCCGCGGGGCAAGTGCTGTGCGGGCTGGCTCGAAGCTCGAGCAGCAGCTTCACAGACTCGGTGCGCCCCCACTCGGCCGCGGCGAGGAGGGCCGTGTACTCGAAGGCGTCGGTGGCATCGATGGGCGCGCCGTGCTCGAGCAGCAGCCGCATGCACGACCGTACCCCCTCCGCGTCCTTGCCGGCGATCTGCACGAGGTCCTCTGGCGACACATCCGCCTGGAAGATGGGAGGGGCCGGCAGTGGGCCTGTGCCCCTCCTCTGCCCTACGCCACGCCTTCCGGCGCCCCCACGCCTTTGCATCGAGAAGCAGCCGGCAGGCGCCGACATTGCCGCTCTCGCACGCAAGCCGCAACGGTGTCACGACGGGGCCGTTGGCCCCGATCTGGCACCGGACGTTGACGTCGGCGCCCGCCTCGACAAGCGCGCGGGCGCACTCCTCGCTCGCATGGCGGTTGCCAGCCACATGCACCATCAAAGTGCTGTGCAGCAGCGGGACCTCCCCAGAGACGCCCGGCAGCGTGACGAGCTGCGCCAGCTCGGTGCGACTCGTCTGCCGCACCAGCTCCCCGAACCAGCGCGACTGCCCACTCCTGAGAACCAGCGCCAGCTCGGCGGCTCGGATGGGCGGCTGCGGCAGCTGGTTCCCGGCGCCGCCTCCGGGCAGCTCGGGTGGTTCGGTGCGCAAGTTGGCAGGCCGGATCGAGAGCCTGCGCACGCCGGTGGGCGTGCCGACCTGCACGCCATACCGCCCCCGGCCCTCGTCGAAGCTGAGGACCCGGGCGACTCGCCCGTTGAGCTCCGAAGCCGCCTGCAGACCCACCACCGTGGCGCACAGGCCCGGCGGCAAGCTTCCGCCGTCGTGATCTGCCGCGCCGAACGAGTCCTCTGCGCGTAGCAGCGCGATCACCTTGCCGAAGACATGGCCGAGCTCCGGACGTTCTGCGCGCATGACCCGCGCCAGCGTGGTTGGCGTGTGGCCGTCGCCCGCCACGTGGTGCACCGACGCGCGGGCCGCGAGCAGCAGCTCGACGCAGTGCACGTGGCCCTCGGCCGCTGCGATGAACAGCGGCGTCGCGCCGGAGGCAGTCCGCGGGCGGTCCACCTGCAAGAGGAGGGAAGATGAACGAATCCCTCACGCTCGTGCGGGTGCGAGGGCAGCCGTTCGCACCGCCGCGCGGGCGCCGATCAGCAGGCGACAGCAATCGATGTACCCGTTCTGCGCGGCGGCGTACAGCGGCGTCGCGCCGCTCGTCCTCGCCAGATTGAGGTCGGCGCCTGGAGGGCTGGCAGAGAGGCGTCGTGCACGTGGCATGGACGTGTCACTGACGTGTCCTCGCAGGCGCGCACCGTTCATGATGAGAAAGCGGACGGCGGCGGAGCGGTTGTACTGGCATGCAAATTGCAGCGCCGTCGCACCGCTCCCGATCTGGTAGTTGAGGAGGGGCTGGGCACCCGCACGCAGCAGCGCGAGGGCGCAGTCCGTGAATTGGCCGTTGTCAGAAGAGTTGAGCGCGTAGAACAGCATCGGCAGCGTGCCGCCCTGCCCGCCCACGCCAAGCACATCCCGTGACGTCGCCGCGACGCCGTGCCTCAGAAGCACCTCCACCACCGACGCGTGCCCCTTGTCACACGCGAGGAGCAGCGGCGTCCACGGTTCTCCAGGGTTCAGCACGCCCTCCACCCGCAAGTGCTCTGCACCAACTAAGAGCATCGGCGGACCACGGTAGCGGACGCCGCCGGGCGGCGCGCTCCACGGCGCCTCCAGATCGAAGGTGTCGTCCGAGAGAAGCGAGTGCAGCCGGTCGAGATCGCAGCACGCGATGGCGGCCATGAGATCGTCAGAAGGCGGGGAGGCCATCGTGGAACGGGCTCGCGGCAATTGCGCGGAACGGAGGCAAGCAGCGGTGGAAACGGGCCGGCAAAGCCGTGACGCGCGAAGAGGTCGTGGTCGACGCGAGCGCGCCAGCGGAAAAAAATCTTTTGAGCCAGCTTCTCAGCTCACCGGCCCTGGATGTGAGGTTACCGACTGCACTCCAAGTGCTCCAGTTTTAGGTATTTGGCCAGTCGCCTACTTTGACGGCCAATGGCAGCTTCGCTCTGAGACTCCTTCCACCACTCTCTTCTACACTCGCTCTGAGGAGCTCTGCCCGACAGCTGTCGCCGTCGGGATGATTCGGAGAGCAGACGCAGACGTGGACTGTGAGGGCGTGAGATGCTTCGAGCGCTGCCTTTCGAGGTGCTCAGAAATAGCCGTGTGTCCTCCACCGTCATCCTCGCCGCGACCTTACCCTCCGGCGTCACTGCCGCCGCCGCCGCGGTCGCCTCTGCCGTTGCTGCCGCCGCCGCCTCCGCCGTCGCATCCGCCCAGCCCGCCGCCTGCGACCCTCCCGGCAGGTTCCTGGAGTACCCTGCCGTTGCCGCCGCCGCCGTACCCTCCGGGCTTAGCGCCAGAGCCGCCGCCGCCGCCGCCAGGTCGACAGCCAAGTTGCGGTGCTGGCTACGAAGCTGCTGCCACCCGCCAGCCGTCACCGGAGCCGTCACTCGAAATCGCTTGCACGCCTTGCGGGGACGGCTTCTTCAAGCCCGGCATCGGCGCCGATGCGTGCACGCCGAAAAAGACGGATTGCCCTGCGGGCGAGTACTTTACGGCATCGACAGACAAGACGTCGGACGCCACGTGCACGGCGTGCGCCGCTGCGGAGTTCAAGGAGGGCGTGAACGCCATCACATCGTGCACGCCGAAGACGACGGATTGCCCGGCGGGCGAGTACCTCGTGGAGTCGCCGGACAGCACGACGGATTCCAATTGCACGCCTCTGCCGCCGGACACGATCGCCGTCTCCTTCACCCTCTCGATCGCGGCCCCAACCACACGCCGCCTGCGCTCTCTGGATACCATCGACCTCGATGAGATCATGACTGCTGTGATCAACTCCTTCGCTACCCTTGCTTCCCCAGTCACCGTTACGTGGGAGCAGATCGCCCTCGAGGATCTCGGCGACAACAAGGTGAGAGTGACCATCGTGCCGGCGGCGACGCAGACTGCCGCGGAGATCAAGACCGCTGCCACCGCGACCAACAACGATCAGATTGAGTTTCTCGTGACCCTCGGCGCTGAGCTAGGGTCCGGCAGGTCTGTCACATTCGACGAGCCCCCCATTTACTGGAGTACACCGCCGCCGGCGCCGCCGCTGCCGCCATCGCCGTCGCTTCAGCCCATCGACAAAGCAGACAACATCGTCGTGATAACGATCGTCGTGATACCGATCACCGCCATCGGCCTCCTCGTCGGCGCGTTCTTCCTTTCCCCATATTGCAGGAAGCCAGTGCAACCACGCGACATGCGGGTGGCCCGGGTTCAGCCAACAAGCCACGAAGCACTCGACACGGGAGCACCGGGCACGCGCGACAGCTTGCAGCGCGATGGCCAAGAGGCCCTTCACGTAGAGCTGCAGGATCTTGGTACGGACGACGAGCACAGCACAGTCGAGTCGCTGCAAGAGCAGAGCGAGATGCACAGCCTGATGGTGGAGGCTGTCGCCTCGCTGGTCGGCGGCCTCGACGCCCTCCGCGTGCTCCACACCGCCACCGAGGCTCACGTCGAGGAGAACCGCTTCGCCAACCCTCCTTCAGAGCTCGTGTTTGGGCGCCCAGCACAGGCTGCGCTGGGGGTCGAGCACTACATGTGCGTTCCCAGGGAGGCTGTGTTGCACGGGCTGCTCGAGGGCACCGCCGCCATCGTGCGGGAGGTGAACACCGCCGGCACCGACGACGACAGGGAGTGCCTCGAGTACGTCCTGCACGCCGAGGCGGGCTCGAGCGAGCGAGCGTATCAGGGCGGGCTCAAGCGCGACTGCGACGAACGTGGCCGGGTGCTGGAGTGCCGAACCGTGGCCGACAGCAGCGGCGTGGTGCGCGGGATGCGGCTGGAGGACTTTGTATCTCACCCGAGCGCGCAGCTGGCCAACCTGACGGAGGCGCATGTCGTCGCTCTCCGCCTCTACACGACGCAGGCCTTCAAGAGCATTAACAACCCGCTGCGCGACAGGGAGCGCTTCGCTCGCGGCGAGGCGCACCCGCTTCCGGCGACGGTCGCGCTGCTCCGCGACGCGCTTGGCAAGCTGCGGGCGGTCGAGGCGGAGCAGAACGCGGGCGAGTCAGCGATGCGGCGCGTTGACTTGTACCGTGGCATGAAGGACGTCACGGCGCCGGCCAGCTTCATGGCGCAAGGTGGCACAGAGCTTGCTCCCATGAGCACGACGTGTGACCTCGACGTCGCGATGAAGTACTCGGCGAGCGCCAAGTCGGTGCTGCTACGGCTAGTCACCGAGTCCTTCATCGAACGCGGCCCGTCCATCTCTTTCCTCTCGGCCTTCCCCATGGAGGCGGAGTTCCTGTTCCCGCCCCTGACGTACCTGCAGCCGACGGGCGACGTCGAGACGGTGGTGGTCGAGGGGCTCACGTATGAGGTGGTCGACGTGCGGCCGCGGATTTAAGCATGAGTCGTGTGGGCTATAGTGGCGACACGTGGACTCAGACAGGAGAGAAGGGAGTGCCCCCCGGCGTCAGGTTCGGTCGGTTCCCTCCGAGGGTTGTGCGACCGTTTCGTTTCTTTTCCTGTGTTCGTGCCAGGCGCGCCCCTGTGTGTGAATCTCACACCCTCACTGTCTGCGATGTGAGCTTCTTGTTGTTGTTCTTACTCGAGAGTATCAACCTATCTGTGAACTCCCTCTCTCTCCGCCTCTCTCCGGCTGCGCGCCTGACCGGCGTCTAGCGCGCGCGATAGGGCTTTTGCTCGCCTTCCCTGGGACCTCGTGTTGCTGTGCATTTCGGGCGTGGCTTGTGCGAAATCTGTGAACACCTCACTGTGAAGCCGCCGTGAAGAACATTTTGCTCAGCACGCGCGGAGGGTTGGTCGTTTGGCATGGAGGCAAAACGGCGCCGGTCCGAGCGCGGCGCCGCTCGTGGTGGCGGCAGCGGCGCCGCCGCACGCGCCCGCGCCGGCGCCGCCATTCGTGATGCCGCCGCCGCCGGATTACGCGCATGCCGTGCCTCCCGGCCCGAGGCGCTCCATTCCTCCCCATGTTCACCAGCTTCGGCGCGACATCCGCAACGTCGACCAAGGCTCATGGGTGCTCCCGATTCCGAGCGACAGGTCCGCGCCCGAGGGGGCCGTCCACTACATCCCCATCACCTCGGGCCGCGCCGTCCTCCCGATGGGCATGCCGTCGATCCCCGCCGGCGCCTTCATGGATCGCAACTCGCTCCTCACCGTCACTTGCCCGAGCAGCGTCGAGTTCTCGTCGGCAGCAGGGCCTACTTCACCTGCAAGTCGCTCATCTCCGTCACCTTTGCGCACGGCCTCATCGCCGTCAACAGCGCCGCCTTTTACGCCTGCCGCTCCCTCAAGTATGTGTCTCTCCCGGACACCCTCGCCCTCCTCGGGCCCGGTGCCTTTGAGGTGAGCTCGCGAGCACACTCCACCGCAAAGGACAGCCCCGGCCCTCGCCGCTGGCAAGCTCATTCACAATCTGCGATGGCCGTGTGAAGAACGACTGAGATGCGCTGCTTCTGCAGCCCCAGCCAGCTCTTGGTGAAAAAAGAATTTAAACAAAACAACTCTCTCTCACAGCACACAGGCTCGTGAAAAAAGAATTTAAGGAAAACAGCTCGCTCTCACAGGAAAAAAGAATTTTGTGGCAACGCCGCCATGTGGGCAGAAGATTACGAGGCTCTTACCCTGAGAGCTTACCTGACCTCAACCCACGCGAGCGAGTACACGCTTGCAACCGCGAGTAGCTGGCGGGAGGCTATCGGGTTGCGGTGTGTGGGGCGGAGACCACACCTGCCTTCTCCTCGCACCCCGTAGGTAGGCATCGCTGCCCTCTCACTGAAGGGCAGCAACAGCAGTACTTGCGGCGGTAACGGCGAGCTCGACCCGAGCTACAGCGCTTCGAATGTCGACGAAACGCCGGGCTCGCCGCCGTTTGCGCGGACGGGCGCGAGCGCGGGCGTCAGCATTCGAGGCATTGTGCCGGAGGTGGCCCCCCTCGTCCTCAGCCGCGCGCGCTTTGCTTTCCGGTGTGGCGCCCCGACCGGGGGGGACTCCATGCACGCTCGGCGACGCTCTGGGACGGTGGGTCGCGGGTATATATGATAGTGACTATCACTTTCATACCGCCGCCTCGGCGTCTTTCCGCGCCGCTCGAGTACCGGAGTGATTATCATTGACGAGCCAGCAGCCACATTCTGCAAAAGAAAAACTGCTCGCCCGCCGATAAGCGAAATGCGAATCTGCAAAAAGAAAAACGCCGGTATGCACCAAAAAAGGCACTACCTGCAGCGCAGGCCGCACAACGGTCAGCGGTCAGCGCGGCGCTGCGCAACCTCGGGCCGCAGCAGCCACGCAGTCTTCACACTCAGTCTCTTAGAGAAAATGATCTTAGGTAGCGACCCCAGGTTAAGAGCTAGGCTTCCCGACACAGGGCACAGGGAACCCCCACGCCAGCGCGCGCAGGCGGGGCCCACGGTAGCCTCGTGCAGTACGCGATACCGAGAGCTGGGGGAGAGGCGCGCCACGCCCAAGGGGGACGAGCGACGGGAGGGGGAGAGTAGTGTCTTTCGCAGGATAAAAAGCAATTTTTTAGAAAATTATCTATGATCTGGTCCTTGCCTCCGCGTCCCGGAGCCGCACAGCGGACTCTGGCGTGCGGGGGTCTCTCACTTGAGGCCGAGCGCGCCCAAAAGGCCGCCGCCGGAGGCTCCGGCGCCGCCGCCGGCACTCAGCCACTCGTTGCATTTGGCGACCACGAGCGCCTGGTGCTGCGCTCCAAACGCCTCTCCAAAGGCGGGCCTCTCCGCGCAGCGCAGCATGTACTGCACGGTGTTTGGCGTCTTGCTGAGGTCGGCGCCGCGGTGGAAGATCGGCACGTAGTTGAGGTACGAGGCGACGGCCGCGTCGGCGACCGAGAAGCCGTCGCCGACCAGCCACTCGCGGCCGCCTGCTCGCAGAGGGACGTGTGTGAAGAGGCTTACCTTAAGGTACCGAGGAGTCGCCGGGCCGGCCGCATTGCGGCCGCCCGCCACGAAGTTGTGCTGGGTGGGCGGACGGTTCCACTCTCGTCTCTCCCTTGGATGGGTGGGCATCTCGCCCCTCTCCTCTCTCCCTCGGCGTGAGGCGGTCGCCTCTCTCTCCTGGAAGCGGACGGTCGCCTCTCTCTCCTCGCCCCCCCCCCCCCCCTTCCCCCCTCCGCGTCTCCTCCCAGCCGAGGGCGCGCCCAGGATCTGGTCGAGCCGGCCCACCGACCGCACCTGCGGGAAGAAGGTTCCGAGAAGGCTCCGAGAAGGCTCCCGCAGTGGTCGAGCCCGCCCACCGACCGCACCTCCGGCTTGCTCATGCTCTCGCCGCGCACGCGGTGGTCGCCTACGCGCCCGAGGCCCTCACGGTCTACTGAGCAGCCTCACCCTTCGGCGGCGGCGGTGGGGATGGTGGTGAGGGAGGTGGCGAGGGGGGCGGCGGAGAGGGTGGAGGCGGCGACGGCGGCGGCGGCGGCGGCGGCGGCGGCGGAGACGGCGGAGGTGGCGAGGGGGGGCGGCGACGGTGGCGAGGGGGGCGGTGGCGACGGCGGCGGCGTCGGAGGTGGAGGTGAGAGCGGTGGCGCGCGGGCGAGGGAGGCGGTGAGGGAGGCGGTGAGGGTGGCGGCGGTGAGGGTGGCGGCGGCGAGGGGGTTGGCGGCGAGGGGGTTGGCGGCGAAGGCGGTGATGGCGAGCGCCACAGCCCCCCTGGCTTTTAGCCCTCGCCGATCTCGGGATGGCACGAGTCTGTCCCCGCGCTTCTCACACAGAGCGCGACCGGCCAGCGGCGGCGTGACTCCCTGTCTGCAGTGCATGTCTGTAGCCCTGGCTGCCGGTCCGCCTGTGGGGATACTGAGAGCCTAAAACCTCCCTCCGCCCTCCGTGCCGCCCTGCCCCTCCGGCCTTCTCGTGCCTCCCTCGCCAGGCCACCTCTCGCCAGCCCGCCATCTCTCTGCGTGGGCTCGCCGCCCTCCGTGGCCGCGGCGCCGGAGGCCTCGGCGGCGACGGGCAGCATGAGGACAACGGCGGCGGCGGCGGGGAGGACGGCCGCGGGGAGCGGCAGAGAGGTTCCCGGAATATTCCCACAAGCTAGTTGAGTGTCTGCCTGGCACGGCGCCGAAGCACAAGCCGTCGAGCTCGGAGTTGGCCCACACGACCTGCAAGAGAGAGAGCGGCGGTGACGCCGTTTCTGCAGCCTCGGCAGCGCCATGTGCAGCATTAGCATCTCTTCTGCAGTCGCGGAGGACGCTCGCCATCTAGTGGCATCTAGTGGGTGGCATCTAGTCGAATGCCCACGGCGTCCAAGCGGCGCGCTCCTCCGCGGACGAGCTCGCGTACTTGTCGGCGAGGTAGAGGAGGCACGCGCCGCTCTCGAAGACCTAGGCCCAGCAGAGGAGGAGACCTGTTGGAGAGCAACTTCAGGCACAGCAGGCAGCAGCGCCCTCGCGCACCTCGACACCGCCGTCATCGGTCAGGAATGGGACCTGCTAGGGAGCGGACATGTCACCGCTAGTGGCCTCCGCCGTGAGCTGTGGCAGGCGCCTGATCGAACGGTGGCAGTGGCAGGCGCCTGATCGAACGGGTGGTTGGACGGCCGTGGCGGCGCCATCGTGAAGGGGATGCCGGCCTCAATGGCAAACCAGTTCACGAGCGGAGAGCGAGACTGAGGCGTGCCGTGCAGCGTCACAGCCATAGCGAATGTGTTGACGAGGATAGCAAGCGCCATGAGAACGGAGAGCGCGAAGGTCGTCGCGAGAACGGAGAGCGCGAAGCGGCCCGGGGGGGGGGTCGCGAAGCGGAGAGGCGAAGGTCGTCAGCGGCACCGGTACAAAAGAATTTTTTTGAGAGCGCCTTCGTTGTTAATAGTACAAACCCATTGGTCCTCTGCGAGCGGTCCTTCGTTGCAGTCGCACACACGCACACGCCACACCGCACCGCGCGCCCGCCCACCGCCCCGCCCAGGCGGGAATGAGATGAGGGGATGGGACAGCAAAGGAGGAACCCCAAACACGTATGGGAGGGTTCAGTAATGCGCCACGCTGCCCGGCGTTTCTCACTTTCCGGGACAGCCCCGCCCTTGTGAGGCAGGAAAGTGACGGCTACCCCGTACGCCCTGGTGCTGCTACCCCGACGCCGACCGCCCATTCCCCCCTCCTCGTTCCCCCCTCGAATGCTCTGGACCCCGACAAGCCGCCCGACGTTGGGCCTTTGCCCCGCACGCTCCCGCCCCTCTGCCCCTCACACACACCCAGGCCCCGCTCTAAACCCGTACTTGTTGTCCCATGTCGGGGGGGGGGGGGGGCAGTGCGTCTAGACAGCAGAACTTAACAGAACTTGAGAACTTGTGACCGGTAATAAGAAGCGCACCCAGCGCACACACACACTCACCCAGCTGTGCACTATTACAGTCTTTTGTTCCTACCACCTTCCTTCGAAGGCACTCCAGAGCGCTCTATACTCTACACCTACAGGGCGTCGCGACATGGCAGCGGATGAGGCAGCGGATCGCTCCTCGACCCGGCTCTCCACGACCAGCCCGTGCGACTCCGCTACTCGTCGACAAAAGAGAGGACGTCCACATCAAACCCGTCTCCGTAGTCGAAGGTGAGCTCCTCCCCCTCCGCTATTTCCCGAAGTGTCACGAAGGTGACCCGTGGCGTTCCGAGCCCGTCCCGCCCCTCCGCTGCTAGCACCTCGCTGCGGGCTGACAGGGCGGGGCGGCGGGTGGAATGGTTGATGTAACGCGTCCAGTTGGAGAGGCTCGGGTCCTCGCCGTCAACGAGGAGCGTGCGTCCCGAGAGCGGACACCTGCCCGCGTTGAAGAGGTAGGTCCCGGAGGAACTGACGCCGCGCGCACTCCGCTCTGCCTCCCAAGCCGCCCGTTGATTCGCCGCCTCGTACTCAAATGGCGAGTCGACGTCGCCGCTCCCGTAGCGGAGGATCATCTCCGCCAGGGTTAGCACCTCACCGGCGTAATATCCGAGCACCATGCCCGGCGATAGGGGCATCACGGCGAACGCGCCGAGGCCTTTCGACTCGGCGACGCACGCGGCGATACGGACGCGGCCGCCAGCGCACCGACCAGCCGAGTCGACATCGGACGTCAGCGCTGGACGCATAGGGCTCTCTCGCAGACACGAGGTGGCGGCGTACGTCAGGGGTCGGCGTATCGTTGTGAGCATGCTGAGGCCGGGTGCCGGCGGCGGCGGCGGCGGGCGGCGGCGGCGGCGGCGGCGGCGGCGGCGTTCGGCGGGTATGCACACGCAAGAAAAAGAATTTGGAGCGCCGCCGAAGAAAAAGAAAGAGAGAGAGAGAGAGAGAGAGAGAGACGAGGTGGAGATGTGGAGGCGGGTTGGGCATAGGACAGGCAGGAAGAAGGCTAAGGTGGGCAAAGGAGCGAGAATTTCAGATTCAGAGTGGGGTCAAGGCAGTCATTCAGTCAATCAGTACTAATTGCTCCAACGTTTCCGCCTTTCTTTTTTGTAAGTGTTAGCTCTTACGAACATGCCCGCCAGAGCGCGAGTGTTCGCCAATCCTTTTCTCTCTCTGAGCACATTTTAATATACGCCCCCCTCTCCCTGTGAGTGAGTGAGTGTGCCGGGCACACTCACCCAGCTGTTAACCCCGATATTTTATTTTATTTGGCTGCGATTTACGTGTTGGCACCACCGACGGCAGCTACCCCCCGGGCCCTGCAAACCCGCCTTGCTGCCATGCTCGGCCAGCCGCTGATGAGCGGCCGCCCGGCCCGCGCCGACCACGCCTCCGGCGCGCCCTCCTCCCGCCGCCTCGCCATTCCCGCCTTTGCTGCGGCGGCGGCGCTGCTGTCGTCCGGGATCTAGATGCCAAAGGCGCAGCGCTCTGCATTCGACAAAGGGAACCCCGCCAGTTTAGCTGGCGTGCAGCGGCACTGCTCCACACGCACTCCCGTCCACGGCGGCCATGGTGAGGCTGGAGCAGCGGGGCGCGTCCTGACCGCTCTCGCTCTCTCCGCCTTAGGTCTGGCTTTCTGGCGGGGATGTGGTATGCGCATCGGAGAAGCCCGGGCGGGCTGGCGGCGGCGCCGGGCGGTGACTCCTACACCTTCTCAGCGCGGTCGTCCGCCGCCGCAACGGCAGCAGCGCCGGCAGACGTACTGAAGGCGCCTAGACACTTCCTAGACGCTTCCTAGACCGCCCTAGACATCTTCCCGGGATCACGCACCGCCGTCACTGCTCTCCTGCTCGTCCCGCGCGCATCGCCCGCGCCGCCTGGCGACACCGTGCTCCTTGCTCGGGACGGGATGCAAACATGTGCAAATGCGTGGGCAGAGCAAGAGCGAGAGCACGGTCTCAAAGCCTCTGCACCTCCCTGCCCTGCAGGTGTGGTACGAGGAGCGCACGCCTTCGAACTGGACGCTGCCGAGCCCGGCCAAGCGGTGCGACTACGTGGTGACCGAGGTGCGGAAGCGGAACAAGAACTACTCGCGCGCGCTGCTGCAGGCGACCGCCCCGGCGTTAGCTCGCACACCGGACGTATGCCCACCTTCTGGGTGGCGCGCGCGTCTAGGCAAAGTACCAGCTGCAGTCGCAGAGCCTCAACACCTTCTACCGCGGCGTGGCGTACCTCTTCTGGCACGACTTTCTGCACGGCAGCTGGGGCAACTACGACGTGCTCTCGCTGCTTCCAAGGTATCGCCGCCACACGCTGCAGACGCTGCACATCTCGCGCACCTCCTTCTGGACGTGGGTCTCTGGCGACCAGCACCTGTCCAACTTTGGCGCGTGGAGGAACCGGCACGACGACATCGTGTACGGCGTCAACGACTTTGACGAGGCCGTGGTGTACGACTTCCACATCGACGTGTGGCGGATCGCGGTGTCGATCATCGATCACGCAGAGTCGAATGGGCTGTCGTCGGACGAGGGCGTCGAGGCGATCCGCGCCTTTTGCCACACGTACGTCGCCACGATGCGGGACTACGTCGGCAACGAGCGCGACAAGCAGCACGAGGTGCGGTATGGCAACACCGACGGCAAGCTGGGCGAGTTCTTGGACAACGTCGGCGGGGCGGAGAAGGAGCACCAGATGCTCAAGAAGTTTACAGAGGTGGTGGGCCACAGGCGGCGCTTCAAGAAGACTAAGAAGACGAGGCTGCTGCCGGCCAACGACGCAGTCTGGAAGCAGTTTAACGCCTCCTTCACGGTCGACGGGTACGGCGCGACGCTGCTCAAGGTTGGCTGGAAGGTGCGGGAGTGGGACGAGGGGACGTTCCACATCCTCGACCTAGCGCAGCGCACGGGCTCGGGCGACGGGTCGTACGGCCTGCCTCGCTTCTACGTCCTGATCGCCGGGCCGCAGGGCGGGCACGGGGAGGACTGCGCGGTCATCCTCGACGTCAAGATGAGCGTCCCTCCGGCCGCCTTCGAGTCGCTCGAGCCGCAGGACCGGTCGTGGTACAATGCCCTCTACAGCAACGAGGCGGCGCGCGCGGTGGAGGCGCAGCGGCGCTTCACATCGTACACCGACCCGTGGCTGGGCTGGGTCCAGATCGGCGACAACTTCTACGTCGTGCGCGAGCGGTCGCCGTGGAAGGCCTCCTTCCCGCTCGACTCGCTGCAGAGCCTCGGCGACTTCATCGCCTTTGCGCAGCAAGCGGCCGTGGCGACGGCGACGGCGCACTCGCGCGCGTCGTATGGGAAGACGCCGGCGCAGATCAAGGAGGTGGTCTCCACGGCGCTCGGCGCGTACGTCGCCACCGTCGCGTGGGCGCGCCGCGTGGCCGAGATTGCAATCTCGTACCACGGCCAGGTGCAGCTCGACTTCGAGTGCTTTCGTGACTGGGCAACGGAGTACCCGAGACTGCACGAGAGACTGCCCGAGACTGCACGAGAGTACCCGAGACTGCACGAGAGACTGCCCGAGACTGCACGAGAGTACCCGAGAGTGCAGCCCACCGTTGAGTGCCCTTCGCGGTTGGCGCTGTGGGTGAGGGGGTAACCGCCGAGACAGCGAGACAATGACACAGAGGTGACGGCGAACACCCGCCCTCCGAGATTACCCGAGATTACCCGAGATTACCCGAGATTACCCGAGATTACCCGCAGGTGGCCAAGGAGTACCCTCCTCCCTCCGAGACGACGGTGGAGTGCTGGGACGACGATGACGGCGCGGAGAGTAGCCGAGATGCCCCGAGATCCCCCGAGATCCCCCGAGATGACTCGAGATGGAGTGCTGGGACGGCGAGGACAGGGGCGATCCAGTCAAGCCACCCCACCCCCTTCCCCATGGCCTTGACACGATGTCAGCGCCCCGAGGCCCTCTCTCACGCCGACCCGCCGCTGTGATCAGGCGATGGGCCTGGCTGCGACCCGCTCGATGACGACGCGAGGCGGCGAGCGTGGTGGAACGGGCTGTAGAGCTAGACGTCAGCCGAATCAGCCGCGACGTCACAGCCGCTTGGAGTGTGACTTGTTTATCCAGTTGGGTTTATGGCCCTGGCGACGTTGCAAAATCCCGTTTTTGGTCAACAAATGAACCGCGCCGCCGCGCCGGCTCTCGCCGACGCCGTCTCTCTGCTCTCTCGCGCGCGCACATCTGCACGAGCAGGATTTTGGAAGGACGACCAGGGGGACAGGTGGGGCTCTCCCAGAGGATGGCGGATATTGCCAGCTTTTTCAGTGTATGTAGCTCTTACGAACATACCCGTAGGTGAACTGCTGACAGGATTTGCGATGAGGAGCGATCCGAACGTGGTATTCGGGTGATTAGATCACTACCGCCGTAACGCAAGAGCACTGCGACGGATCGGGCTCATGCTAGCATCCACCTCGCGGGCCGACGTTCTGGCCCAGCGAGGCTGCTGCGGAGCACTCGGGGCCGATGTTCTGGCCCAGCGAGGGGGTAGGCTCGAATTCGCCGCGCAACATTTCACCCCCACAGGACCCCGCCCACCCCCCCTCATGGTCCCACCTAGCACCCCAATGAGCTTTCGCACCCCCTCCTTGCGCAGTGTCCCCCACTATGTGTCGCCGTCTTCGGGGCACGCTATCCTGTGTAGTCAGGGCAAGTGGGGGCGGGGGGCAGTCCCATCTCTCCTGTGTACGGGTGGGTTCTGTCTCCAGTCTCGGAGGGGGGCTTGAAGCTAAGAATATTTTATTTTTTTGAAAAACGGCCCCCGCCGGGCGCCAACCGCCGAAATTCATTCACCGAGGACTTTTGTTCAGAGTCCTCGGCCCGCTCGGTGTTGCCGAAGGCGACAAAATCCCCCTTCCAGCCGAGCCGATCGCCACCCTTGCACGCAAGCGAGCTCGTGAGTTTCAAGTCGCCAACGAGGCGCACATGCCCTTTGCCGATGTTCGCCGCCGCCACGTCAGGTTGTTTTGGGTTACTGTAACTGAGGTGTGCAGTCGGCTCCATCTCGATGAGCATGCCCCACGCCGAGCGAAGGGTCTTGACGAGTCGTTTGAGCAGGTATTTGTGTCGTGTCGCGTGCTTCGCACGCGGGTTGACCATTGCGGCATCGCCGAGTTCTTCGTGCGGCTTGCCGTTTGGCGCCTTCTTGCCCGCCTCCACCGCCTGGCAGGCAACATCGAGCGGGAGGCCGAGGCGGCGCTGAACTGTAATGCGCATCGCCCACGTCTCCATCTTCATATCATCCCGCATGGGGATCGCATTCAGGAAGGCGCCAGCCCCCTCCTGGCTGACTGCGACGAACCGAATCGCCTCGCGCCAGCACTTGTGGTTCTTGCACCTGCCAGTCTTGTAGCGGCCGCCCCGCCGGGATGCCTCGCTGACGAAGGCTTCGGCGAGGGCGAGCCAGTTGCGATGGTGTACGCCGGAGGTGTAAATCAAGACGTGGAGTGCGAGACCTCGAGAGAGTAGTGCCGAGGAAACACACACACACACCAGTGCCTTGGAGCACTTGGAGTGCGGTCATTAACCTCACATCCAGGGCCGGGGAGCTCAGAAGCGCACCCAGCGGGCCGGATGATCGGTGTCGGGTTACGGGCAAGAGAGCCCTAGCCCCGGGGGTGCGCGTTCGCAGGGAAAGGGCCGTAAAGTAAACACGGGTCTCCGAGGGTTAGTTCTGCGCTCGGGGTTTCCCCCAGCGGCGGATTTTTTTCCTCGCGCTGTGGGTCCCCCTAGCTGCGGAACGCCCCCTCTACTCGGAGCTAAAGAATACTCTCCGAGAGGGCTCCGTGTACCGGGTTTCCCCTTAACTGCAGAACGCCCCCTCTACTCGGAGCTAGTGGACACGGACACTACGACACCACCCGTCACGTGCCGCGGGCGCTCTTTTTATGAGGGGTGCAAGATGTCCCCCCCCTGACGGCCTTTGGCTGATCCCCTCTCAAGGCAGCCATGCACTGTCCCGTTCCGCTCGCGCTGGGCCCGCCGCATCGCGCCGCCCATGCCGCCGCGAACTGCACGCAACGACCCCCGCTACGCCTGCTGCTCACGGAACCCGCAGCATCCGCACCACTCCCACCATGCGATGCGCTTTCGCTCGACGTCCGCCGCTGTACCCCTCGGCCTCATACCGCCTGCGCCTCCCGCTCGCAGGTACAGCCGCTTCCATCGGGGAGCCGAAAGATGCGCCCGATGCTACCCATTCCCGATATTGTTCTGTGGAGCCCGCGGCCGGACCGACATTATTCGCTTCCGGCAAGCGACGCTCCCTCGGCTCCAGCTGGCTCCCGGGCCCGGCTCCAGTCCGAGCGCCGTGAACGCCAGGGAGCGTGCCGGCGGCCTCGTCGCGGCGCTCACGCCGCGTGGTGCTGCCCGTAGGCGCGGCTGCGGGCCCTCTCGTCCCCCCAATCAAGCAGAGCTTGCTTGACGGGAGAGATGGAAAAAAGAAATCAGCGGGCTGGGAGCCACGGGGTTGGGTGGGTGGGTGGCCGGCTGAGTGTGAGATTGCACTACTAGTAATCGCGCATCACGCCTGAGTTGTGGCTGCGCGCCCGAACCGTTCTGCGCGTCTGCGATGACCGAGAAATCGCCTCCGCGTGCGCCGTGCCGCAGGAGGAAGGCGTCGATTTTGGGCATGGCCTGTTGGTGGCTCGGGGCCGCCCTGGCCGCGCCCACCGCCCGTCAGCCAACCTTTGCGCCGCGTCCGCCGCGTCCGACACCTCCGCGTCCGACACCTCCGCTTCCGGACTATCTGCAGAGCTTGGGCTGTGAGGTCTTCGTGAAAGGCGAGTACGTGAAGTGTGAAGGCTGCGTTTACGACGGCAGTGGCGAGGGCTCCAATCGCAAAGTTACGCATGAGGGCTCCCTCTCGCCTGAAGATGCTTTGCGGATCATGACGCAGTCGGGCATAGACGTCTTCAGCCAAATGAAGATCTCCGACAGCAAAACATGGGAGTTCCACGGAATCAATTTCGACACGAAGAAAACCCCAATCTGGGATAGCAAACGGTTCAAAAAGGAGTCGTTGAAGTGTGGAAAGTCAGACGCCATGGCGGTCTACATCCGCATGCGCAAGAAATACGACGGCAGCGTATTCTTCACGACGCAAGGTAGGGATGATTTGAAAACCAAGAAGTTGCTCCCTGCCATGGGTAGGTGCTACACCAATTTCGCATACTCGAGCTTCAAGGCAACGCTCAACGAAATGCTCGATGGGATGGCAAGAGATGCGCAAATCGTACTCGCCGATCAGATCCTTTCGACGATCGTGTTCGTTCCTATGTTGTTTCTCCCGGAAGTAGACGTGAGCATATCGATCCTCTCAAATGCCTTGAAGGAGCTCTGCGAGGGGCGCCGGCGGCAGAGCTCAGCGCGCTGAAGCGCATGAAGCGCGCGCTCGGGTTGACAAGCAAGAGGTAGGCGAGGGGGCCTACACGCGTCCGTGACACGTCTTTCGCGCGCTCTCCAGACAGCGGGTCGGTTAGCATCGGCGAGGCGGAGCGCCGACGAAGCACAGCACTGCGCATGAGACGCTCAGCGCGGTGAGGACGATGCGGCGGCCGAGGCCGCGGTAGTTGGTCGCGACGAGCTGCGCGCCTGGACTCACTCGTCGTAGTTCAGCGCCTGCCCGCCCGCCCGCATGATACGATGGATCCGCCCGCTTGAGCTGCTCTCTCGGCAGTCCTTTGTGGGCCCTGGCTGGCTCAGAGGCACTGCCGCTGGCCTTCTTTGGGGCGGGTCTGTGCGCATCTATTCGCGTCGCCGGTGGCGTACGCGATGAAGGACATGCAGACGTAATTGATCGGAAAGTAGATGTTGAGCCGGTTGGGCCTATGCTCGCATGGCTGTTGCGGTGGCCAGGGTTTGCGGGGGTGGGAGTAGCGCGCGGCAACGGCCAACGCACCTCCCTGTGCGAGAGTTGGTCAGCACCTCGACCTAGCACCGAGGACGGGACAGGGCGGCTTGCGTTGGCTGCTTTAGTGGGACAGAGGCATTAACCGAGCAGCGGCCAGGGCGCGCGGTTTGACACGGGGTGCAGGTGAGGCTGCGGGTGCGCCTTTGCCACACGATCAAAGATCATCCCGGCGACGCTCGCTGCGAGGCCGGCAACGAGGAGTCCGGTGCCTCGAGGGATGAATTTGCCCGGCAGTCGCACCTGTGAGGCTGGGCAGAGGAGCCTGAGCCCTCGGAGGAGCTTGGGGTGCGGGAGGAAAGGGCCGCTCACAACAAGCGCGGCTGTGTGCCACGCAGCAACGCAGACGATGGCGAGCTTGAGGTAGGAGACGAGCCACGGCTCGTAGTCGCGGTCGTCGGTCGAGAGCGACTCGCAAAATATGGCGGCGTCCGGTGGATCCATTACATGCGGGGCGGGTGGAGCAGACGCGTAGAGGCGTGTGATTGGCCCAGAGGCCGGACGGGCGAAACGTCGGCGTGACAAGTTGTCGTGGGCCCGTGAGGGCGCCACGTATTCCTTTTGCCTATGGCTCTGCGCGCTAAGTCTGTGAGAGGATGCGTTCACACTGTCTGTGTGTACTTGTTGAAATTTTGTAAAAAGAACACAACAAGCCAGGGAGGGATGGGAGGACGGCACGCCGCCACCACACAGGGAGGGATTTTTAAGGAGAGGAGCGTGGTAATGCTAGCCGTCGCCCACCCTTGGGCGTCTGCCTCGTCCTGTCTCTCTGTGCAGTCTCTCGCCAATTCTCGCAGCGGCCTTCATGCCAAGGCCCCGTTTGTTTTACTCTCGTGAGGCTGTGAAAGCACGCCCAACCTAACGGATTTGGGGAAGGCAAGTGCGTCTGTTCACAGCTCAGGCAAGTACGTTTGTTTTGGTTGCAGGCACGACCCCATGCCGAGCCCATCCGCTGCCCAGCAGCTAGCAGTCGGCTCGTGGGTGCACTGCCCGCGCGAGGAGGGCGACGAGTACGAGGCGTGCGAGATAATCCAACTCGACGCCGCCTCGATGTCGGTCTCGCTCCGCTTTTCTGGTGGCTTTGTCGCGGCGGCCGTCCCCATCACACGCATCCGGCTGGAACCCGCTCCACCCACCACAGCGGCGGCGGCGAAGGAGGACGGCGACGAGGAGCCGCGAATCGTCGAGGACGACGGCTACTTTGCGGCAGCCGCCCTCCCGACGCCGCCCGCGGCTGCAGAGCTCGAGTCGGACCCGGAGGCGAAGTACCGGTTCGTCGCGGCGTACAAGGCGGCGGGCAACGAGCTCTTCAAGGCGGGCAAGTACGCGTGGGCCATCCGCACCTACACGGGTGCCGTCGACGCGCTGAGCCGGCACTGCTACCCGTCGCGTGAGAGGATGCTGTGGGACTACTTTGCCCGGGTGCCGTGCGCGCAGTGCTACTCGAACGCGGCTCTGTGCGCCATCAAGCTCGCCGACCACGCCCACGCGGCCGCGCTCTGCGAGCACGCGATGGAGTGCCGGCCGGAGGACGGCGACCTGACAAAGGTTCTGCTGCGGCACGGACAGGCGGTTTCCGAGAAGCTTCCACCGCGCACATGCCGCAGCCGCACGAGCTAGGGATGCTGCAGCCTCGTCAGCGCCCGCCCGGGCCGCCCGCCCGGGCGCCGCCTCCCACGCCCATTCCCGACAGCTGCCCGCCGCCCCTTGTCTGCGCCAGGCGAGGCTGGAGCTAGGAGAGGTGGACGCGGCGCTGCCGCTGCTGCAGCGCGCCGCCGACAAGGAGCCCACCAACCGCGCGGTGCGCGAGAGTAGGGCGGTAGCTGCTCGGGAAGGGCAAAGGTGGCCCCTGCGGCGTGGCGGTGGCAGAGGTGGCGGCGGTGGCAGAGGTGGTGGCGGTGGCAGAGGTGGCGGCGGTGGCAGAGGTGGTGGCGGTGGCAGAGGCGGCGGCGGTGGCAGAGGTGGTGGCGGTGGCAGAGGTGGCGGCGGTGGCGGCGGTGGCGGCGGTGGCAGAGGCGGCGGTGGGGGTGTGGCAGCAATCGGCGGGCCGCATCTCTTTTGTGGCGGCGTCTGCGGGCGTCGAGGGGGTCCGATCTCCGCCCGCGAGATCGCGATCTCCGCCCGCGAGATCGCGATCTCCACCCGCGAGATCGCGATCTCTGCCCGCGAGGCCTCCCGCCCTCCTCGGCCCCTCCACAGGTGCGCGCGGAGCTGCTGCGCGCCAAGGCGGCGGCCAAGGCGGCGGCCAAGGAGGCGGACGCTTCCCCATCCCTCCCCCCCCCCCCCACCCCACCACCACCGCCACCACCACCGCACACACGCACGCACGCACGCACGCACGCACGCACGCACGCACGCACGCACGCACCGGGCCATTGCACATTTAAATGTCGCGGGGCTCCCGTCTTTTAGACGTCGAGTCGCGAGGGGCTAGCCTGGCCCTTGCCTTACCACCTCGTGTGTGTGTGGAGAAGCTCACCTCACCTCACCTCCCCTCCCCTCACCTGACCTGACCTAACCCAACCTAACCTGACCTGACCTGACCTGACCTGACCTGACCCCAGGCGGACGCCCACGTCTTTCGCCACGTCGACCTCTCAAAGTCTGGCCTCACCTCGCGCCGTGAGGCGGCCGCCGAGGAGGTGACAGCCATCTCTCTCTCTCTCTCTCTCTCTCTCTCTCTCTCTCTCTCTCTCTCTCTCTCTCTCTCTCTCTCTCTCGCCCGAGATTGCACGAGATCGCAAGGGATTGCACGAGATCCCTCGAGATCGCAAGGGGTCGCACCGAGATTGCACGAGATCGCAAGGGAGTGCACCGACATCGGCCGCCGCCCTCCCCTCCACCCGCCACCCTCCCCTCCACCCGCCGTCATGCTAGACAACGCACGCGCCCCGTATCACCCGCGCGCGCGCAACACGGGCGCGGCCCGCAAGATGAGCAGCGGAGACCGTGGTGGACGCTGGCGTCTCACAGGCCGAGGGGCAGCTCGAGCGCGCCTTCGCGAGCCTGCTCGACTGCGAGGACGCGCAGGCGGCGCCCCTCTTCCAAGCGGTGCTCCGCTCCAAGGGGAGCGGCGGCCCGAGCGGCGCGCCGCAGCGCCTCGCCGCATCGTACGGCGCCGGCGTCGCCGCTTACAACCTCGGCAGGCTCGCGCTCCGCAGACACCTCCGACACCTCACAGACACCTCCTGGAAGCCTCCCAGACATCTCTGGATATCTCCCAGACATCTCACGGGACGCCTTCCGCAGACACATCGCAGACACATCGCAGACACCTCGCAGACACCTCCCAGACACCTCGCAGACACATCGCAGACACATCGCAGACACATCGCAGACACATCGCAGACACCTCGCAGACACATCGCAGACACCTCGCAGACACCTCGCAGACACATCGCAGACACCTCGCAGACACATCGCAGACACATCGCAGACACATCGCAGACACATCGCAGACACATCGCAGACACCTCGCAGACACCTAGCAGACACATCGCAGACACATCGCAGACACCTCGCAGACACCTCGCAGACACATCGCAGACACCTCACAGACACATCGCAGATACATCGCAGACACATCGCAGAGACATCTCACGGACACCTCACGAGACGCCCGGCCGTCGCAGCCTCTCGGCCAGCGCACAAAGGGCGCCGTGCTTCGAGGGGCGTGAACGGCGTCTCTTCACGGCTCCGCCCGTGAACAGGCACGCCGAGAGCGCCGCGCTGCTCGCAACCTTCTTCGAGGCGAAGGCGGCGTGTGAGGCGGAGGGGCGCGACTACACGGTGCCGCCGAGAGGCGGAGAGAGGGCCCGGGAGCTAGCAATTAGCCGGGATGTGGGCCGTGGCTCGAAGCTGCCCCCCTCCCCTCCCCCCCTCCCTCCCCCCTCTCATCGGGGGCTACCCTGTCCACCACTCCGCCGCCGCCGCAAGAGCACCGCACGTCTCTTCCCGCCCATCCGTGCTCTGGGAAGCAGGCGCCGCCGCTCGGCACGCCGCTCGCGCGCTTCTACCTCGCGCACTCGACCTACGCGCTGGGGAGGGACCGGTGGCCCGTCGCCGCAGATCACTTGCGGCGCGACACACGCACGCCGCAGCGCCGCCCGCCCGCCCGCCCGCCCCGCCGAAGCAGCTGCTCCGAGCTGATAGGGCCTACTTGCGCGAGGTCGAGCTGGCCGGGCCGCAGCGGGTGCTCAACATGCCGAACGGGTGGCAGGGCCGCACCATCAGCGATGGGGAGCGCAAGGCGTTGTCGCCCTAGAAGCGGAGCACGTCTTCTTGTCTCCCAACCAGCACTCGAGAGACGCTCACATGCAGTGTGCCCCGCTGTACTCCGCCGTACTCACTGCATTCATACCCCTCGTCCTCACGCGGTGCTCTGAATACGCTGGACAATACCGTCGGTGCCCTGAGGTTGGTGTATTCTGCCTCCTAGGCGTCCCGCTTCCGCAACCGCGCCTGCTCGGACGAGGCGCGCTCGTGTCTTTCGGAGACTGTCCCATGGCCACAAGACATGTCTCTGGCGGCCATGGGACATCGTCTCAAGACAATATCGAGCCCCCCACACGAGACTTCGTCCCGAGAGGGCCCGAGAGGTGTCACCCCCCCCCCTCCTCCCCCTGCCCCCCGCCCCTGCCCCCGCCCGCCCATCCCAGGCGCGCGCCGACGCGCACGCGATGCTTTCCCTCATCGCCGAGCAGGGCGGCGGGGCTGAGGCGGCGCTCGAGGACGCGCGGCGGGCGGCGGAGCTCGCGCAGGCGGGCGGCGTGGTCGAGCAGAGGGCGGCCGCCGCCGAGAGGCTCGCGCAGCTGCACGCTGCCCTCGGCGATACCGCGGCCGCAGAGGAGCAGGCGGCGCTCGCGGCGGCGGCGCACGCCGAAGCGGCGGAGAAGGCGGCGAAGGAGGCGCGCGAGAGGGAGGAGAGGGAGAAGAAGGAGTCGGAGGACCAATCGATGGCGGCGGTAGGAGGAGATGAGGCGGCGGCGGAGGCTCCGGGGGTTGGCGACGGCGATCGGGATTAGCAGGAGATGAGGGTGGTGCTTGGACTTGGTCCTCCCGTGTTGCGCGGATATAAAGGGTGTGTGGCGGGGGACGCGACCCACCTCGCCACAGACGGTCCCGCGCCTCGCCGCTATGGCGGGGACACACCCCGCACCGTCCGCTGTGTCCCCGTCTTTGTCCAGAGTGAAAAATCCAACGCGCTCTCACGTCGCTCGTCGGTGCGGCGGCTTCCCCCCGATTTCGCCGCGCTCGGCGAACCTCGACAGCGCCTTCGCGCTTCGGTGGCATGCAGCTCTTTGCGCCTGAAGCCTGGAGAGCAGCTCGTCTGCTGCTCACACGCTCTGCACAGTTGGAACAGCCTACTGTGCGGCTGCCACAGCTGTCACAGCGATGGGCTCGCCCTCACTGGCCCTCAGTCACTTGTGCTGCGGCTGGTTGTGTGAGCGACACTGCTCGGCGACTGCCGGCACACTGTGAGACCATGGGTGTGAGGCTAAACCACGCTACCAGCGCTTGGTCACATCGGCCCTGAGGTCAGATCCATCTACTCTGTTGATAACAAGACTTGTCTGGCGACACGCACACTATAAAAAAGAAAAACGCGGCGCGACCAGCTGCCGGCATGAGCGGCGCCCTCCTCCCAACCCAGCTCGCCGACCTGGCTCGGGGCGACCTGGCCTGGCTGCGCGGCTTCCTGTCTGGGCAGGGGACGCGCGGCACGTCGCTCGCGGCCCAGCTCGACGCCCGGCACGACACCGAGAGGCAGGACACGCTGCTCACCTGGGCCGCTCGTCACGGGCAGGCCGAGGCGGTGCGGCTGCTGCTCGAAGGCGGCGCGAGCGTCGGGGCGACGACTGGCCGCGGCACTTCCGCGCTGTATATTGCGTGCCAGGAGGATCAGATTGAGTGCGTCCGGCTGCTCCTCGAAGCTGGCGCAGCGGTCAACCAAGCCAAGGACGGCGGCGCCACGCCGCTGTTCATCGCGTGCCAGGAGGGACACGTCGAGTGCGCCCAGCTGCTGCGCGGCGCTGGCGCTGACATCAACCAAGCTATAAACGATGGTACCACGCCGCTGTACATCGCGTGCCAGGAGGGACACCTTGAGTGCGCCCGGCTGCTGCGCGACGCTGGCGCTGACATCAACCAAGCCGATGAGGAGGGCACCACGCCGCTGTCCATCGCGTGCTACATGGGCCACGTCGAGATCGCGCGGCTGCTCGTCGAGGCCAGCGCGGCGGCCAACCAAGCCGACGACACAGGCGCCACGCCGCTGTACATTGCGTGCCAGAAGGGCCACCTCGAGATCGCCCGGCTGCTGCGCGACGCTGGCGCGGCGATCAACCAAGCAGACGCTGAAGGCGTCACGCCGCTGTTCGCCGCGTGCGAGGACGGCCAGCTCGAGTGCGTCCGGCTGCTCCTCGAGGTCGGCGCGGCGATCAACAGAGCCACGCAGAACGGCGCCACGCCGCTGCTCGTCGCGTGCCAGGAGGGCCACGTCGAGATCACCCGGCTGCTCCTCGAGACCGGCGCGGCGGTCGACCAAGCACAGGAGAATGGCATCACGCCCCTTTTCATGGCGTGCCAGAACGGCCACCTTGAGTGCGCCCAGGTGCTTCAGCAGGCTGGCGCGGCGGTCAGCCAAGCCCGCAACAACGGCGCCACGCCGCTGTTCATGGCGTGCCAGCAGGGCCACCTCGAGTGCGTTCGGCTGCTTCTCGAGGCCGGCGCAGTGGTCAACCAAGCCAAGGGCGGCGCCACGCCGCTGAACATCGCGTGCCAGCAGGGCCACCTCGAGATCGCCCGGCTGCTCCGCGAGGCTGGCGCGGCAATCGACCAGGCCGATGAGCAAGGCGCCACGCCGCTGTACATGGCATGCCAGAACGGCCACCTCGAGTGCGTCCGGCTGCTTATCGAGGCGGGCGCAGCGGTAAGCCAAGCCCGCAACGACGGCGCCACGCCGCTGTTCGCCGCGTGCCACAACGGCCACCTCGAGGTCGCCAAGCTCCTCTCCTCCTACGGCGCCTCCCGCGCCGCTACGCCCTTCGGCACGCCCGAGGAGGCCGCAAACCACAAAGGCCACGCCGACCTCGCCGCTTGGCTGGTCGCCAGCCGCGGCTGGACGCCGCTCGCGCACCTTGAGACCCTCACCGCCGCCCGCGCCACCTCCCTCCTGCGCAGCGGCGCAAGCTTGCACGAGGGCGAGCCGACGCCGCTGCGGCGCGCCGCGGGCGGCGAGGGCGAGGCGGCGGCGCTGGTCCGGCGGGCGGCGGCGCCGTGGTCGCCGGCAAGCCACTCGCTCTTCCCCGCGGGGGCTCGCGCGCGGGCGGCGCTCCTCGTCCGCTCGATCTACGAGATCCACGAGCGGTACCACCTCGACTCGGCCGGAGCCACGAACGGCATCGCGGCGCTCGACTTTGGCCATTGCGTGTTGGGCTTCGCGATCACGCGCGAGACGCAGTAGGGGAGTTGCAGTGGCTTCGCGCCCTCACGCTCACGGCCGACGGCGCTGTCTTTGAGTTGCGCGGACCGTGCTGCTGCACGCGGTGGCGAGCGAGGGAGAAGAGTAGAGCGCGAGGACTCATGACGGGACGGACACTACCGCGCGGCTCCGTCGAGCTCGTCCCTTGGCAAGCTCGAGTTGCTGGCGCTGCAATGTTGGTGCTGGCTGCGTCGCATCCCCCTCGACAGCGTTGGCGGGCCGGGACGTGTGCCGGTGTGCATTCCATCGTCCCTGAAAAAGAAAAATCCGAACCACGCCACCACACGCGAAAAGAAAAAGATCCGTCCGGCCTCAAGCCGAGCATCCTGGAGGACTGTGGAGTGCAGCGATCGAAGGTTTTTCTTCTTCCTGGCGGCATGAGCGGCGCCATCCTGATAAACTGATAAATCAAGAATACCTTCGTTTCGTTTTCCAGAGAGTCCCAGTGTCGCGTGCAAGGGGGTTTTGTTGTAAAATTCTTTCTCTCGCACGACACTGGGCACGGGACTGGCGCGCACTGGCACTAACACAGGTGCCCAGTGTCGTGCGAGGGAGTTGGTCATAAAATTCTTTCTCTGGGGGCGGGGAGGGTGGGGCACGGAATCGCCGCCGGCGGGGGGCGAGGGCGCTAGCGAAGGAGGAGGAGCCAGAGCCCGGGGAGGATTGGTTTTGGTTGGGAGGGGGGTCGGCCGGAGGAGTTCGCCGGCCTCTTCGACGGGCCATAAGGGGCCGTCTGTGCCGTGCCTTTTGTAGTGCCAGTCCGAGCCAAACAGAAAGAAAACAGACAACCCAAGGGAGGGATGGGAGGACGGCACCAGTCACCAGTCTGCTGTGAGAGCTACTCCCTTAATGTGGGTAAACCATAGTCCGTATATGGTTCTATGAACAGAATTCAAACATAGAAGAAGCCCATAAAGTCGCCGCGACTACCATCGTGCTGCCCTGCTGCAGCCTGACTTTGCCCACTGTGCACAGCCGCCAGAGCACCACCACCGCCCGGCATCGTGTCACGGCGAGCTTCTTCTGCGCCCGCTTGCGAGGCTCTCGCACTGGTACACTTTGGCCATCTGCTGCTCGCGTTCGGCGAGCTCTTCTCCGCACTCCTGCCATGGTGCCGCCACCACACACCTTGTGGCCGGCCTGAGCCGCGCGGACTCGCCGGCGGGGGCAACGTGTCGACCTCTCTCTCTGGTGCACCACGGGCCGCGACGGCCTGCTAGCAGCCGGCGCGAGGAGGCAGTGTGCCGGCACAGTCGAGCCGGAGCATCGGGTTCTTGATGCTTCTGGGGTCAAGTCTGACCTTATGCGGCCTAATATGCAACAATAATGCTATGCTTGAGATATGATCCCTCAAAGTCGAATTTTCGCTTACTGGTGACCATACACCATAGTACCGCTTGTCTTGTTAGAGAGATTTTTAGCAATACCAAACATTTTGTTTTTGTCTTGTTTGCGTTTCTTCCAACGAAACACTTTAAAGTCTCGACAATCACTAAGCTGCTTATGTGGCACCGCAGAGGCTCCCTTGGGGATGCCTGAGGCCACCCCAACCACTCACCAAGCCTTACGTGGACGAATTCAAACCTACTTTTGGTTTAAAAAAGAAAGAAAGAAAACAGACAACCCAAGGGACGGACTTTTATGGTTTAGGTAGGTAGGTAGAAAGGTGAAGAACAGCCAGGCTCGGACTGGACACCAACGCGGTATGGGTGGACGCGGGACAGATGATGACGACACGCACGAGCGACACATGGTTTACCCACATTAGGGAGATGGGTAAAATTCTTCTCTCGGTGGCGACAGTGGAGCCGAAAAGTGCCGTGATGCCGGTCGCGCTCCTGGTGATCTCGCTGACCCCGCAGCCACGCTCGCCAGCCGCTTCCCTGAGGCACAGAGCTATAGTCGCCACCACCGCGGCGCCGGCAGATACGGTTGTTTCCTGGTACGATCAGGGACTCCGCCTGCGAAGCGACGCTCCGGCCGTCGACATCGCCCCCGCCGCCCCGGACGCGGACGTGGCCGAGCAGCAGCTCACGCAGGCGCTCATCCGCGCGCAAGGCCCACGCGGCGGCCGCGCCGAGCTTGTGGAGCTCGGGAACGCCATCCAGGCTGCAGAGCTGGCCGGCGTCGGCGCGGCAGCCGATGCGATGCTGGAGGCGCGTGAGTTTGTGGCGTCCAAGGGCGGCCTCCTCGTCAAGGCCAAGGCGGTCGCCGAGGCGGTCAAGACAGCGGCGCCGATCAATGCGGACGAGGTTGTGAAGAAGGACGTTGGCACCGCCGTCGGCCTGATCGCAGGCCTCGGTGCGGCGGCGGCCGTCGGCGTCGACCTCGCGTCGATCGACCTCGACATCCTCGCCGCGGGCGTCGGCATCACTGCGGCGGTGCTGGCCGAGGAGGACGAGGGCATCGTCGGCTCGTCGCTTCGTGCGGTGGGCAACGTGGCGAACCCTGTCTTCAATGCAACCTCGTCGGCGGCGCAGGCGGCCGGCGAGTTTTACGAAGAGAAGGAGGTTGGCTGGTACGCGCGTGCTGTCGCGGAGCTCGGCTTCGAGGCGACCGCCGAGATCACACCCGAGATCCGCCCGACAACTCAATATCAATCGGGATCCACCCTGTAGGCGTTGGCGAGGAAGCTCCGCGGCCTCCCACCGCCGCCGCCGCCGCCGCCCCCGCCTCCGCCGCCGCCGCCAACCTTCCAGTGGCCGTGGGAGAGGGAGTGAGCGTCTCGAGACCCCGCGGCAGAGCCCTCTTGCGCTTTGAGGTTGTGCCGCAGTGGACGGGCGATAATTTTCGGTGAGCAGAGACGCTGTGTGGCAGATCACGCTCACGGACGCCTCTCTCGCGTCCGGCGCTCCCCCGGGTCGCTCTTTCTACGGTATGACTCAGAAAGCAGGGCTGGAGCTGTAAGGTAGCGAGTTCTGTCTACACTTTCAAGAAGTCACAGCAGACGAGACTGCGCGGAATAAGGCTGGGTGCAGCTGCAGGCCGGCACACTTCCACAATCACAGGTTCACACAAAGAACACGGTCGACGGACCGGGACGACACGAGGTGCCACAGATGGGCTGCGGGGCGACATGCACACGATATCGCCACTCTGGTGAGCCAACGATCGCATATACAGTGTGCGGAACACAAAGTATAAAACCAGTCGCGATTGTTCTAGATGCCGAGCTCGTCCCCCTCTGGGCCATGATCTCCGTCGCCGCTCCACGCCCTGACGAGCGCGCCCTCCTTGTCCGGCAGCGCCCTGGCCCGCCGCGCCTCATCGTACTGCTGCCTTGTGAACTTTGGCCCGCGCAGGTACTGCTTCGCCGAGGTGAGCGGGCACGCCATCTCGCTCGCGCCGCCCGAAGGCCGGGCCTCCTTGACGGCGCGCGGGTCGACGGTCTCGCGGATGTACGACTGCAGCAGCTTGACAAACCCGCCCTTTGCCTTGCCGCCCTTGGCCTCGGAGCCGCCGGTGCCCTTGACGTGCAGCGGGCTCTTGCTTGCCGGCCCGCGCGCCGGATCGCCCTCCAACTCGCGGGCAAACGAGACGAGGTACATCCCGGCGAGCGAGATGTGCTCGCGCCGCCACGCACGCAGCGACGCGACCGCGCGCGTGTACGGCGCGCGGTCGAGGGCGGGGTGCGCGTCGAAGAAGGCGCGGAGGCTGACGGCGGGCTCGGCCGTGAAGCGCTCGACGAAGCGGCGCTGCGAGGCGGGCATGAGGCGGCGCTGCTCTCGCAGGAAGGGCTCCTCATGCGTCAGTCCGAGGATCGCGTCGAGGACGTGCCAGCTCCCCTGCTGCCCCGCATTCGCGCCGGGGATGCCGCCGAGCACAACCGACGTGAGCGCGTCCGCGGTGCCCTCGACGCCCGAGAAGGTGAGGCCGGTGGGCAGGTGCGAGCGCGAGAACTCAGACGAGGACTGCCACCCCTCAAAGTAGCGCCGAAAGACCAGGAAGTCGTGCGGGTCGAGCCGCTCGAACATGCGGCCCATCACGAGGCGTGCGTCGTCGAGCCGCGACGCCAGATCGTCGCAAAAATCGGCAGCAGCCTGCGCGTGCGCCGGGTCCACCGCCGTGCCTGGGCCTTCACCGCCCGTGTACTGCGGCAGGATCTCCTCGCGCAGGAGCAGCGCCCGGCCCATGAGCGGATCGAGCAGCCGGAGGACGGCTCCCTGGATGACGCTGAACCAGCGCTCGCTCTCCGTCTGCGTCCACGAGAACTCGAGATGGATCAGGTCTGGGTCGGCCGTGCTGTCGCCGCCAGCTCCAACCATATTCCACATGATGACTGCGTCAGTGTAGACTGGCTCGCAGCCAAGCGCCTTGGCGACGTGCCAGTACGGCGTGGCAATCGTGCGCGGAAGCACCTGCTCTGCCGCGCCGTCTTCGCACCAGACGTAGTAATGGACGAGAAACGAGAGCACCACAAAGGCTCGCTGGAGCTGCGCCTCGGTCATAGTGGCCGCTACACGCTCTGGACCTCCTGCACGGGTGGCGACAGCATCAGCGGCGGCCAGCAGCGTTCTCTTGTACTGCTGCGGCGGCTCCTGCCCGTGGTAAAAACGAGGAAGCGCGAGTGCTAGCGCCTCAAACTCGGCAATCTCAGCCAGCGGAGCGGCACGCTCCGCCGGATCCGGGCAGAAGCGAAAGCCGGAGTCGAGCGAGAGGATAGCCGGTGGGGAGCGTCCTGGCTGGCAGTGTCGCGGAGGCGGCGTGGTAAGAGTCGGCGTGATCAGCGAGGCAGCGAAAGCGACAGGAGTGATCAGCGAGGCAGCGAAAGCGTACGGAGTGATCAGCGAGGCAAAGACGACCGGCATATGACCGTTGCAAGGTGGGGTATAATGCGGGTATTAGGTGGTCGGGCATTCTGTTTTTCTCTTTCACGCATGAAAAATGTTTCTTTCTTTGTCACATCGGGCATGCAGGGGAGTCCTTACTCAGCACATTGTATACACGCAATTGTGGCGCTTTCTCTCTAGCTTTACCAGCCGACCCGCCCCACGCCCCGCCCGCCCCTCCCGCCCCGCCCGCCACGCCCGCCGCGTCCGCGCCTACCGACTGCCGGCACAGCGCCGCCGGCCGGCGGGAGGTTCGGCACCGCGCGAGGAGACTGGTAGACAAAGGTCGTCTGCGCCGCCACGCCTGCTCCAGTGTCGACGATCGGCAGCGCCGGACGGCGGCAGGCCGGGCAGTTGGTGTCGCGCTCCAGCACGCGCGGCGCACATGCCTCGCAGTACAGCGCGTGGCCGCACGCGAAGCGAACCGAGCGAGGCGCGTCGTAGCAGAGGTCACACTGGCGCTCCTCGGCCCCAGCCGTCTCCTCCACCGCCCCCGCCGCCTCGACCAGCGCCTCCAGCCGCGGCAGCGCCTCCGCGAGCGGCATCCGCTTCTTCTTCCGAACGAACGCCAGCCCGACCACGAGCCGCGCCAGCTCCTCGGCCTGCGCCGCCGACCAGCTCGCGTCGGCCGCCGCGATGCTCTCCGCCGTGTCGGGCTCCTCCAGCGCATCGTCGCACGCGCTGAGCAAGCCAAGAGCGCCGCGGCCGGTCAGGGCGACGAGCAGCGTGATGCCGAGCGCAAAACCATCGGTGAGCTGCGAAGCCTGACCGTCGTTGAGGATGATCGGGTCCATGTACCCAGGCTTGCCAAAGATGCGCTGCGTCGACAGGTGCGAGACCTGTCCGCCGGCCGTCGCCTCTGCCGCTCGCGCGAGGCCCACGTCGGCGAGGTAGCCGTTGCCGCGCTCGTCGAGCAGGATGTTGCCCGCCGAGACGTCGCGGTGCAGGATCATGGGTGAGCGCGTGTGCAGATAGTGAAGCGCGCTCGCCGCGTCGCGCAGCACGCGGAGCCGTGCGGCGGAGGAGAGCGGCGGAGGCGCCGTCTCGAAGCCGAGCATGCGGAGCCGCTGCAGCGCGGCTGGCGAGCGGTAGAGGCGGTCCTCGAGGCTGCCGCCGCGGCAGAGGGGGTAGACGAGGCACGCTCTCGCCGGCGCCAAGCAGACGCCGAGGAGAGGAAGCAGGGACGGGTGGCACGCCGCGCTGAGCGTGCGCACCTCGCTCTGCAGCTCGGCGAGGCCTTGGGCGCCGACACCGACCAGCGCCGTCTTGACAGCGAACCCGCTCGCGACGCGCGGAAGCGACGGCAACGCGTCGGCGTGGTAGACGCGCCCGAAGCCTCCCTCGCCCACCTTGCGCGCCTCAGCAAAGCCGTCGGTCGCCGCGATGAGCTCGTCGAGAGGGACGGCGGCGGGCGGTGCGTCCGCCTCCGCTGGCTCTGGAGCCTTCGCCGCCGCCACGGCCGCCACTGCCGCCTCTACAGCCGCCGCCTCCGCCTCCGCCTCCGCCGCCGCCACCTCCGCCGCCTCCGCTTCCGCCCTCATCCTCGCCTCTTCCCTCTCCCTTCCAGCCTCCTCCCTTGCCCTCGCCTCTGCCTCCTCCCTTGCCCGCGACGCCGCTTCCGCCTCCTCCGCCGCCCGCGCCGCCGCATCCGCCTCCTCCGCCGCCCTCGCTACCGCCGCCGCCTGCCTCGCCGCCGCCTTCTCCTCCTTCTGCCGCTGCCGCTTCAGCGCCCTGGCCTCGCGGGTCCTGCGCTCCGCCAGGATCGTCGCGCAGCCGCCGCGCCGCCCGCAGCGCCTCCGAGCCGTCGGCGGCGTCGGTGTTCGCGTTGATCGCCGCCCTGAGCGCCTCGAGATCGGCGTCGCCTCGGCCGCACGCCTCAACCGCCTCGCGCAGCGCCGCCTCGGCAGCATCGCGCGCCTCCGCCGCCTCTGCAGCCGCTGCCGCCTCGCGTGCGGCCGCCGCGGCCTGTTCGGCTGATTCTGCGACCGCCGTCTCCCTCTCCGCCTCTGCTGCGGTCGACGAGTGCTCCTCGAAGGCGCGCACGCACTCGGCGTGGCCCTTCTCCTTGGCCCAACAAAGCGCCGTCTTGCCGCTCGCATTGCGCGCCGCGGTGTCTGCGCCCGCCCGCAGCAAGCGCCGCACGACGGCGGGGTGGTTGAAGAAGGCGGCGATCATCAGCGCGGTGAAGCCTTTCCTGTCCTGCAGGTTGATCTCAGCGCCGCGCCGAATCAGCAAGTCGACCACCCGCTCGTGGCTTTCGTGGGCGGCGTGCATCAGCGCGGTGCAGCCGTCGCTTCTCTGCAGGTTGACCTCCGCGCCGTGCCGAATCAGCAAGTCGACCACCCGCTCGTGGCCGTTGACGGCGGCGTACATCAGCGCGGAGTCGCCGTCGCTATCCTGCAGGTTGGCCTCCGCCCCGTGCCGCAGCAGCAACTCGACCACCCGCTCGTGGCCGTGGGCGGCGGCGCCCATCAGCGCGGTGGCGCCTTTGCTGTTCTGCAGGTTGATCTCCGCGCCGTGCTGCAGCAGCAGCTCGACTACCCGCTCGTGGCCTGGGATGGCGGCGAGCATCAGCGCGGTGCCGCCGTCGCTGTTCTGCAGGTTGGCCTCCGCCCCGTGCCGCAGCAGCAGCTCGACCACCCGCTCGTGGCCGCTGCGGGCGGCGAACATCAGCAGCGTGAGGACGCTCATCTCGCCTCTCTCGCACGTCGCGTTGACCCGCCCGCCGCGACCAAGCCACGCCAGCACCGCCGCCTCGTCGCCTCGCTCAGCCGCTGTCACAACCGCGTCGGGGGCTGCCGCGGCACCGCTCGGCGCCTGCTCCGCCGCCACCGCTGGAGATAGCGTCCTCGCGGCTCTCGATCCAGCCGAGGAAGCGCCGCCGGAGGAAGCGCCGCCTGCGCCTGCGCCGCCGGTTGCCGTCGCCGTGGGCCGTCCCGCCAACACCTCCTGGACGTGCTTCTTGAAGGCCTCGACGCACTCGGCGTTGCCCTTCTCCTTGGCCCAATGCAGCGCCGTCTTGCCGTTCGCACTGCGCGCCGCCGTGTCTGCGCCCGCCTGCAGCAAGCGCCGCACGACGGCGGGGTGGTTCAAGAGGGCGGCGCTCATCAGCGCGGTGTAGCCGCCGCTGTCCTGCAGGTTGATCTCTGCCCCGCGCCGTATCAGTATTTCGACCACCCGCTCGTGGCCGTTGATGGCGGCGAGCAGCAGCGCGGGGCCGCCTTTGCCGTTCTGCTTGTTGATCTTAGCGCCGCGCCGTATCAGCAAGTCGACCACCCGCTCGTGGCCTTCCTGGGCGGCAACCATCAGCGCGGTGACGCCGCCGCTGTCCTGCAGGTTGATCTCAGCGCCATGCCGCAGCAGCAACTCGACCACCCGCTCGTGGCCTTGCTGGGCGGCGTTCATCAGCGCGGTGCCGCCGACGCATTCCTGCAGGTTGACATCAGCGCCGCGACGTATCAGCAGCTCAATCACCCGCTCGTGGCCTTGGTTGGCGGCGGCCATCAGCGCGGTGCTGCCGTTGCTGCTCTGCAGGTTGACATCAGCGCCGTGCTGCAGCAGCAGCTCGACCACCCGCTCCTGGCCGTGGCCGGCGGCGCCCATCAGCAGCGTGAAGCCGTTCACCTTGCCGCTCTCGTACGTCGCGTTGGCCCGCCCGCCGCCCTCGAGCCACGCCAGCACCGCCGCCTCCTCGCCTCGCTCAGCCGCCACGATGACCTCATCGGAGACTGGCACGCCACCCCTCGTTTCCGCCGGCGACAGATTACCCGGCCGCACTCGCACGCTCTCGCTGCCGCCCTCGAGCGCCACCGCGTACCGCCCCCCCTCGAAGCTCCCCGCCACGCCCCACCGCCCGTTCAGCTCGGGGCGGGCCGAGAGCCCGCCGAGCACGACGCGCTGGCCGAGGAGCGGCGCGTCCACAGCGGCCGCTGCTGCGCCCGAGGAAGCGCAGTCGGCCCCTACCCGGCCCTCCGCAGCCGCCGCCGCTGCCTCAGACAAGATACTGACGCACGCGGCGTTGCCCTTCTCCTTGGCCAGCTGCAGCGCCGTCATGCCGCTTTCAGAGCGCACCGCCGCGTCTGCACCCGCCCGCAGCAAACGCCGCACGACGGCGGGGCGGTTGAAGAGGGCGGCGAGCATCAGCGCGGTGTTGCCTTTGCTGTCCTGCAGGTTGATCTCCGCGCCGCGCTGCTTCAGCAGCTCGACCACCCGCTTGTGGCCCTCCTGGGCGGCGAGCATCAGCGCGGTGAAGCCGTAGCTGTCCTGCAAGTCAACCTCCGCGCCGTGCTGCATCAGCACCTCGACCACTCGCTCGTTGCCTTTCTGGGCGGCGTCCATCAGCGCGGTCCAGCCTTTGCTGTCCTGCAGGTTGAACTCAGCGCCGTGCTTCAGCAGCAACTCGATCACCCGCTCGTGGCCGTTGTTGGCGGCGGTCATCAGCGCGGTGCCACCTTTGCCGTTCTGCATGTTGATCTCCGCGCCGTGCTGCATCAGCAAGTCGACCACCCGCTCGTGGCCCTCCAAGGCGGCGCACATCAGCGCGGTGCCACCTTTGCCGTTCTGCTTGTTGATCTCCGCGCCGTGCTGCAGCAGCAACTCGACCACCCGCTCGTGGCCGCTGCGGGCGGCGAACATCAGCAGCGTGAGGCCGCTCATCTCGCCTCTCTCGCACGTCGCGTCGACCCGCCCGCCGCCCTCGAGCCACGCCAGCACCGCCTCCTCCTCGCCTCGCCCAGCCGCTGTCACAACCGCGTCGGGGGCTGCCGCGGCACCGCCTGACGCTGGCTCCGCCACTGCCATCGACAGATTGCCCGGCCGCACTCGCACGCTCTCGCTGCCGCCCTCGAGCACTACCGCGTACCGCCCGCCCTCGAAGCTCCCCGCCACGCCCCGCTGCCCGTTCAGCTCGGGGCGGGCAGAGAGCCCGCCGAGCACGACTCGCTGGCCGAGGAGCGGCGCGTCCAGCCGGCGCGATTTCTTTTTACTCCGCGATAGGGCGATTTCGGGAAAGTTACCAAAGAAAATGAAGAAGGTAGTGTGTACACCCCAGCGGCACGAACTCGAGAATACAAATTGGGGTACAGTATACACAAGCGGGGAGCTGCCAACCCCCCCCAAATAGACGCGCCATCCTCTACAGGACGCGCGGGTTGCGGGGTGAAGTCGTCGACTACACGGCGCGCTCGCCCCAGCCCTAGCAGAGCGGCCCTCACGCGGCGGCCGCTGCCCCCTCGTCCGCGCCGCCGCGTGTCCGAGCGTCGATGAGCGCCTCGTGGGTGGTGCGCCGGTGCTTGCGCAGGTACGGCATAAAGGGCGTGCCGCCGGTGCCCTGGATCTCGTCGTCCTTGCGGCTGTCCCACTGGCGCACGTACGTGAACGCCAGCTCAAAGTGCAGCTTCCTGAAGGCGACCAGCGCCGACACGCAGCGGTCGTACGCCGCGGTCAGCGCGTAGTCGTTCGCGCGGCGCACCGCCTCGCGCAGCCGCGGGCCGCGCTCGAGCGCGTCGATGAAGGCGGCGTGCTCGGGCGGCATGTACTCGCGCATCGCCAGCAGGTACGGGAGCAGCTCGTCCTCCGACATACCGATGCCGAGCGCGGCGTCGAGCGCCGGCACCACGGAGCTCTGAGCGCCCGTCTCTCCAAAGTACCGCTCTGTCCGCCACACGGCCTCGCCACCGTCGTCCGCCCCAGCCGCCCCATCGGTGCGCGAGGCGGGTGCGACCCCCTCATAGACGAGGCCTTCGGGAGGCATCGCCTCGTGCGTCCAGCCCGACATGAAGACCCGGACACGCTGATGGCGAGGGCGAGGGCGAGGGCGAGGGGGAGGGGGAGGGTTGAGGGTGAGGGTGAGGGGGAGGGTTGAGGGTGAGGGCGAGGGCGAGGGCGAGGGTGAGGGTGAGGGCGAGGGCGAGGGCGAGGGCGAGGGCGAGGGTGAGGGTGAGGGTGAGGGGGAGGGCGAGGGGGAGGGGGAGGGGGAGGGGGAGGGGGAGGGCGAGGGGGAGGGGGAGGGCGAGGGCGAGGGCGAGGGGGAGGGCGTGGGCGAGGGTGCGGGTGCGGGTGCGGGTGAGGGTGAGGGTGAGGGTGAGGATTGGGATTGGGCGGGTGGGCGGCGCAGAAGGCGAGCAGCTGCACCTGGTGGTAGATGTAGGGGTCGCAACGCTCCCCCATGCGGCGGAGGATCGCCACGCACGCCTCGATCGACTCGGCCGCCGTCCCGAGCAGCCCGAGCACGTCGCGCGCGTACCGTGCGGGGCTCGCGGGCCCGCCTCTGCCGCCCACCGCCTCTGCCGGCGTCGCGAGGCCGACGCTTAGCCGCTGGGCCTCGGCAGCGGCGACGACCGCCTCGCCCGCGCGCGCCTCGATGGCCACGTGCACCGCCGAGAACCACTCCTCGTCCTGGCCGCCGAGGAAGTTGAGCGAGCGCGCAGTGTTGCCCAGCGCCACCGGCGCGGCAGGGTCGATGCGTCGCCAGTTGAACAGGTTGAAGGACGCGTACGTCAGAACCGGTCGGCGCTTCAGCGGCGTCTCCTCTGCCACCGCACACCACGGCACCGCCAGCTGCCGCGGGAGGGCGGTCGC